GAAAAAAATCCCTGAACTGTAAATAATGTAAGCTACTGCCATTTTTGTTGTGGCAGGGCGCCCCCTATGGTTTGAAGATGAAATTACACAGAAACCACATTTTAATTTCCCATGTATAGAAATATCTCATGGCGTTTATCAGGGAGAGAAAGTTACACGTTATGAGATACAGATTGATCTCTTGTTATAGCTGAAAGCCTAATACTTTATTTATTTATCAAATTATTGTTTATATTTGTTATTTTTCGTATCATTAATAATATTTATAAAACACTGGATATGATTATACACACATATACAGTAACCCTTTAGGTGCCAGAGTTGTTTTGTTTGTTTGTGAATGAGATAGAGGACGACTAAAATCAATAACAGAGATAAATAAAAGAAAAAGATGAAAGAAGAATGCAAGGAAATGTTTGTGTGAGGCCAGGTTGTTGTATAGAGAGCGTCCTGCATTCAAGCCCGTCATGTGGAAATCCTGATACTTTGGCGCCAAAAGGGTTAACTTTGTATTATATTTCAGAAGCATTTTAGAAAAGATGTCACATAAATATTGTAAAACAGAAATCCTAGCATCCCATATTATTTTGTATTTGTGAAAAGCCATTTCCAAGAATGTTTTATCCCTCTATGCAGACATAATAACTATAAAACGGACCTACAAAATGTATAACTATAAAAATGAATTAACACGTGTCTGCCGAGATCAAACCAGATTAGGCAAATAATGGATATTTTTCATCCCGATCTGTGTTAATGTCCTCTATGCTAACGTTGTATGCTAAAAGACTTAAGTTGTTCCATTAAATGTGGTTTTCCCATAGACTTTGAGGAGTGGACTGACCGGTGCTAACATCACCATAGCGTTAGCCTTGATGCAGAAGAAGCCAATTTGAACATAGCTGGAGCCAATTGCCTTATATGGGCATTTGTTCAGAGGGCGTGAGCTGCTTTTCTCAACAGAGGCTGATGTGTTGTTAAGATGGTTGCTAGGGAACGCTGGAATTTCTACAGTATCTGATATCTGAATCTAGCTCATATCTGGATTTACAAAGACAATATCAACATGGTGAGTTAGGGTTAGGGTTAAAACTTTGTCTGTGAGCACTTCCCTATAGGGCTTCATTGACTGGCATTGTCCATGTGTTTTCCTTATCCTGTATGCAGCCTTACAGTCAAATATAAACGTCCGTGGCTTTCTCGCTGATCACTGAGGAGTCGGTTGTCGATCCAGTCCAGGACCAAAGGGCTAATTCTCTGCATTCACCTGAACCGTCATCCTCATTCTTCACTCGTTCAAACATCTCTGACAAAAGGCAGAGTGAGGCCTTTAGGATCACAGGTGGATCACACTCCTTCTATGCTTCAGGGTCTGGCCTTTTGTCGTGGTGTTGGAGACATGTGAGAAATCAGGTGGATTTTCCCTTCAATATGAACAATGTTACCACCAATTTAAAACCGGCTTTTTAACATTTACTTTTATGCCGGTTTGTTAGTGCTCACGTTCTAAAAATGTCCTTTCCATGTTGCTAAAGTACAGGTGAAACTCTGAATATTAGAAAATCGGTTAAAAGTGCGTTTATTTATGTAATTCTTGCTAAAAATGTGAAATGCCAAAATATGCCATAGACTTAATACATGCAAAGTGTGTTATATTATTGATGATTATGGCTCACAGTCCACTTTCAAAAGATAATGTTCTGTTTGATTTGTGGTTTTTACAAGCTCGGAGCCAATTCATCATCATCATCATCAAATCTTAAAACAGACTCACGGTCCAGAAGAAATGCATTGGTTTTATATAGCGCTTTTTTTGGACTCTCAAAGACGCTTCACATGTCATCATTCATTCACTCTAGACACAGCGGTGATAAACTCCTACAGTAGCCACAGCTGCCCTGGGGCACACTGACAACTACTGACAATATAATACACAAAAACATCACACAAAACGCCACACATAACCAGAACAGTGAGCCTCGCTTCCACAGCTGAACCAATGTTTCCACAGTTGGTTCTGAATGAGATTTGTCAGATTTATGATTAGAATGTTCTTTAATTGAGCCGATAGATAAAACCGATATAAAAAACAAAATAATCAAGCAGTTATTGAACGCCATGTTGAGTAGGTATTTTAGCTCTGTAAAATACGCTTCTTTCAACAGTAGAACCAAGACGTAGGGCTGCACGATAAATCAAAAAAATATCGTTATCTCGGTTGCAGATTGCAATTTTAGGTGAAAGAAAAAAATATCGTTATCGCAATACTAAACACTCATATCGAATATCGCTCTAATTTCCAATATCGTGCAGGCCGACCAAGAAGGCTTTGATATATCTCACTTTGCGTGTCCCGAGTCTTTCACACATTACTTCCACATTGTAACTTGAAAACCTGAAGCGAATGGACTTTTTTTAAAACAATATTCTAATTTGCTAATTCTAATTCTAATTCTAGTTTCACCTGTATTCATAAGTTATTTTTCATGTCTTTTCATAACAAACATATTCATCTACATTTTTGTTTTTATCCTGTTTTCTTTGTTGACGATCTACCTCTGATTATGTAGCTATTTAGACTTTGGTTTTGGGTTTTTTTCATCCTGACATCAATCATTTAAATTCAATTATACGACTTATTGTAGGACAAAACAATGGAGATACCAGACTGTGTCCCACTCATGAATGTGTGAAATTATTGAAAAAGAATAAATACAAGGCTGGGAATAATGCTCTTATATAAAAACAACATAGAATAATATTTGGTTAATTTATTTTGGGAGATTATGTACATATATTTACCAGTTTATTTTTATTTAATCTTTAACCGCTGACCTGTGTATATAAGTTATCTATATATTTGGCACTTGGTTTCGCTTGTTGACAGCTCAAAACTTTGTGATTCTTTGCTTCACACCTGTTCTTTTTAATGATTCTATTGCACTGTAGTTCATTTTGAGAGAGAAGAAAAACAAAGAGACAGGGGCTTCTTGGTGCTGTAAATACCATTGTGTGTGATATTTATCCTTCTAAAACTTAAAAGTTTTGTATGACATGATTTGTATACAAGAAACGCATTGTAATCGCATCATTAAGAAACCTTTACGCAATGAAATGCCTTTGGCTTTTTTTTTTTATAACAGAAAATAAACAGATGAATAAAAAACAATCTTCTTTTCTTTTATCGACTTCTCCACAGGTTTCTTTCAAGTATAAAACTGTCTCTGAGTGAGTCTCTGTGGTTCTGGAGCAGTCACACCTCGGAGATCTCCATCATATCCATTAAATCAGTCACTACAGTTCTGCCAAAGAGGATGTTGGTAAAAAGAAACAATGGAATAAGTGGCAAATAAATACACTAAAGCAGGGGTCTCCAACTTGTAGCTCGCCAGCCCCTTCCAGGTAGCTCCCCAAAGATTCAGAATTTAACACATGATCTTGAATGATTCACTTTTGAGTCAATACATATCTATTATAAGTAAACATATAGGGTTATGCAGTATTATGGTAATTTTTTACATCTGTTTTAAATGTTTTGTCATACATTTTACATAGTTTATTATTATGACCGCAAAAAGGAGTAGCTCACTGTCTCTTCTGTTGTATAAAAGTAGCTCTCCGATTGAAAAAGGTTGGAGACCCCAGCACTAAAGAGTAAATATATATACAGTGCTTTCTGGACTGTTGTGCACCTGAATAGAAACTGGATCAGAAAGATTTGAAAAGAAAGAATATTTTGTCCACTTTTAGGCTCCACTTGAACGTAAGCCGCAGGTTTTCATGAAAGTCAAAGTTCATTGATTCATTCATTCCACATTCCGTCCTGCTGAGCAACAAGTCACCGCTCAGTGACAGATAATCTAAACAGACGTCAGGCTCCTCTGCTTTGTCCTTGCACAGATATTTATATTCCTGAGTATGTGTGTGTGTGTGTGATTATATATATATATATGTATGCAGAATATGGGCTGGAAACCCCAAGGTCTAAGTGGGAAACTCCTCCAAAGGTGGTGGAGAATGAGCGTGCAAAGATCCTGTGGGACTTCCAGATACAGACCGACCGAATGGTAATGAACCAACCTGACATAGTGGTGGTAGACAAAGGGCAGAGGACAGCCGTGGTGGTGGACATGGCAATTTCAAGCGATGGTAACATCCGGAAAAAAGAACATGAAAAGCTTGAGAAATACCAAGGTCTCAGAGAGGAGCTGGAGAGGGCCTGGAGGGTAAAGGTGGCAGTAGTGCCCGTGGTGATGGTGCACTCGGGGCAGTGACCCCGAAGCTAGAAGTGGTTACAGTGGATCCCTGGAACAACCTCGGACATCTCGGTCCAGAAATGTGCAGTGCTAGGAACAGCAAAGATACTGCGCAGAACCCTCAAGCTCCCAGGCCTCTGGTAGAGGACCCGAGCTTAGAGAGGGATAACCGCCCGCGGAGGGCCAAAGGTGAGTGGACAATTATATATATATATATATATCCAAATTATTTTATTCTCACAAATATTATATTATTAGGGCTGTCAAATGATTCAAATGTTTAATCGAGTTAATTACAGCTTAAAAATTAATTCATCTTAATTAATCGCACTTTGAATTATCTGCAAAATGATGCCATATTTTTCTGTAAATGGTTGTTTGAAAGATAAATGACAACACACTGTATGTACTGTGTTTATTCTAACATTCTGTCTTTCTGACACGCAAAGACACGCACACAACATGCAGAGAACAGTCCTGTGGCGTGTACGGTCTTATATAACCAGCGCCATTCGCTGTGTTGTTGACAAAGCCACAACCGCTGGAGGAACCGCTGGAGGAACCGCTGGAGGAACCGCTGGAGGAACCGCTGGAGGAACCGCTGTCCAGAGCGGCCGCAGCTGCCCCGGGTCAGAATGCTGCAGGAGGATCTGGACTCCCGTTTGAGTTCATACAGCCAACCACAGCGAGTGCCCCGCGGCCACACGCATTCTCCCAGAAGTCTCCCATCCAGGACTTACTGAACTATTTTTTTCCTTTAGAGCCTTTGATTTTCTGGAATTCTTTGGGGCTGAGGATCAACATGCCATTTTTGAAACGTCCAACTTGTCCCGAGGGTCCTGCCCCTGACCCAGAGGTGGACGACTTCCTTCTATCCCTGTCGAATGAAAAACACAGACCGAATATCACACTGGAAAAGGACCAAAACGTACATCATCAGGTTTTTTCATCTTGTGACCACGTTATCGTCGTTTTCCCTAGTCTTTTACAAACCCAGAGTTCTTTTAATGTGACTCATGAATATTTGATTGATATTATATTTTAGATTTGATTATATATTTCTAACCTACACAACATATATCTCCACAAACACATCAGAGTATATTTCAAAAGATACAAGCTTTTGAAATGTAGATTTGGGATTTTAAATAAACGCGAAACAAACTCACTTGGGACTTTTCTTTTTCTTCTTGGTCTTTAGATCCTGAAAACACAGAGGAACAGACATATTACAGTGTGATTAAAAACTGGAGCAGGGAAAACAGACTTCGAAGTTTCCGATCTCTTACCGGGTCGACCTCCTCCTTCTCCTTTTGCTTTTTGTCTTTGATTTGTTGTTGTAGTACTTTATAATTGACACACTGTTTTTTTGGTGGCTGTGCAGAAACATGGACAAAAGAGGATTGACGTCACACAAACTGATGATTTTTTTGTATCTGATTTTTTTTTGTAAATTAATATTATTCAAAAATGCTTAATTTGTCTGACTTTATTGACAAACTTACTCGAGCCCCGAGCATGACGGCTCTGTCCTGCTCAAACACTCGCTGCTGCTCTTTCTTGTAGCCTGTGATTCCAAAGCGATGAACTTCCAGTCGGGCCTGAACAGTGTTTTGAGGTAAAGTGTGAATTTCAGAATCATCTAGAATCTATCTATCTAGTTTAGAATAGTTGGAGAATTAAAAAAAATGGCATACCTTTTCCAAACTTAGTTCTTCTGTCTTTTCGCTGTTTTTTTCTGTCGTTTTAAGAGACTGGTAATGAAAAATACATGATAAATGATGGTAAAAACAGTACAGGAAACAAAAAATAATAATAATAATTTTGCATGTATGGTCTATGATTTATACCTACTTTTGTTTTGGGAGTGACTGGGAAGCGACTTGTCTTATTGTTTTTTCTAGGATCCTGGAACGTTACTACCTCCACCTGGTCTTTCTGTGGGAGACGATCTGAAAAATTATAATATTGTAGAATCAAATCAGTTGTAGGCCTACTGTAGTTACCATCAACGGGGAGAAACTCAACCTGTTTGTTCAGACTGATGCTGCGCTGTGAATGAGACAGAATCGTTTTGAGACTCCAGAGGATCTTCTTGTTGTTCTGGACCTCGTTTACGCTTTTTCTTCTTTTTTGTTCCTGCCAATGAAAAACGAGATACATTGATATCAAAAACATTGGCCTCCTGCTCGTGCCAGAGTCAGGATTAAACACGGGGAGGCACGATTGAGATTTATGTAGCCGAAATTTAGATCAGTCTTCCTAAAAATGTGAGACAGACTTCTATTCTGACAAATCTAGGTTAAAATCAGCTCTTTAGGTTTCGTTTTATCAGCATTCTTGTTTAATGCACTGTACATAGGATGCTGTGTGTGATCTTGTTTCTTATCCTTTGAGTTTTCTTGTGTATGAACTGTGCTATACAGAAAAAAAACACGCCTTGCCTAACTGGTCACAAATATTGAGGTCCATAAATACAACAAATAAAATACATGGTGTGTTGCATAAGAAACCAAAACATGTAGATAAACAGGCCACAGTGTGTCTCTGTAAACTAGACTTTTTGTAGCTTTCCCATAACTGTGCTGTGTACATAGGTGAGCGATGGGTAAGTCAGTAAGTAATCAGAACACATAAATAATTATATAAATAAATTACGTAGCAGCAAATTCGATTATCATCATTTACATAGCTGCATGTCCTTAATATTAAAGTATTTAACGTCATCACTCATAATAAAAAGTTACCACACGTAAAGTTGGACCCTAAATGTTAGCTGAAATCGCTAGCTGTTTATGCTACTCACCAAAATCGTACAACTTATCTAAAACACGCTCAAGAAAAAGACAATCCTCGTCCGATTTCCCGTTCACTGCAGAATTCATCTCCAGCATATGCTCAGTCAAATTAAAAGAGCAGAAAAAGCACGAAAACAGCGTTAGTGCATGACAACAACACGTGTAGCGCTAAGGCCGACTGAAGTTACACCCTCCTGAGCCACCGTAGATTTTTTCAAAACACGGAAGTCAACTCCGCTTTTTTCACACCCATGTGAGGTGTCACTTTGGAAAGTTATGTTTTTTGTCCGTGTTTGTGTTCGCTGGTGTAGTCCGTGTCTGTATAACGTTAAAGTTTGAAGCGCTATGGAAAACCAAGCGACTTCTCCGGTATGTGGGCCGCTGATGGCTAACCTAGCATAGCCTTGACTTTTGACATTTCATTCAGCAGGAAAACCTTTTACACACACTTAGATTAGTAGATTTACTTCTATGTCGCGTTAATGCAGCACTGTGCTTTGTTTAGGATTATTTTGCACGTAATGTTTTGTGTCTGTTGTTATGTTTTTATTGGACCCTTTTCCTAAATATGTGCAATTGATAAGAACACACTGACAGTGGCTGGCATTCTTTAGGCTCACTTTAGGCTTTCGAGGCCTTCCTATAGAATAACCATTAAATATTCCGTTTAAAAGTACTGTCTGTGACTGTACTGTTTATTTGCCATCTGATTTTCTACAATGAATCTAATGAGCAAGATAATACACCACACCACACAGAATATGCAAATCATGTTCTGTAAGGCAACATGACATGGGCTTGTGTTGGAAATATATTATACTGTGTGAGGTTCTCAGATTGGCTGCCATTGTGACAAATGACATAACCATACCAAATACTAGTGCAAATTATTATTGCCACAATACTAATCTAGTGGTTTGTATTCTGTTTGCTATTTTAGCACACAGATCCTATGTTAAAGAAAAGGGATGAGTTTGAAGACATTCTGGAGGAGAGAAGGAACTCCAGTGACCTCCGATATGCTCTCAAATGTTACACTCCGGTCATCTATAAACACCTCTCCCCGTGTGATGCCACCTCTCTGAAAACCAAGGTCCTTCAGTCTGATCAACTTCACTATGTCATCACTCAGGTACCTTCAGTTATATTGCTTCTTGTCGCACTTGGACTGTATTCATTGAGTTAATGTTCAGGTTTCTAAAGAGACTGGTAGAACTTCAGAGGACCTTCAAGATGAAGCTTCAAGCATCATTGAGGAGATGGCTCATCGTCTGCAGCTCAGTACCGTTCGCTTCTTTGCTTTTGCTTTGTGTAAAGTCTTCAAAACCATATTCAAGAGCATTTGTGTGAATGAGAATGGCATTCAGAGAGTGAGTAGTATATATTTATTTAACTCGAATCAAACCCTATTATTGCTCTGAACCTGAACATTTCTTAAACTGTTGACTTGCTTCAGCTGCAGCAGGCCATCCATGACCATCCTGTGGTTCTCCTGCCCAGTCACAGAAGCTACATGGACTTCCTGCTCATGTCGTACATCCTCTACACCTATGACCTCTCTCTCCCTGTCATTGCTGCAGGCATGGGTAAGACCTGAGAGCTTTTATCTGTGATATGTTACCACTAGGACTCCCACAATTCTACAAGAACACCCTTTCAAATCAGTGGAATTTTTAAAAACTCCCCAAAAATGTTTAGTATTCCACCAGTTTCCACAAGTGTGTAATTTTTTTATCATGTTTTTCACCTTTCTCACTTTTACAAAGTGCTAAAACTGGTTCATATAACTTGAAAAACAGCAACAACGGTTTGTATAAAGGCTAATTATTTAACTGTTGTCAAGTATGCAGTGTGTTGCTATGGTAACTAACGCTTGCTCTTCTCTAGTAGAAAACCCAGCAGAACCAGGACCAGTTCAGAACCAGTTTGAACCAGTCCACACCGGTTCATACCATTTCAAACCAGTTAAAACCAGTCCAGTCCAGAAACAGTCCAACAGAACCAACACCTTTAACTGCTGTAGAATGTTTGGTTCCAAGCGATCAAAAATGGCTCCATTATTTTGAATGAAAAATTAAAATCTCGCTGCCAAAATGACTGCTCTGGGAATTAAAGTTAGAAAAGAAAAAAAATAAGATAATTTAATAAAACTAACGACACTAGTGACACTGATAGATGCAAAAAAAAACTCGCACAGTTATGAAGACCAACAATTTACTCATGAAAGTACTGGTAATTACTTCTCCGACATTTAGAATTGATTTCAGTTTAATTTTGCCCTAAATCACAACAATCAAAGTAATTATCTCAGAGGACTTTACAAAGCTTCTCCGACACAGATCAGAGCTAAAGATGTGGTAGTTGTGGTGTTAGTAAAAGCTTCCACAGTTGTTTTGTTCCCTCAGATTTCATGGGGATGAAGGTAATCGGGGAGATGCTGCGGATGTCTGGGGCTTTCTTCATCAGGAGATCGTTTGGTGGCGACAAACTTTACTGGGCCGTGTTCTCCGAGTACGTCAAGACCATTCTGAAGGTGAGGCATAAACGACAACACTTCAACTTTGAATTGTGCACTGTACTAATTTACCAGTTTACTTTTATCGCAGAACGGCCTCGCACCTGTAGAGTTTTTCTTAGAAGGGACCAGAAGTCGGACAAGCAAATCCTTGACCCCCAAATTAGGTGTGGGTTCAAATGGATTTCACTTTTAAATTCAGATTGTTCATTTGAATGTGTTTTTTTACCTTTTTATGCAGGTTTACTGAATATTGCCCTGGACCCGTTCCTAAAAGGCGAGGTCTTTGATATAAGTTTGGTTCCTGTTAGCATCAGTTATGAGCGAATACTTGAGGAATCCCTGTATGCCAGGGAGATGCTGGGGGTCCCCAAACCCAAAGAGTCCACCTCAGTAAGTCACAACAACGATCATAAACATTATATTTCTTCAGAGTTTACGGTTGAATAAACGTGTGTGTTTTTCCAGGGTTTATTCAAAGCCAGAAAAGTCCTGAGTGAAGATTACGGCAGCATCCATGTGTACTTTGGTCAGCCGGTGTCAGTGCGGCGCTTGGCAGAAGGAAGAGTGAACCGCTGCCAGTTCAGCCTCGCCCCAAGGTACAGGGTGGTTTTATATTTGGGATCCCAACATAACCCTTTAGAGGGGGGGACATAACGCCATACAGCGAGGATTCAGATTAGATTCTGTGATTTATTGCGAATTATGAGCCTCATATAATTCAAAGGTAAATAAGACTCAACTCTAATGTCATATTTACTCCGCTCCCATCTCTGTGAAGGGAGAAACCAGTGCTCAGAATGTAAACCGCTTTGTGAGAAGGCGGTATATAAATAAAGATTACTTACTTACTCACCAGGGGCTGGTGCTCTGTGGACTGGGTGCATCTCTGACTGCCACCCCCCCGACCCAGAAATGGATTAAGGGGAAGAAAATGGATGGATGGATACTTACTCACTTACCTACTTACCTACTTACTTACTTACTTACTTACAGTGCCTTGCGAAAGTATTCAACATTTCGCCACATTTCAGGCTTCAAACATAAAGATATAACATTTTATTTTTTTGTCATGAATCAACAACAAGTGGGACACAATCGTGAAGTGGAACAACATTTATTGGATAATTTAAACTTTTTTAACAAATAAAAAACCGAAAAGTGGGGCGTGCAATATTATTCGGCCCCTTTACTTTCAGTGCAGCAAACTCACTCCAGAAGTTCAGTGAGGATCTTTGAATGATCCAATGTTGTCCTAAATGACTGATGATGATAAATAGAATGCACCTGTGTGTAATCAAGTCTCCGTATAAATGCACCTGCTCTTTGATAGTCGTTGATAGTTGATTTAAAGCGCAGAGAGAACCATGAAGACAAAGGAACACACCAGGCAGGTCCGAGATACTGTTGTGGAGAAGTTTCAAGCCGGATTTGGATACAAAAAGATTTCCCAAGCTTTAAACATCTTAAGGAGCAGTGTGCAAGCAATTATATTGAAATGGAAGGAGTATCAGACCACTGCAAATCTACCAAGACCCGGCCGTCCCTCCAAACTTTCATCTCAAACAAGGAGAAGACTGATCAGAGATGCAGCCAAGAGGCCCATGATCACTCTGGATGAACTGCAGATAACTACAGCTGAGGTGGGAGAGTCTGTCCATAGGACAACAATCAGTCGTGCACTGCACAAATCTGGCCTTTATGGAAGAGTGGCCATTTCTCAAAGATATCCATAAAAAGTCTTGTTTAAAGTTTGCCACAAGCCACCTGGGAGACACACCAAACATGTGGAAGAAGGTGCTCTGCTCAGATGAAACCAAAATCAAACTTTTTGGCCACAATGCAAAACGATATGTTTGGCGTAAAAGCAACACAGCTCATCACCCTGAACACACCATCCCCACTGTCAAACATGGTGGTGGCAGTATCATGCTTTGGGCCTGCTTTTCTTCAGCAGGGACAGGGAAGATGGCTAAAATTGATGGGAAGATGGATGGAGCCAAATACAGGACCATTCTGGAAGAAAACTTGTTGGAGTCTGCAAAAGACCTGAGACTGGGACGGAGATTTATCTTCCAACAGGACAATGATCCAAAACATAAAGCCAAATCTACAATGGAATGGTTCACAAATAGACGTATCCAGGTGTTAGAATGGCCAAGTCAAAGTCCAGACCTGAATCCAATCGAGAATCTGTGGAAAGAGCTGAAGACTGCTGTTCACAAACGCTCTCCATCCAACCTCACTGAGCTCGAGCTGTTTTGCAAGGAAGAATGGGCAAGAATTCCAGTCTCTCGATTTGCAAAACTGATAGAGACAAACCCCAAGCGACTTGCAGCTGTAATTGCAGCAAAAGGTGGCGCTACAAAGTATTAGTGCAAGGGGGCCGAATAATATAGCACGCCCCACTTTTCAGTTTTTTATTTGTTAAAAAAGTTTAAATTATCCAATAAATTTTGTTCCACTTCAAGATTGTGTCCCACTTGTTGTTGATTCTTGACACAAAATTTAATTTTTATATCTTTATGTTTGAAGCCTGAAATGTGGCGAAATGTTGAAAGGTTCAAGGGGCCGAATACTTTCGAAAGGCACTGTAGCTACTTACTTACTTACTTACCTACTCACTCACTCTGCATCACTGACATGATTCACATACAACAAACCTGAGTCACAACAAGCAGACATCATAGAGGAACATAAACCTCAGATGGAAATGATCAGAGTAAACTTGGAGAAAACATGAAAGTGAAACAGAAAATGATTTGCTCTACTGTGTCGCTTTAAATTGCGAGCTTTAAATATCTTGATACTGAACAGAACCCATTTTTCCCGCCATAAATATCCTCATCTTCCAGAACACACCGTCATATACTGCAAAAAGGAATATGTTGAGGACGTTTGACTCGATCTTACTCTATGTTTGATACAGATACATTCCAAAACGTGCCAATGGGGATGTCCAGACTTTTGTGAACGACACTGCATACAGACTGGTGCGGGCGCAGGAGGAGAACATGGTCCTAAAGCCCTGGGTTCTGTTGGCCACGATCCTCCTCCAGGCTGAGAACCTGCAGACGGGGATGCGGCTGGAGGAGCTCACCGAGGAGGCTCTGTGGCTCCGTGACCTGTGCCGGCAGTACGGAGGCTTCCTGCACTGGCCTGGTATATGATATATATATATGATAAAACTGTTTTATCAGTTAGCCTCTCTCTCTCTCTCTCTGGCCTCTCTCTCTCTCTCTCTCTCTCTGGCCTCTCTCTCTCTCTCTCTCTCTCTGGCCTCTCTCTCTCTCTCTCTCTCTCTGGCCTCTCTCTCTCTCTCTCTCTCTCTCTGGCCTCTCTCTCTCTCTCTCTCTCTCTCTCTCTCTCTCTCTCTCTGGCCTCTCTCTCTCTCTCTCTCTCTCTGGCCTCTCTCTCTCTCTCTCTCTCTGGCCTCTCTCTCTCTCTCTCTCTGGACTCCCTCTCTCTCTCTCTCTCTCTCTCTCTCTCTCTGGCCTCTCTCTCTCTCTCTGGCCACTCTCTCTGGCCACTCTCTCTGGCGTCTCTCTCTCGCTGGCCTCTCTCTGGCCTTTCTCTCTCTCTCTCTCTCTGGCCACTCTCTCTGGCGTCTCTCTCTATCTCTCTCTCTATCTCTCTCTATCTATAGCCTCTATAGCCTCTCTCTCTCTCTCTGGCCTCTATAGTCTCTCACTTACTCTTACTCTGTGGGTGATGGCTAGCCCTGATGCTAACGTGTTATGCTAATGTGTGTTTCAGACCATGTGGCTCCATCAGAGGTGGTTTCTGCCAGTCTCTCTCTACATCACAGTCTGGTGAAAATCTCAGAGGGACAAGTTTTTATTGCATTCGAAGAAGAAGGTTGGCATTCACACGATCCTCCATTTTATCTACTTATCAGAATAATTTTCCTTCAGAATCATTTTTATTGCCATGGAATAAATAACAGGAAATCACAGATTATGAAATTATTTATTTGATTTGGAGACAAGAGTTATATTGGACACACCATTAGCATTATAGCGAGACCATGCTAATTCAAGACTTCTTTATTAGTCCCACAGTGGGGAAATGTCAGTGTTGCATCACCAGTCACAGAACAGTAGGAATGCAGATCTATAGTAAAATAAAATAAAATCTCTCACTTTTGCATAATAGAGAAGTAAGAATAGAATCTGTAGCTTTGGTGTTATAAAGAAGCACGTCTAAAATTGATTATGCTGAAGTTTCTAAATACTTGTCCATGTGAGGCTTTAATGTAGAGAATAGAGAGCTTATAAACAAAAATCCACGTAAAATTTCTGTGAACAATAATGCTCCTATTTCAGCCACGGTTTTAGACAGTGAAAGTAGATGTTGTGTTGTTTGGTTCGTGTGTCCAGGAGAATCTCCATCTGGTCCCGTGGGTCCCGAGGAGCAGGTGCTGCGGCGGTCGGTCCCTGTGCTCTCCTGTGTGTCCTACAGGAACCAGGCTCTCCATGTGTTCGTGCGGCCTGCCCTCCTGGCCACCGCTGTCCAAACCGCGGCCTCCAACCACAAACGTAAGCTCCGACACCGCTGCAGTCGTTCTGGAGCCAAAACTGATGGTTTGTCTCAGAGATCGCACGCAAATGTTGAAACGGACAAACAGGGAAACTAATGATTAAGTGTGTGTTTATCCCTTCATTATTGTGGCGGGTCAATGATTGAAAAATACCCTAAAGATATTTTTTGGGCAGAATTTTGATGATTTTTCCTCCCTTGACCAGCCCTGGGACTTTAATCTATGAAGGAGTCACAAAATATCTGTTTATCACTGGTTTATCTCTCTTTAATGCCAGTTTTGTTTCAATAATATTGTCGCTTTTTTGTTCTTTTTCCAGAGGACGTTTTTAACACCTTCAGCTTCTTGAGGACCATGTTTTCAAATGAGTTCATCCTGTGTCCCAATGCTGCTGTGGAGGTAAGGTCTGCACAGAGACTGGCGGAGGGAGAGAGGGAGACGGGCGGAGGGAGAGAGAGACGGGCGGAGGGAGAGAGAGACGGGCGGAGGGAGAGAGAGACGGGCGGAGGGAGAGAGAGACGGGCGGAGGGAGAGAGAGACGGGCGGAGGGAGAGGGAGACGGGCGGAGAGGGAGAGAGACGGGCGGAGAGAGAAGGGCGGAGAGGGAGAGAGACGGTCGGAAAGAGAGGGAGACGGGCGGAGGGAGAGACCGACCCAGAGAGACCGACCCAGAGAGACCGACCCAGAGAGACCGACCCAGAGAGACCGACCCAGAGAGACCGACCCAGAGAGACCGACCCAGAGAGACCGACCCAGAGAGACCGACCCAGAGAGACAGACCCAGAGAGACAGACCCAGAGAGACAGACCCAGAGAGACAGACCCAGAGAGACAGACCCAGAGAGACAGACCCAGAGAGACAGACCCAGAGAGACAGACCCAGAGAGACCGACCCAGAGAGACCGACCCAGAGAGACCGACCCAGAGAGACAGACCCAGAGAGACCGACCCAGAGAGACCGACCCAGAGAGACCGACCCAGAGAGACAGACCCAGAGAGACAGACCCAGAGAGACCGACCCAGAGAGACCGACCCAGAGAGACCGACCCAGAGAGACAGACCCAGAGAGACAGACCCAGAGAGACAGACCCAGAGAGACCGACCCAGAGAGACCGACCCAGAGAGACCGACCCAGAGAGACAGACCCAGAGAGACAGACCTAGAGAGACCGACCCAGAGAGACAGACCGACCCATTCTACCGTGTAACAAATCTTTCTTGTGTAGGACTTTGAAGAGGCCTGTTTCCTGCTGATGAAGACTGGAGTTCTGCAGCTGAACCAGCAGGAGGTGCTGGTGAGTCACAGAGGAGACAGAACCATCAGCTTCCTGAGCCGCCTGCTGCTGCCCTTCGTGCAGGGGTACCAGGTGAGCAGATTTGATATATTCATTTATGTCTTTGGTTGTTTATTTGAACAGCTCAAACGGGGTCTGATCCAATAGATGGAGATATCATCAAGAGTGATTTGAGTTTTCCAAATAGATGCACTTCCAGCGTTTGTTCAGCAGAGGGCAGCACTGTCACACACTAATGCCATGTTCTCCTCCAGGTTGTGTGTTCTTTCTTGTGTGAAGAGGCCACAGACTCGCTCACAGAGAAGGATTTTGTTGTAGCTGTTCGAAAGTTCATTGTGAAACGGCTAATAGCAGGTAACTGGAGCTGGAATGTGCCGTTTTCTGTTTTTCTGTCTAACTGTTCATAACTGTACTTTATTTTTAGGCACTTTGAGATATCCAGAGATCCTGTCCTCTGACCTCCAGAAGAACGCTTTTGCTGCTCTCCTCAGACTTGGAGCTGTACAGAAAGTCAAAAGGTAATTCTCTCATGCTCAGTATTCCAATGCGGTTGGAGCCAAAGAAAAACAATGGTGAATGGAGCTTTATAATCACCCGGTGGCATTTATTTTTATAACACATGTCATACTCAAAGTGCTTAACAAAACAAGATGGAAACATTCACATCAGGCAATATAGTCATAATTAATCAGGAGGCCAGTCCCTGTGCTCCTCCGAGTCCCAGCTGGAGGCCAGTCCCTGTGCTCCTCTGAGACTAAGTTGGTTTATTATGCCACTAACATGTCAGAGAAGTACTTTGGTGCGAGGCCATGGAGAGACTTGTAACAAACCAAACCCTCTTCCAGCCTCAGGCCGAGACCTTCCCTGTATTTCATTTACCTTTTCTGTTCTCTGTGTTACATTCATCCAAGACTTGACCACTTGGATGTACGTAAAATTATCAAGTAAATCCTGCCATAACAAAATACTTTTCTCCAGAGTGGACCAGACAAAGCTGAAAATCAACAAGGTGACAATGAACTCTTTAGAGGACACACTTGGTAAGCATCTAAATTTATTTGACTCTGATGCTGTGAATATGAGAGATGTGAATATTATTTTCTTTTAGGAGGGAAACTGCCAACTCCAAACGCTGCCTCGGCTCGCCTCTGATGGCCTCTGATGGCCTCTGATGGCCTCTGATGGCCTCTGATGGCCTCTGATGGCCTCTGATGGCCTCTGATGACCTCTGAAGGCCTCTGATCTCCTCTGATGGCCTCTGATGGCCTCTGATGGCCTCTGATGGCCTCTGATGGCCTCTGATGACCTCTGATGACCTCTGATGACTTCTGATGACCTCTGATGGCCTCTGATGGCCTCTGATCTCCTCTGATGGCCTCTGATGGCCTCTGATGGCCTCTGATTGCTGCGTCTCATTGGGTTTGGGATCTGCCTGTATGAACACAACAATGGCCTTTCTTGTATCTTCTCTCTTCCATTCATTTCTAAAAAAAACTTTCATAAATACTGCGCATATTAAAGCTTTTCTGTGTGGATGTAAAGCCTGGTGTGGGGGCTTGGAGCAGCAGCCGAGTTCTTCTGTTCCTTTTCACTTTAAACGTGTGTAATATTATCTAAGTCACTGTGTGTTCTCTAATGACGCTCCTCTTTTGTGTGATTGCAATCCTCTGGGAGCACTTTATCTTTTGAATATTGTTTGGTCTGACTCTAATCTAATGTCGAATCAAATACAGGGGTGTCAAACCAGTTCCAGAGAGAGAGAGAGGCCAAAGAGAGAGAGAGAGGTCAGAGAGGGAGAGGCCAGAGAGGGAGAGGCCAGAGAGAGAGAGGCCAAAGAGAGAGAGGCCAAAGAGAGAGAGGCCAAAGAGAGAGAGGCCAAAGAGAGAGAGGCCAAAGAGAGAGAGGCCAAAGAGAGAGAGGCCAGAGAGAGAGAGGCCAGAGAGAGAGAGGCCAGAGAGAGAGAGGCCAGAGAGAGAGAGGCCAGAGAGAGAGAGGCCAGAGAGAGAGAGGCCAGAGAGAGAGAGGCCAGAGAGAGAGAGGCCAGAGAGAGAGAGGCCGGAGAGAGAGAGAGGCCAGAGAGAGAGAGGCCAGAGAGAGAGAGGCCAGAGAGAGAGAGGCCAGAGAGAGAGAGGCCAGAGAGAGAGAGGCCAGAGAGAGAGAGGCCAGAGAGAGAGAGGCCAGAGAGAGAGAGGCCAGAGAGAGAGAGGCCAAAGAGAGAGAGGCCAAAGAGAGAGAGGCCAAAGAGAGAGAGGCCAGAGAGAGAGACCAGAAAGAGAGGGAGAGAGAGGCCAAAGACAGAGGCCAGAAAGAGAGAGAGGTGTGCTTCTGCTTGGTTGGAATGAAAACCTGCAGCCACACCTGCCCTTTCAGGACCGGTGTGACATCCTGGATCTAATATTTGCCAACCTGTTTTTCATCATGCCAAACAAGATTATTTATTTAAGAAATGTCCCTATATAATCCCGTGTTGAATGGGTTTGTTGAATTGCCGATATCATTCTGTGTTTGACCAAGTCTGGTGATAAAGCTGCCAAACTCTAAAAGAAAATGTTTTGCCACAATAATATGTGTTCTGAAGATGTTACTGAGAATGACACAGATTTTGTTACAACGGAAAAGATTCAAGCAAAGTTAGGTCCAAAGTCTCCATTGGTTTAAAATCTGGTTTAGCAAATGATTTAGAAATTGTGCCATTTTAGCTGCGTGTCTGTTACCAGGGACTGAAATGTGGTTAATGTGCTTTACTGTTTAAATGTTCTCGTCCTACTCTCATACTCTCATTGACTGCCAGCCGTTTTTGATGATTTCACTGATTCTCAAGACCCACAGAATATTGTTTCCTAAGACTATGTGAAATACGAAACCAGATTCTGAAAGACTGGATTGTCTACTTTCATCCGCAAAAATAAGTTTGTTTCTAGCTATTTTTGTTCTCCTGTAATCCCCAGTCGAATAGAGAGTCTCAGACAAATACGTCAATGGCAGTCAATGAGGCTTCACATTTGCCCCTTGCCATGTGGTACATTTGAAAAGCCAGATCTACTTTAGTGCCATACAGATAAAGTTTCACCTGTTCTCTTTCAAATTCACTCTTGACAACAATGCTAAAGATTGTAGCTCAAAGAATACGACTTTATGACACATTTCCTAACCAGAGATGCTGAGGGTGTCTTGCCTTGTCTGTGAGCAGCCTGGGCTATAGCTTTAGCTTGACTTGTGCTTTTGAAAACGTTAAAACAATGGAATGTCCAGACTTAACGGATAACGGACAAAAGCAGTTTTAATGAGGTTCGAGTTCCAAGGTTCCAAAAACGGTTGCAATTCCACCAGTCAAAAACCCAAGTTCGCTTCCTCATTACTACAGAACTGCACTTGACCAGGCTCCACCAAAACACAGTCACATTACACAGAGGTGCCCACCAAAACCAAATGATGACCTCAGGATTATCATTCTCTTAAGGGGAAATCAAACGGCCTTTACACACATAGATATATATACACACATACAGTATACACAAGCCATATTTAACAACCTTCATCCTGTGTTTTTATCAGCTCGAGATGAAGTGGGAAGAGGAAAAATGTATCTGTGTGGAAAATGTTTTATATGTTTAATAATTGTGAATGAATTGGGTCGAGCGTTTACTACTGGATGTGAGGTGTGGAAACTGTTGTTAATAAAATACTGATACATTTTATGATTTTTGAGTATTTTGTCAACTGTGAGAAACCTAATGAGCTTCAAAGATCAGTTATTAAGATAAAACGTTAATTACAGACAATAAAAGAAGAGAATAAACTCAGAAAAGTCACTTGCAGAGTATACACTGTGGTTAGCAGCATCATGATGTATTTACAGATGTTTGTACTTTAGCAGCAGAGAATAAGACCAGAATAAACAATAGTAATAATAGCAGGTAGAGTGACAAGTAGCCAACGTGGATAATGTACTGCATTAAAGTACTTTATCAAGGCTACAGGGCGTCAGAGTTCTGTTTGGAGGTCAGAGTGGACCAGAGGACGTGTCAGGGCCAAGCTCCAGGCAGCAGAGGCGATGCTGCACATGATGGGGTTCAAAGAGCAGATGGAGCTGGACAACCCTCAGCCGTCGCCCTCTGAGGAGCTCCTCTCCCAGCAGAGGGTCTTACACCTGCGAGAGACAGAGAAGCTCCAGGCCAGGCAGCCGTTTAGAGCTACTGTCGCACCAGCCCAGAAACACATGCATACTGTACATCCCAGAGTGAGGGGTCCCCACCGGCTCTAAAGGAGCCCATCCCAGAGGAACTTATCCCAGAGGAGCCAATTCCAGAGGAGCCAAACCCAGAGGAGCCCATTCCAGAGGCGCAAATCCCAGAGGCGACAATCCCAAAGGGGCTAATCCCAGAGAGGCCAATCCCAGAGGAGCCAATCCCAGAGGATCCAATCCCAGAGGAGCCAATCGTAGAGAATCTTGTCCCTGAGGATCTTGTCCCTGTGGACCTGGTCCAGACCCTCTGCACTGTGGCTCTAACTTCTCGTGGTCAGGAGAGTCCATTGGATCTGGACTCCATCTCTTCTCTTGACCCTGTGGGTTCGGTGCAGGACCATAACCCACCTGAGGTTATCCAAGTACCTCCTGCTCCAGAACGCCCAAACTTCCAGGACTGTAGCAGTCCTTCAGAAAGTCTCAGTCCTTCAGAGACACAGGACGTTAGCTCCGAGGCCGCTCACTTCATGGTCTCAGCAATGATCCGAAAACTCTTGGACAAATCCCCTGTGTCCCTGAACATTAGGGAACAAGGAAAAGTTATTTTTCGACTGCGTGAGGTGGAGCGAAGAGTCTCCATGGCCCAGGGAACAGACCTGTAGACCAAAGACCTTAAAGGGCCCATATCACGGTTTTTGACTTTTCTCTGCTTTAAACATGATTACAATGCTATTTGGCCTTCATACACAAGCCCACAGTAGTTTATTCATTGATTCTGTCAATCTTTTGTAAGAGAGCAATCTGTCTCCTTCCCCAGCGTGAGGCACAGAAACGCTCGGGTCCACTTCAGTGACAAAAACCACACTGATGACGCGCATGACGCGCATGACCCCGTTTGCTTTGTATTTAAAATAGTTGTTAAATACTTTTGTCAAAACGGGGTAAACAATACACAATTAGTATGCTGTTTTTTGTCAAAAATAATAAAAATAAAAATAAATTAAAAGCCGGCGGGAGGTGATTGACGGATCAAAACAGCGAATCAGAGCGCACAGGCTCCGGCTCCCGAGTCCAGCGTCTGTGGTCTGGTCTCGCGGACACCACATAGAGCTGCTGTTTTTATGCTTTTGTCAGCAACTAAAAGTGTTAGGATCACGTCAACTTGAATGAAGTGTGTTATGGGTGTAAATATGTGACACACTATTTGGCCCGAAGAGGAAGAAAGCGGCTCGACTTTTTTCATCTGTTCATCTCATGGATCTATTATAAACCGGTTCATCTGCGACACTTCAGTGAGACTGTTCCAGAACTACAGGGACAATGGAACTGGACTTACTCAAAGGCTGATCTGGAAACACGTTATTCCCACGGTAAAAGACGATTGAGAATGAGGAGTTGACGTCACGGCACAGAGTCCCCCCTCCCCATCCCCCCTTTGCCGACATATTGGCTGCGCACCGGTGGCGGCAGTACAGTTTGTTTACGTGTGTTGTGAACGCGGTAGTAGCGGAGGTTCTTGCTATTCCGCACTGTTTTATCATGCCTGGAAATAACTGCTGCGTTAAAAACTGCTCCAATACCTCCCACGATGGATATGGAAAACCTAGTAACAACGGGATACAGTTTTTTAGGTTACCGAAATGGAAAAAGCATCAAGGGGAGCAATTCTCTGACCTGACAAGGAGACGTCGGATTGCTTGGTTGGCTGCAATTAGAAGAAAGGACCTTACTTTCGATCACACACCCCTGTCGACGAGAGTGTGTTCTCTGCATTTTCACTCTGGTACGTTCTCTAAAAATGTATTTATGTAGTTGTCTCTTAAAGCTAGGAAGTGTAGGTTAGCATGTTATTATGGTTTCTGTAGTGCCTTTGTCTCTGTGTCTTTGTTACCCTCTCAGGCTGTTTCTTACTTAGCACGTGTTCTGCGAGGTCTTTGCCAGTGTAAAGCATAGATTACATAGATTGTACACATAATCTAATTATTCTGTTGTACATAAACCTTCATATGACATTATGAGGTGACCTAAAAAGTACTTGAGATGCTGTTCATGACATAGTTGCCAGTTTAAAGCATTGATTACATAGATTGTGCAAATTATTATATTAATTATATGTTGTTATTATTCTCGTGTAGGTAAACCAGCATATGAGATGTTGGAGAACCACCCTGACTGGACACCATCCCTGTTGTTAGGCCACAATGATGTACAAAAAACAGATGAAGCGAGATATCAGCGGCAAGTAAGGCGCAGGTCCCTGCCACTGGAGCGGCAGCCACCTCCAGCCCAACACCAGCCGCAGGCGCCGCCGCCTCCAGCCCTAGACCAGCTGCAGCCGCCACCAGCCCTAGACCAGCTGCAGCCGCCACCAGCCCTAGACCAGCCGCAGGCGCCGCCGCCACCAGCCCTAGACCAGCCGCAGGCGCCGCCGCCGCCAGCCGCCCCGCCGCCGCCCTAGACCAGCCGCAGGCGCCGCCGCCGCCAGCCCTAGACCAGCCGCCAGCTGACCCGGACATGGAATGTGGACTCTGCACATCTAGACGAGATGTTATCAACAATCTTCTTGAAGAAAACAGACAGCTGAAGCGTGAGCTTGATACGTACCGGATGAATGAGAACTTTCTGAGTGGTGATGATAACACAGTGAAGTATTACACGGGGCTTCCAAACTTTGCATTGTTCCAGACACTTCTACTCTACCTAACTCCAGATCTGCCTCAAGGTAGAATGAAGAAGCTCTCACCCTTCCAGCTTGTCCTATTGACTTTAATGCGCCTCAGACTGGACCTTCCAATACAGCACCTCAGCCATCTGTTTAGAGTACATAGGACAACAGTCGCCGATGCCTTTCACCATACCCTTGGTGTGATGTACGCACAGCTGTGTCCATTGGTGCACTGGCCAAGTAGGGAATGCTTATTGACCAGTATGCCACACCAGTTTGTGGAGTCATTTGGGAACAATGTGGCTGCCATTGTGGACTGCTTCGAGGTGTTCATCGAGAAACCTTCCAATGTACTAGCAAGGGCACAGACTTTTTCTCAATACAAACACGCATACACTATGAAATACCTAATCGTGATCACGCCCCAGGGTGTAATTTCCTTCATATCGAACGGGTGGGGTGGGCGCACAAGCGACAAGCATATAACCGAGCAAAGTGGTTTCCTGAACAAGCTGTTACCAGGTGACATTGTGCTGGCAGATAGAGGCTTTAATATAAGAGAACATGTGGGCATGATGTGTGCTGAAGTGAAAATACCTACATTCACCAGGGGTCGTGCTCAGCTTGAGGCGAAAGATGTGGAGGAGACTAGGGCCATAGCACATCTCAGAATTCACGTGGAGAGGGTGATCGGTGTTGTGCGCAACAAATTCAAATTCTTACACTCAACTGTACCTGTGCACATGCTTGTCAAATGTGAGGGTGAAAACCTAATGCCTTTGGATAAGATTGTCATTGTTTGCTGTGCCTTAACGAACATGTGCAAAAGTGTTGTTTGAGTACCTTATTCTTTACTGTATCTTTTATTTTTAAATAAATGCATGAAACAACTTGATATGGTTTACCAATATTTATTGAGAAATGAATATTTTTTTTGTTACAAACGTGTGCAGTCAAAGTACTGTTTCCAGCATGTAAACATGCCCAACATAGGTAAAAATGATAATAAGAGTCATACTTTTCTTAGTGCAAAGGGACAGAAAACACTGCTAAACAACGTGTGCATTCAAAGTACTGTTTCCAGCATGTAAACATGCACAGCATAGGCAAAAATGATCATAAGAGTCATACTTTTCTTAGTGCAAAGGGACACAAAACACTGCAAAACAACGTGTGCATTCAAAGTACTGTTTCCAGCATGTAAACATGCACAGCATAGGCAAAAATGATCATAAGAGTCATACTTTTCTTAGTGCAAAGGGACACAAAACACTGCAAAACAACGTGTGCATTCAAAGTACTGTTTCCAGCATGTAAACATGCACAGCATAGGCAAAAATGTACGGTCCCTTCTCTTTCGCCTTATCTCTAAGCATTGTTTTACTGTCTTCCTTTCCCTTGTTGTATCAGTAGATCCGTCTCTGTCTCGCCGAAAACGTAAATGCTCTGGAATATGAGGAGCGCGTGAAATTCTGGGGGCGTGCCCCCGTTGCGCAGCCAATATGTCCGACAGGCTCAGAGCCCCCCCCAAATCACCCCAACTCGGCACGTGACTCCTCATTCTCGGACCCCCTCGATCTGTAAGTAGTGACGCTAACTCGCTGTATACTTCTGTAAACTAAATAACTAGGGTCTGATTGTGCATCGAGGACATAGGGCTCGATGTGACGGATTGTCATCGTTGGAAAAAGTTTATTCTTATGTATGAAATTACTAAGTACAGGTGATAAACGACAAAAGCGTGATGCTACGTCACCGTGCGGGCGGGGGGAGGCGGGCTCACAGACAGAGGAGCAGACTCTTCTCTGGATCAGCTCGTTTGAGTCGAGGTGACGTCACCTCTAAGAGATGGCTCTAATCTCACAAGCTTTGATTGTTGTGTGGTGTATCATACACATTAATATCACACATGTGTATAGGATTGAGTGTGAAACATGAAGAAAAGCGTGATATAGGACCTTTAAAGCTGGAGCTAAAGAGGCGGCTAGAAGTCTCCGGAAAGAGCTGGGACCCATCTCCTCAGCCCTGCTCCAGAGTGAGTCCTTTCTCGAGGCAGCGGTGAGACTTCTGAACTTCCACCTGGAGGACTTCAGTCACGAGGACCGAGGCCGACCAGGACCGAGGCCGACCAGGACCGAGGCCGACCAGGACGCTTCTTCTCTCGAGTGTTCATGATGTTCAGGATCAGGAGGAGCAGAGTGTCGCCTGGTACTCTCAGAGCATACCTCAGATCAGCATCCTAAAAACACATCACTCCTGCCTGAAGTCACCTTCACTTACTGTAGGAGGTCACAGCAGGAGGACTGTAAAAAAAAAAAAACAGAATTAAGAAAAAAACAAATTATGAAAACCGAAAAAAAAACAAAAAAGATTAATGAAATTCAACAAAAGCATTGAGGAAAAATAAAAACAAGGCCCATTTTATTATGACATGGAGTAAAAGTCATATTTAGAGGTCATTTGGTATACCGTAAAAATTTGGACGGTGCTTCACACGCGCTCATCTATATTTTTTTCATACTTTTACCTATCTGGTTTCTAAGTAAGTAAGTAAGTAAGTAAGTAAGCTTTATTTATATACCGCCTTTCACAGACCAGAGTCACAAAGCGGTTTACAATTGTTATTTTTTGGGCATTTGTCTCTAACTCCACACAGAGATGAGAGCGGGGTTTCTGTTTCTGGTCTCTCCTCAGGTCTTTCTGTCACTTCTAGTCTCTCCTCAGGTCTATCTGTCACTTCTGGTCTCTCCTCAGGTCAGATAGTTTGATAGTTCGATCTGACTTAACAGTGTGTGTGGGTGTGTGTTTGTGTTTGTGTGTGCGTGCGTGTGCGTGCGTGGGTGCGTGTGTGAGTGTGTGTGTGTGTGTGTGTGTGTGTGTGTGTGCGTGCGTGTGTGTGTGGAGGTTTATAAAATGAAATGGCAGTTCTCCAACAAAGGTGTTTCCATCATCCTTCTCCCTGTTGAGGACCACACGTGGTTTGTGATACTTGGGCGTGGTCTGTGGACAATTGGACATATAATTGTGGGCGTGGTCAGACCCCCGCCTGTGTTAGTGGGCGGGGCTTGTCATCAGGTAAAGTCACCTATTCTCAGAGTGCAGCAGTCAGTTCATCCTGATGGATCTAATACTGACACTGCTGAGTCTGAGCCTGGTCTGCCCTGGGCTCGGGGAGAGGTATGGAACTACTACTACTACTACTACTACTACTACTACTACTACTACTACTACTACTACTACTACTACTACTACTACTACTACTACTACTACTACTACTACTACTACTACTACTACTACTGCTGATACTACTACTGCTGCTACTACTACTACTTCTACTACTATTAGTTCTGGTCTCTCCTCTGGTCTCTCCTTTGGTCTCTCCTTTGGTCTCTCCTCTGGTCTCTCCTCTGGTCTCTCCTCTGGTCTCTCCTTTGGTCTCTCCTCTGGTCTCTCCTCTGGTCTCTCCTTTGGTCTCTCCTCTGGTCTGTCCTCTGGTCTCTCCTCTGGTCTGTCCTCTGGTCTCTCCTCTGGTCTCACACAGTGGCCTCTGCTTAGCTCTTACTCAGTGGTCAGCTCCTCTGTGATCGACCCGGATGTGCTGTACCCAGTGCTGGTCGTGAACCTTCGGGTCCAGACTGTGGACTTCAATCTGAAGATCTTCTTGGACCAGGATCCAGACCAGGTCTTAAGCTCGGCTTCTGCTCTGGTCCAAGGTGAGTGGGATCTACAGGAGGACCTAGACCTTCAGCCAGTCTGAAAATTAAAATGAAATGAATGGTTCTGTCACTTCTGGTCTCTCCTCTGGTCTTTCTGTCACTTCTGGTCTCTCCGCTGGTCTTTCTGTCTCTTCTGGTCCCTCCTCTGGTCTTTCTGTCTCTTCTGGTCTCTCCACCTGTTTTTCTGTCTCTTCTGGTCTCTGAAACACTGATTGTAATGAACCTTTTGTGTCTCAGGTGACGATGAAGAGGTTCTGCATCTGCCAACGTTCAACTCTTCATCTGTGAGTCACCCATTACCCAGTTAGTCCAGACCGGAGTCCAGACCGGAGTCCAGACCGGAGTCCAGACCGGAGTCCAGACCGGAGTCCAGACCGGAGTCCAGACCGGAGTCCAGACCGGAGTCCAGACCGGAGTCCAGACCGGAGTCCAGACCTGACAATGACATGATTCTGGTTCAAATACAAATGACATGTTTTTTTCCTGCAGTTGGATGGAGACTCCATTTTGTGGCTTTCGGTACAAGGCAGAGTCCCGTCTTCAGACCAAGTCCTGGTTTATAACCAGACCAGACTCAAACTCAAACCCCAGAGCCAGACCACACTAATCCAGACTGACTGCAGCCACTACAGACCCGGAGGCAAGGTCAAGATCCGAGTCCTGTCTCTGAGACCAGACCTGACTGGACTTGAAGCTACAAAGAACCTGATCATCAAGGTATGAACCAGGACTAAGTCAGGTCTGGACTGTGGGAGGGACCTCAGACAGAGGGGAGGAGTCTCAAAATGGAAGGGAGGGTCTTCAGAAAGAAGGGAGGATTCTCGGATAAAGGGGTGGAGTCTCAGGGAAGGGGAGGAGCCTCAGACAAAGGGGTGGAGTCTCAGGGAAGGGGAGGAGCCTAAGAAAGGGTAGAGGGGCCCTCAGACTAAGGGGTGGAGTCTCAGGGAAGGGGAGGAGCCACAGACAGACTGGTTTCTAATCTCTCTCTGATCTCTCTCTGGTCTCTCTCTGGTCTCTCTGGTCTCTCTCTGGTCTCGTTCTGGTCTCTCTGTGTTCTCTGGTATCTGGTCTCAGGATCCTGGAGGACACATCATCCGACAGTGGGATTCCATAAACGGTTCTCTTGGAATCTCATCCCTCGTGTTTCAACTTTCTCAAAGTCCTCCTCTGGGAAAGTGGACCATCACAGCCACCGTACAGGTCAGAAATACTAAAGTACAGGTCAGAAATACTAAAGTACAGGTCAGAAATACTAAAGTACAGGTCAGAAATACTAAAGTACAGGTCAGAAATACTACAGTACAGGTCAGAAATACTACAGTACAGATCAGAAATACTACAGTACAGGTCAGAAATACTAAAGTAAAGGTCAGAAATACTAAAGTACAGGTCAGAAATACTAAAGTACAGGTCAGAAATACTACAGTACAGGTCAGAAATACTAAAGTAAAGGTCAGAAATACTAAAGTACAGGTCAGAAATACTAAAGTAAAGGTCAGAAATACTAAAGTACACGTCAGAAAAGTCATTGATTGATTCTTTCACAGGGCGTGTCCACAGAGAAGCACTTCAGTGTGGAGATTGTTAGTGAGTGACATCATCCTCGTCCGTCTACTGCTTCTGCTGGGCTCCCTGACCCCGGGGTCAGACCCTCTCCCAGACCCCAGGGTCAGACTCTCTCCTTGACCCTAGGGTCAGACCCTCTCCCAGACCCCAGGGTCAGACTCTCTCCTTGACCCTAGGGTCAGACTCTCTCCTTGACCCTAGGGTCAGACCCTCTCCCAGACCCCAGGGTCAGACTCTCTCCTTGACCCTAGGGTCAGACTCTCTCCTTGACCCCAGGGTCAGACTCTCTCCTTGACCCCAGGGTCAGACTCTCTCCTTGACCCTGGGGTCAGACTCTCTCCTTGACCCTAGGGTCAGACTCTCTCCTTGACCCTAGGGTCAGACTCTCTCCTTGACCCTAGGGTCAGACCCTCTCCCAGACCCCAGGGTCAGACTCTCTCCTTGACCCTAGGGTCAGACTCTCTCCTTGACCCTAGGGTCAGACCCTCTCCCAGACCCCAGGGTCAGACTCTCTCCTTGACCCCAGGGTCAGACTCTCTCCTTGACCCTAGGGTCAGACTCTCTCCTTGACCCCAGGGTCAGACTCTCTCCTTGACCCTAGGGTCAGACTCTCTCCTTGACCCCAGGGTCAGACTCTCTCCTTGACCCCAGGGTCAGACTCTCTCCCTGACCCTAGGGTCAGACTCTCTCCCTGACCCTAGGGTCAGACTCTCTCCTTGACCCTAGGGTCAGACTCTCTCCCTGACCCTAGTATGAAGGGCCAACACTGTCAAAATAATAAATAAATGTCACAATCTTCCAAATATTACTAATATAAAGCTACAAATTATGAGATTGAAAAAATGTATATTATTATTAAGTAAGTAAGTAAGTAATCTTTATATACCGCCTTTCACAGACCAGAGTCACAAAGCGGTTTACAATTGTTATTTTTGGGCATTTGTCTCTCACTCCACACAGAGATGGGAGCGGGGCCAGTACAGGAGGCGCATGCCAGACTTATTGTACATGTTTTTAGTGGTAGGGGAAACCGGAGTACCCGGAGGAAACCAACGCAGACATGGGGAGAACATGCAAACTCGACCCAGAAAGGCCCTGTTTCGACTGGGATTCGAACCCAGGGCGAGAGTGCTATCCACTCCGCCACCGTGCTGGATAGTATTATTATTAGTGCTGTCCAAAATATCGCGTTATTAACGCGTTAACGCAAATCAATATTAACGGCGTCATTTTTTTTATCGCCATTAATTTTTTTTATAATTATTAAAAAAAAAAAAAAAAAAAATTTTTTTTTTTTTTTTTTTTTTTTTTTTTACTTTTTATTGCAGACAAACACATATACAGAAAAAAAATAGACACAAAGAAAAGGACTAGTTAAGATACATTGTAGACAGAGATTACAAACAATATGTAGTTGGAGATACAGGGGGCCAAAGAAGAAACCCAGAAGGGCACATAGGAGGGGGGGGGGGGGGGGGGGGGATGAAGTGGGAGATGGGGGGGAGGGGTTAATAAAAAAGGCAATACAAGCAAACAGTATACAGTCATAGATATACCGAAAGTAAACAGAGAAACACTATAGAGTATTTACATGAACAAATTTACAAAAAAATTGTTTATCATCATCATAATGACACCATGATGTTTCTATACAGTCTATGGTCTATACCCACACATACACACACACACCCACACCCATACCCACACACACACTCCACACACACACACACACACATTGAAGGGGCTTTTTGTTACCAATTATTTATTTTGTCATCCATTTATTGATGATTTTGCATCAAATGTTAGTGTGTAATATAACACTACACATTGTTTTCAATAAAAAAAGAAATTGCACACAGCACGCAAATGGGTGACTAATTTGCGATTAATCGCGAGTTAACTATGAAATTCATGCGATTAATCGCGATTAAATATTTTAATCGTTGGACAGCACTAATTATTATAAAACGTTTTTTACTCGAATCAAATAATAAAGATGTTTATTTTCTGTCTGCATTTATTTTTATCCTCCAGATCCACATCATCTCTGTCAGCTCTGTCAGCTCTGTAGAGGAGGGTCACGAACCAAAAAGCCACAGAAATGATTGTCGTGACAGCGCTCACTGCACAAAACAAAATAACACTGTAGAGGGACTGTGGGGACCGCAAGATTAGCAGAACTCGCCCATATTTGGGCATCGTCTGGTTCTTATGGTTCTGCGCAGTGTATGAGCTCCCATGATGCTTTGCATCAAACACGTGTATGTGGCTCTCATGCAGAGGGGCTCGGCCGCGCTCTGACCAATCAGAGCTGCTCATCAGAGCGCCGCTAAAGCGGAGTTAGGAAACGAGCAGAGTTTGTGGCAGTAAAGTGTGGATTTATTAAGAAGAAGAAAAATTCAGGATGACTATGGACATATGAAAGCTGTAGGTTCTCTGTCAGGTTCTCTGTCAGCTGAGGTCGAGCTGTTTCAGTTTACATTGAGTTCTATGGGGTCCCGTGAATTTAGTCTTGTTCAGTCTGCAGTACCGCGAGAATCCCCCGAGCACGTGGTCCTTCAGCTCCGAGCTAAAACCCCATCCTGATATTATTATAGATCCATGGTCAGACGTCCTCACTGTGCGCAGCAGATCTCTGATGATACAACTGCTTTGGTCTAACTTTCTGTAGCTCCGCCCCCTTCATTTGCATCGAATGGTGCGTTGTAAAAGATAATAATAATCAATAAAAAAGGAAGTAAATGAAGATATGAAGAAAATAAATACAATGCAGAAAAAAATGAAGAGAATTTAATATTTCTTTGGGCAAAAAATTGCAGTTAAATAAAAATCTGTATATTTTTAAATCTTAACCTTTGAATGAACAAGGAAATAAATAAATGCAAATAGAAAATTATAGAACTTTATTATTTCGTTTTTAACCAAAAAACGTTGTATAATGATTATATATAATAATTAAATCTCATAATCTGTAGTTTTATCTTGTGACATGTATTCATTTAAATATTATTTTGCCAGCTTTGGTCCTCCATGCCCTAGGGTCAGTAGAACAGAGACTTTATACACTTAAATGTTATGTATATTTTTTATCAGAAATGTAATTTAATAATTTTTCTGACTTAATAATGACATGAAAATGTGGAATGTATATTTCTTTTCAGAAAACTGATTGTAAATGATTAAGAATTCTGTGTGGTTTTCAGATTTGCCAAAGTTTAAAGTGGAAATCAGCGTCCCCAAAAGGATTTACTACAAGGACAATTTGTGGGGAGCTGTCAGTGCCAAGTGTGTTTGTGTGTCTGTGTGTGTGTCTGTCTGTCTTTCTGTCTGTGTGTCTGTACATGTAAGTGTGTGTGTGTCTCTGTGTGTCTGTATGTGTGTGTGTCTGTCTGTCTTTATGTCTGTGTGTCTGTACATGTAAGTGTGTGTGTGTCTCTGTGTGTCTGTATGTGTGTGTGTCTGTCTGTCTTTCTGTCTGTGTGTCTGTACATGTAAGTGTGTGTGTGTCTGTCTGTCTTTCTGTCTGTGTGTCTGTACATGTAAGTGAGTGTGTCTCTGTGTGTGTGTGTCTCTGTGTGTCTGTATGTGTGTGTGTGTGTGTGTCTGTCTGTCTGTGTGTCTGTACATGTAAGTGTGTGTGTGTCTGTCTGTCTTTCTGTCTGTGTGTCTGTACATGTAAGTGTGTGTGTCTATGATACAATGATAAAACGTTCTTTTGTGTCAGACATTTTCATGGCAAGTCTGTGGTGGGAACTCTGCGGCTGAGCTTCACGCATCGCTCACACGGCCGCGAGAAGACCTTTGAGAAGACCAGCTGGGTGAGGACCCTGTCCCCCGGACCATAGACCCTGTCCCCAGGGGACTCTAGACCATAGACCCCACAATGAGGACATGTCTCCACAAAGTGACCCGTGTCAGTCCTATGTCAGGACCTTGGTCTGCAAAGGTTTTCAGACCGTATGTTTTTGTTTCAGTTTGATGGACACCACAAGTTTCATTATGACGTTGATCAAACGGACATCAACAAGAGAATGGTTTTCACTCATGATTATGAAGAGGAATCCATAAAGATACAAGCGACAGTCACAGAGTCCATGACAGGTACTAAACTAGACTAAACTAGACTAAACTGGACTCATACTGGTCCAAACCAGGTGTAAAGTTCTTGTTTTTCACAGGTCTTCAGTACAACTCTTCGATGAGGGTGGATTTGGTCAAACATCTGTATGAACTGTCTTTTGTGGGACACAGAAACACGATACGACCAGGATCCACCTTTAGCACTCTGGTACCAAGGACCAGGAACCATGGGACCAAGGACCAAGGACCAGGAATCGGGGACCAAAGACCAGGGACCAAGGACCAGGGACCAAGGGACTAAACACCAAGGACCAAGCACCAGGGACCAGGAACCACGGGGCCAAGGACCAAGAATCAGGGACCAGGGACCAAGGAACACAGGACCAGGGACCAAGGACCAGGGACGACGGGACACAGGACCAAGGGACACAGGACCAGGGACCAAGGGACCAAGGGACTAAGCACCAGGGACCAAGGACCAGGGACCAAGGGACCAAGGACCAGGGACAAAAGACCAGGGACCAAGGACCACGAGTCTAAGGAACATTGTGTTTTCAGCTGAAGGTGGTGAGGTTCGATGGAGCTCCTCCTCATGAGTCAGATCTCACAGTGGAAGTGACGGTTCTGCAGCAGCGATCCAGGCCGTGGACCGGGATCCAAGACCGCAACCCAGACCATCACCCAGGCCAAGACCCGGACCATCTCTCAGACCAGGACTCAAAGGAGGACTGGGACCAGGAGTCTCCCGTGTCCCAGAACCTGGAGCTGCCTGTTCCTCATGACGGGATCATCCCTCTGTCCATCGAGCTCAGAGACGACACACACTCTCTGATCATCGACGTGAGTGACCTTCACCCAAAGACCCTCCAAGTTCAATCAGTCCATGTGCTGGGGGCAGAACGTGAGGGCTCTGGAGGGAGAGGGAGGTTCCAAGAGTGGTCTTTGACACCCCCCCCCCCCCCCATCTCTCTGACCTCTGACCATCAACACCCTTGTTCCAAAGACCAAGGATCAGGGACAAAAGGACCAAGAGACTTTGGACCAGAGACCAGGGACCCTGTCTGTGACCCCAACTCCTCATGTCTCTGACCTCTGACCTCTCATGTCTCTGACCTCTGACCCCTCATGTTTCTGACCTCTGACCCCTTGTCTGTTGCAGATGTCTCTTCAGGACAGTTACTCCACTCTGATGATCCACAGCTCTTACACGTCTCCAACAGGATCCTACATACAGATCCACCCCCCCCACTCACCCCCACAGGTAACACTTCCCCCACAGACATGAGACATATGAGACTTTTGATACAAATCAGACACGAGATACAGTATATGGGACATAAATGACATTAAACATCTGAGACATGAGGTCAGGTGTCTGTGATTGACATGTCTCTGGTTCCTCTGTTTCAGGCCGGTTCCTCTGTAACCCTGAACATCTGGAGCAGCTTTCACCTTCGCAAATACAACTATGTGGTAAGAACCTAATGTTTCTCTGTCTGCAGTATTCAGTCCTGATCCTCTGGTGTTGTTATAGTCCTAACCTCTCTGGTCCCTCGGGTGCAGGTGATGTCCCAGGGTTGTGTGGTCTCTGCTGGGTCTACCTCTGGAGACCTGGTCTTGGACTTGAACTCAGCCTGGACTCGGTCTGTCTTTGTCCTGGTCTTCATTGTTTTACCAGACGGAGAGATCGTTACTGATCGAGTACAGCTAAATGTCCAGCATCAACTCAGAAACCATGTGAGGCCAGTGGTGATAGTAGTGGTAGTGGTGATAGTAGTGGTAGTGTTGGTTGTAGTGGTAGCGTATCATTGATTGTGGGAGGATGGATTTCTCGCTCCTGTCAGGAGAGCAGGAGGTCCTAGATGGTCCTGGATGGTCCTGCATGGTCCTGGATCGTCTTGAGCCTTTCTTGTTGCTGCTGCTTCCTGTCTGCTGTCCTGAATCTCTCCTCTGATTGGCTGTGGCAGGTGTCTCTGAGGTGGAGCGCTAACACACTGAAGCCACACGAGGGCGCCACTCTCACCGCCACCGTCTCCGAGCCGCACTCACTGGTCGCCATCAGTGTGGTTGACATGGCAACAATAAGAGACTCTGCTCACAATGATATCACCGAGCACCAGGTGAATTCAACCCCCAATGCAAAGACTACCTTAAAACATGTGTGTGAAAAGTGAAAGCATATCTCAGAGTCCAATTTAATGATAGCACAGTAAACCCTGATGTGACTGCGGAGTTTGTTTATGCTGCATGTAACCACGGCAACCGGACCCTCCTGAGACACAGCCAGCAGCTGCATTTAGGAGAACATGTGACTGCTTTATATTATAAATGTACTGTAATGTTTGGAGCATATAGACGTGGACCATCTGATGCCATCTGATGACACGCCTCCATGTGGACCATGTGATTGTAGGCCACGCCTCCTTGTGGACCATGTGTGTGTAATGTGTGTAGTGTGTGTTTGTCGGTTCCAGTTGCTGATGTCGTTTCACAAGGATCAGACTCTGAAGAAACAACAGATGGATCCACACACACTGTTCACGGTGAGAACATGTCCTCCTGAGGAGGTGCTCTGACTCCTGCTCAGGAGGAGGTTCTCTGACTCCTGTTCTCCTCAGGAGTGTGGTCTACTGGTTCTGACTGACGCCTCGTTTTCTCCGGAGCCGATTCCCATCACACATTTTTTACGTACGTTTGAAAAAAAAAAACACAGTTAAATAAACTATGTGTGTGTGTGTGTATATGTATATATATATAAATGTTTTTTTTTTTTTTTTACTTTAATATTTTAGAAATGTCTGTTGATTCTTACTATGCCTTACAGTTACTATGGTCTCTACTTTCCTCTACTTCCTAAAGCAATTTCCTCGTCTGTGACTTCCCGTTACTTACATGGGAATAAAAATGATTCTGATTCTGATCTATATTTCTGAGTCGACTGGGTTTATTCCCTGTTGAATTTGTGCACAGCAGGGGGGCACCCAGACTTTGTGCTCTTGGCCGAAGCGGACCAGATCAATCCAGACCAGGGCCAAGTCCACATGAGAACTGAGTTCCCAGAGACCTGGATCTGGACAGACCTCCACACTGGGTACGGGTCATCTAGTCTGGTCTAGTTCAGTCCTGATCCAGTCCTGGTTCAGACTTGGTTTAGCCCTGGTCCAGACCTGGTTCTCCTGTGTTTTCAGAGACCAGACCTCGGCTGAAGTCTCGGCTCAGACCCCTGACACCATCACATCTTGGGTCGCCTCGGCCTTCGTCATGTCTCCGACTCTGGGAATCGGATTTGTGGATATCCCCATCAAAGTCTGTGTTTAGACCTGCTTAAGACCTGTTTTAGTCCTGCTTAGACCTGCTTAAGACCTGCTTTAGTCCTGCTTAAGACCTGCTTTAGTCCTGCTTTAGACCTGCTAAAGACCTGCTTTAGTCCTGCTTTAGACCTGCTTTAGTCCTGCTATAGGCCTGCTTTAGTCCTGCTTAGACCTGCTTTAGATCTGCTTTAGGCCTGCTTTAGACCTGCTTTAGACCTGCTTTAGTCCTGCTTTAGACCTGCTTTAGCCAACTTTAGTCCTGCTTTAGACCTAGTTTTGTCCTTCTTTAGTCCTGCTTTAGACCTGCGTAGTCCATATATAATCCCGCTTTAGTCCTGCTTTAGTCCTGATTTAGACCTGCTTTAGTCCTGATTTAGTCCTGATTTAGACCTGCTTTAGACCGGTTTAGAGCTGCCTCCTCCTCGTCTTTTGCAGCTCACAGTGTTCCAGGATTTCTTCATTTCTCTGAATCTTCCGGCGTTCGCTGTGAGAGGGGAGGAGCTTCTGCTGGAGATCCATCTGTACAACTACAAGCACCAGGACCTCACAGTAAGTCTGGCACTTTTAGAGCTACCCTCAGGTTAGAGCTACCCTCAAGTTTGAGCTACCCTCAGGTTAGAGCTAACCCTCAGGTTAGAGCTACCCTCAGGTCAGAGCTAACCCTCAGGTTAGAGCTACCCTCAGGTTAGAGCTACCCACAGGTTAGAGCCACCCTCAGGTTAGAGCTACCCTCAGGTTAGAGCAACCCTCAGGTTAGAGCAACCCTCAGGCTAGATCTACCCTCAGGTGAGAGCTACCCTCAGGTTAGAGCTACCCTCAAGTTTGAGCTACCCTCAGGTTAGAGCTAACCCTCAGGTTAGAGCTACCCTCAGGTTAGAGCTACCATCAGGTTAGCGCTAACCATCAGGTTAGAGCTACCCCCAAGTTTGAGCTACCCTCAGGTTAGAGCTACCATCAGGTTAGAGCTACCCCACCTCACTTCACAGTTTCCTGTTTCTTTGCTGTTGTTTTGTTTAATGACAACATTTTAAAAAAGTTCAAATAACAAGTCTCAGATTCTCATCTTTGAGGATGTTGTTGATTATAGATGATGTGCTGTGGCTGTAAAGGGCCTACAGACTGTGGCTGTGTCCTTAGGCAAGACACTTCACCCAGAAGAGTCTGGTGTGTGTGTGAATGGTTGGTAGAGGTTCTTTCACTCCAAACACAGCAGGGATAAACGTCTACTGTAGCCACAGCTGCCCAGTTTGGAGTGAAAGAATCATGATGTGAAGAGACTTTGAGAGTCTGTAGAAAACAAATGCATTATTATTATCTTTATTATTATTATTATTGAATAGATTATATTTTATAGATTATAAAAATGTGTCTTACTCCTGTTCCTGACGCTGAGTGGATGGTGTCATGTGATCTGGGCGGCAGCTGAACGCTGAGCTCGTCTTTTGTGACTTTATATGAAAATGAGGCTTTAGAAAAGTGTGAGAAAACGCACAATAATAATAATAACAGACAATGGTTTAAGGAAAGTCTTTCTCTGGTTCAGAACCTCGTCCTAATCTTGCTGTAATCTGATCTCCACAGGGGACGTCAGGGATCTTTTTATTATAATCTCTTTATTCCACAGTCACAGAACAGTGTCCCCCCGCCCCCTCTGTCCAAAGGCTGTTTTTTCAAACTCCCACACCTTCATATGTTCATAGCACAGTAAGGCTTTATACATGTTTGCCTCAAGGATATTAAAGCATGTTCTCAGATTATCAGCCTGTAGGAAAGGGTTAAAGGCACACCGCGGACTTTGTGACCTAAAGAGTTGACACATATGAGTTATTTTATATGAATACTTGGGCCAATATACAGCGCTTGACACTTGCAATGCTCCGAGCGGGGCTGCCCTCTTGAAATACCGCCCATGTAAGTTTCGAGCAGACGGACCGTCTGCCACCAGGTCACGTGACTTGGAAGAAAGACTTGCTTTACGGCTACAGGCGCTGATATACTCATGGAGCTAAGGCTTTTGCTACTCATTTTTCACCTGCTCGACTCCTGGTCATGGCTGAGGCAAGGAAAAATTTTAAACCTTCGGAGGAGGCTAAAAAGAGGAAACGCGAAAGGGATCGTGCTGTAAGCTGCATGTCTGTATGACATGCAGCTGTAAGGTTAGGGTTTAGGTTAGCCTAACCCTAACTTTAAAGGCACACCGTGTAACTCTTGGCCACTAGGGGCGCTAGACCTGCAACTTTCACGTTTAGCGCCCCTAGTGGCCACAAGCAACTCAGCACTGTCGCAAAAGTCAACAGTCAGCCGGTGTCTTTTGAGTGTGTATTCAGACAGCATGCACTGGTGTGTGTGTTCAAACTGTAGAGACATGCCTACAGATATTGAGAGACTCTGCTGTGGTCAGCCTCCAGACCGCTGCATTAGTAATCTACCACACATGGACTTCTATATCCTGGATGAGGGAGTTCTGCGTCTAGCTCGTGCTGCGTGGAATGACATCTTTGCAGTCGATGACATCCAGGAACCAGGTGAAGAGCAGCGCTCATACAGACATGCAGCTTACAGCACGATCCCTTTCGCGTTTCCTCTTTTTAGCCTCCTCCGAAGGTTTAAAATTTTTCCTTGCCTCAGCCATGACCAGGAGTCGAGCAGGTGAAAAATGAGTAGCAAAAGCCTTAGCTCCATGAGTATATCAGCGCCTGTAGCCGTAAAGCAAGTCTTTCTTCCAAGTCACGTGACCTGGTGGCAGACGGTCCGTCTGCTCGAAACTTACATGGGCGGTATTTCAAGAGGGCAGCCCCGCTCGGAGCATTGCAAGTGTCAAGCGCTGTATATTGGCCCAAGTATTCATATAAAATAACTCATATGTGTCAACTCTTTAGGTCACAAAGTCCGCGGTGTGCCTTTAACCCTTTGAATGTTTGAATGTTCGGGTAAAAAGATATAGTGTCGACTCAAAATTATAATATTATGATATTTTGATGACAATGTTTCATTTTTGCAGTTCTATAAACTTTAGCTTTGTGGTCAATGACGCTTATGCTCCGCCCCTTTACTTTCATTGACCCATAAATACAGTCTTCTCATTGGTCCATAAATACAGTCTTCTCATTGGTCCATAAATACAGTCTTCTCATTGGTCCATAATTACAGTCTTCTTATTGGTCCATAACTACAGTCTTCTCATAGGTCCATAAATCCAGTCTCCTCATTGGTCATAATTACAGTCTTCTCATTGGTCCATAAATACGGTCTTCTCATTGGTCATAATTAGTCTTCTCATTGGTCCATAATTACAGTCTTCTCATTGGTCCATAAATATATTTATAATGTTGAACAAATCTGTGAGTCCCTGAGGGGCTCGTAGCTAACCCTCACTGAGGTGTGGTCTCCTCCTGATCCTGGGAGGAGGTGGTCGTCTCTTGATGTTGGGAGGGGGTGATTGCCTCTGTATCCTGGGAGGAGGTGGCCTCCTCCTGATCCTAGGGGGAGGTGTCTGAACAGGAGCAGGTGGGACTGATGTGTGTCTGAACAGGTGGAGGTGGTGGTCTCTGGGGACCTCCTCATCCTGGGAGGAGGTGGGACTCATACTGTGAAGGTGAAACATGGAGGAGCTGCTCTGGTCCAGGTCCCTGTGATGTTCTCCTCCACATCTGACCAGAGAGTGTTAGTGAGCGCCTCCTCTCCAGGAGCCCAAGACACTGTTGAGAGGAGGATCTACGTCAAGGTGAGTGTGGAGGAGAGAAGAGAGGAGGAGGACGAGAAGAGGAGATGAGAGGAGGAGAGAGAGAAGGAAAGGAGGAGAGAGAGGAGGAGAGGGATGAGAGGAGTGGAAAGAGGAGGAGGGAAAGGAGCAGAAAGAGGAGTCAATGACCTGGTCAAGAGGAGGATCCAAGTCAAGGTGAATGAGGAGAAGAGGAGTGAACCTTTACCTTGATCATCCTTGAGGAGGATCAAAGGAAAAGAGACATTGGTTCTTACTCCTGGCACCTCCTTCTGTTATTACATTAACATGTGTTTATGTTTGACAATTGAAAGACCTTCAAGAAATGACATTGCTCCTCTCCTCTCCTCTCCTCAATCTGTTTTCCTCTGACCTCCTCACTCCTCTTTCTGTTTCCTCTCTCGCCTCCTCTCACCTCCTCCCTCTCCTCATCTCACCTCCTCTCTCCTCACTCATCCTCTCTCATCCTCTCCTCAGCATGAAGGCGTACCCAGGAGTTACTCAGAGTCCAGACTGCTCCTCCTCTCTCAGCTGCAGAAGGAGGTGAAGGAGGCGATTCTCTACGAGGTCCCGGAACACGCTGTGATTGACAGCTGCAACATAGAAGTCAGCGCTGTTGGTTTGTACAACACCACAGAGTTATCTCTGGACTCTCTCTGGTTTCTCTTTCTGGTCACTCTCCGGTCTCTTTTCGGTCTCTCTCTCTGGTCCCTCTGGTCTGTCTGATCTCTCTGATCTTTCTGGTCTCTGATCTTAATAGTTTCTGTTTGGGATAAATTTGGGATAAAATATGGCCTTCTCCCTGGACTCTCTCTAGTCTCTGTCTGGTCTCTCTCTGATCTTTGGTCTCTCTCTGGTCTCTGATCTTCCTGGTCTTCTTGGTCTTTCTTCAAAAGAACTTCAGGCCTTCTCTCTTGACTCCCTGGGCTCTCTTTGGTTCCTCTCTGGTCTTTCTCTGGTCCATGATGTTCCTGGTCTCTCATCAGGAGAACTCCTTGCCTTCTCCCTGGACTCCCTGGACTCCCTGGTCCAGATGCCGTCAGGATGTGGGGAGCAGAATATGATCCACTTCGCTCCCATGGTTTATGTTCTGCAGTATCTGAAGTCCATCGGAGAGACCAGCGGAGAGCGAGTCCAGAAGATCAAACACCTCCTGACCACAGGTATGAGAAGCACAGGTACGAGGAGACCATGTGTGAGAAGCACAGGTACAAGGAGCACAGGTACAAGGACCTCAGGGTCACGGACCTCAGGGTCACAGGACACTTCTCACTGTGGGGTCACAGGTCAAAGGTCTGCTTCTGTTGCAGGGTATGAGAAGCAGCTTTCCTTCCTGCGCAGAGACGGAGCCTTCAGCGCGTTTGGAGACAGCGACCCATCCGGGAGCACCTGGTGAGACTGGGCCTTCAACCCCGCCTGCGACCTGTGCTGAGGCTGGTTCAGTGGGTACACTCCGACCAGATGTGGGAATTTAGACAGCTATAAAAGCTGTACCAGGGGTAAAAGCTGAGGCACATGAGGGAGAAGACCAGGGGTCAAAGCTGAGGCACATGAGGGAGGAGACCAGGGGTCAAAGCTGAGGCACATGAGGGAGAAGACCAGGGGTCAAAGCTGAGGCACATGAGGGAGAAGACCAGGGGACAAAGCTGAGGCACATGAGGGAGGAGACCAGGGGACAAAGCTGAGGCACATGAGGGAGGAGACCAGGGGTCAAAGCTGAGGCACATGAGGGAGGAGACCAGGGGACAAAGCTGAGGCACATGAGGGAGGAGACCAGGGGACAAAGCTGAGGCACATGAGGGAGGAGACCAGGGATCAAAGGTGAGGCACATGAGGGAGGAGACCAGGGGTCAACAGAAAATGTCACAGGGCTCACAGGGTGAGGATGAGGGTTAGGTTAACGAGCTGTGGAGCTGTGTTTGGGTGAGACCTCAACCTTCAGGTCTTCAGGTTGAGTGCCTTCGTCCTGCGGGTCTTCGTTGCGGCTCAGCCCTTCTTCCCGGTGGGACCTGAGGTGGTTCAGACGGTGGGGGCCTGGCTGATGCAGCAGCAGCGGCGAGATGGTCACTTCGCTGAGGCAGGACGGGTCATACACTCTGAGATGGTGGGGGGGCAGGACTCTGACAGCAGCCTCACCGCCTTCGTTCTCATCTCCCTCATGGAAGACCCTCAACTGCAGGTGAGTCTCAAACACAGACATGTGATGAGGTGATGAGGGGGTGATGAAGGAGTGGTGAGGGAGTGGTGAGGGGGTGATGAGGGAGTGATGAGGGAGTGGTGAGGGGGTGATGAGGGAGTGATGAAGGAGTGGTGAGGGGGTGATGAGGGGGTGATGAGGGGGTGATGAGGGAGTGGTGAGGGGGTGGTGAGGGAGTGATGAAGGAGTGGTGAGGGAGTGGTGAGGGGGTGATGAAGGAGTGGTGAGGGAGTGGTGAGGGGGTGATGAGGGAGTGGTGAGGGGGTGATGAGGGAGTGATGAAGGAGTGGTGAGGGGGTGATGAGGGGGTGATGAGAGGGGTGATGAGGGAGTGGTGAGGGGGTGGTGAGGGGGTGATGAGGGAGTGATGAAGGAGTGGTGAGGGAGTGGTGAGGGGGTGATGAAGGAGTGGTGAGGGAGTGGTGAGGGGGTGATGAGGGAGTGATGAAGGAGTGGTGAGGGGGTGATGAAGGAGTGGTGAGGGAGTGGTGAGGGGGTGATGAGGGAGTGGTGAGGGGGTGATGAGGGGGTGATGAGGGAGTGGTGAGGGGGTGGTGAGGGGGTGATGAGGGAGTGATGAAGGAGTGGTGAGGGAGTGGTGAGGGGGTGATGGAGTGGTGAGGGAGTGGTGAGGGGGTGATGAGGGAGTGATGAGGGGGTGATGAGGGGGTGAGGAGGGAGTGGTGAGGGGGTGATAAAGGAGTGGTGAGGGAGTGGTGAGGGGGTGATGAGGGAGTGATGAAGGAGTGGTGAGGGAGTGGTGAGGGAGTGATAAGGGGTTGATGAGGGGGTGATGAAGGAGTGGTGAGGGAGTGATGAGGGGTTGATGAGGGGGTGATGAAGGAGTGGTGAGGGAGTGATGAGGGGGTGATGAGGGAGTGGTGAGGGAGTGGTGAGGGGGTGATGAGGGAGTGATGAGGGGGTGAGGAGGGAGTGGTGAGGGGGTGATGAGGGGGTGATAAAGGAGTGGTGAGGGAGTGGTGAGGGGGTGATGAGGGAGTGATGAAGGAGTGGTGAGGGAGTGGTGAGGGAGTGATAAGGGGTTGATGAGGGGGTGATGAAGGAGTGGTGAGGGAGTGATGAGGGGTTGATGAGGGGGTGATGAAGGAGTGGTGAGGGAGTGATGAGGGGGTGATGAGGGAGTGGTGAGGGAGTGATGAGGGGGTGAATTTTCAGTTAGGGTTAGATTTACCATCAAGTTACATCCCTGAGCTTTAATGTGTCTCATCCTCATCTGAAGTGTTTAGTGTGAGCTCTAAGGTGAGCTCTAAGGTGAGCTCTAACGTGAGCTCTAACGTCTCAGGCGTCCTTCTCGGCTGAAGTGTCATCGGCGCTGGTGGCTCTGGAGAACAGTTTCTCCAAAGGCGTCCTGAGTCTGTACAGTCTGAGCCTCGTCACATATGCTCTGTGTGTGAGCGACAGCCCCAACGCTGAGGGAGCCACCGACCTGCTGCTGCAGAGGGTCAACGGTGAGGGAGTTATGGTGATGAAGATGGTGGTGGTGGTGATGATGATGGTGATGATGATGTATCTTGCAGAGGTCTTCCCCTCGTGGCACTCTCAGCCTGGGGCCTCAGAGCTGGAGGAGGTGGGATACCTGCTGCTGTCGCTGCACCGACTGCAGCGGGAGGAGGAGGGAGTGGAGCTGCTGCACTGGCTCCTGCTGCAGCAGAACGGACGAGGAGGCTACGGGAGCACACAGGTCAGGGGTCAGAGGTCACAGGTCAGGGGTCAGAGGGCACAGGTCAGGGGTGAGAGGTCACAGTTCAGAGGTCAGGGGTCACAGGTCAGAAGTTGGAGGTCAGAGGTCACAAGTCAGAGGTCACATGCCAGAGGTCACGTGTCGGAGGTCACGTGTCGGAGGTCACATGTCGGAGGTCACAAGTCAGAGGTCACAAGTCGGAGGTAAGAAGTCACAGGACTGGTTTCCCCACTGACTGACCTAAGGCAGCTGTGTGTGTGTGTGTGTGTGTGTGTGTGTGTGTGTGTGTGTGTGTGTGTGTGTGTGTGTGTGTGTGTGTGTGTGTGTGTGTGTGTGTGTGTGTGTGTGTGTGTGTGTGTGTGTGTGTGTGTGTGTGTGTGTGTGTGTGTGTGTGTGTGTGTGTGTGTCCGTGTGACACTGACCCCTGCTGTTCCCTTCAGGACACCGTGGTGGCGCTGCATGCTCTGGCTCTGTATGCAGCTTTAGGTTCTGAACTGAAAACAGATCTGAGAGTGACCATGAACCATGGGACCCAAATCAGAAAACACTTTAACTTCACATCAGAGAACCAGCACCAGGTGTACCGGACCTCAAGGGTGAGACTAGTCCTTCTTTAGTCCTGCTTTAGACCTGCTTTAGACCTGCTTTAGTCCTGCTTGAGACCTGCTTTAGACCTGCTTTAGTCCTGATTTAGTCCTGATTTAGTCCTGCTTTAGTCCTGCTTTATTCCTACTTAGACCTGCTTAGACCTGCTTTAGTCCTGCTTTAGTCCTGCTTTAGACCTGCTTTAGACCTGCATTTAGACCGACTTTAGACCTACTTTAGACCTGCTTTAGACCTGCTTTAGACCTTAAACCTGGTTGGTGTTCTTTTTCAGAAAGGTGGATGTTTGTCCAGTTTTGCTTCTGTTGAGGCAGAGGGTCAAGGACTGCTGCTGTTCCAGGTCAGTGATGCTCATCTGCCCCTCATCACCTGAGGTTTACCCTGACCCTCACCACAGGGGTCAGGACCTCATTCGCAGAAGTTTTCCTCCAGGTGCACGTGGAGTATAACGAGCGTCCTGATTGGTTGCGGAGGAGGAAGCGTTTCTCAGATTTGGACGAAGATTTTTATCTTCATGTGAAAACGTCTGAATCCACGATCCACAAGGACCTGAACCTTAGCGTGTGTTTCAGGTGTGTGTGTGTGTGTGTGTGTGCGTAAGTGTGTGTGTGTGTGTGTATTTGTCTGGCTGTGTGTGTCTGCATATATGTGTCTGTGTGTGTCTCTGTGTGGAACCTACAACTGTGGGAGGACCTGTGTTATTCCTCTGGCTCCTCCTCAGATTACCTGGCTCCTCTGGGACCTCCTCTGGGGCCTCCTCTCGGAACTCCACTGGGATGGCCCTCCTCCAGGTCCAGGTCCTTACTGGGTTTTCGCTCAGACCTCAGACCAGTTTTAATCCAGAACTAGTGAAGAAGGTGGAGACCCACAGCGGAGACCTCGTTTTCTACTTGGACTCGGTGAGAAATCTGTTTCCACATCCTCAGCTCAATCCCGAGGCATTCCTAGGCCAGCAGTGACCCATGCCTTCAACCTACAGTCACAGGGAGAACATGCAAACACAGACTGAACAGTTCTAACTACTGTTTCATATTAAAGTCATTCTTTGCTGAAGGAAAGGTTTCTGCAGTCGATGTGTTTCTCAGTGTTCTGTCTGTAACTCTCCTCCTCTGGTTCTGGTCCTGGTCCTGATCCTGGTCCTGGTCCTGATCCTGGTCCTGGTCCTGATCCTGGTCCTGGTCCTGGTCCTGGTCTGGTGCAGGTGACTATGGAGCTGCAGTGTTTGAGGATTCCTCTGGTTCAGGAGTTTACACTGGGACGAGTTCAAGAAGGATCCATCCAACTACTGGATTACTACCAGCCAAGTAAGAGTATTACTACAAATACTACTACTACTGCAAGTGATACTTTTCTTTTTAATCCTAGCCAGAAATTATCGAGTGAGGAAAACACAAAGCTGTGCCTCTGAGTTGACTCTGGCATGGTCTTATTGTCAGAAAATCAGGGTCAGAGTTGATTAATGACGTACTTTTGCTTCTTCTTTGATTTGTTTTATCCATTGTTTCCTTTCTTACTTCTACTACTTTTCTGCATCGCTTTTAGGATATTCCTGATTTTAGCACGTGGAAAGATTACTTACTTCTATTTGGGAGAGAGTAAGATTACTTCTGTTTGGGACAGAGTAGGATTACTCTGGGTTGAGGAGGAGATAGTTAAGAGTCATCCACGTTTTAGGTCTTTCAAGCCTTTCTAACTGATCCGTCTGGTCTGGTTTCATAGACGGGTACATCTGTGTCTGCTGCAGTGGAAGTTAATATCATGCTTTTTAATGATAGAGGGCAGAGTACCGATCCTTGTGGCACACCGAATTTCACTTCAGAAAAAGGCGACGAGTTTTGATTCACATAGAAAACTGACACCGATCCAATGAATCGTATTTAAACCAGTGCTGTTCCTTTGAGACCTATGTCACATCCGGCTTCTGCAGTAGAATGTTGTGGTCTATTGTGTCAAATGCACCACCTCCCCTCCACCAAAGACTCCCCCATCATCCCCTCCCCCTCCACCAAAGACTCCCTCATCATCCCCTCCACCAAAGACTCCCCCATCATCCCCTCCCCCTCCACCAAAGACTCCCTCATCATCCCCTCCCCCTCCACCAAAGACTCCCCCATCATCCCCCCTCCACCAAAGACTCCCCCATCATCCCCTCCCCCTCCACCAAAGACTCCCCCATCATCCCCTCCCCCTCCACCAAAGACTCCCCCATCATCCCCCCTCCACCAAAGACTCCCCCATCATCCCCTCCCCCTCCACCAAAGACTCCCCCATCATCCCCTCCCCCTCCACCAAAGACTCCCTCATCATCCCCTCCCCTCCACCAAAGACTCCCTCATCATCCCCTCCCCCTCCACCAAAGACTCCCCCATCATCCCCTCCCCCTCCACCAAAGACTCCCCCATCATCCCCTCCCCCTCCACCAAAGACTCCCCCATCATCCCCTCCCCCTCCACCAAAGACTCCCCCATCATCCCCTCCCCCTCCACCAAAGACTCCCTCATCATCCCCTCCCCCTCCACCAAAGACTCCCCCATCATCCCCCCTCCACCAAAGACTCCCCCATCATCCCCTCCCCCTCCACCAAAGACTCCCTCATCATCCCCTCCCCCTCCACCAAAGACTCCCCCATCATCCCCCCTCCACCAAAGACTCCCCCATCATCCCCTCCCCCTCCACCAAAGACTCCCTCATCATCCCCTTCCCCTCCACCAAAGACTCCCTCATCATCCCCTTCCCCTCCACCAAAGACTCTCCCATCATCCCCTCCCCCTCCACCAAAGACTCCCCCATCATCCCCTCCCCCTCCACCAAAGACTCCCTCATCATCCCCTCCCCCTCCACCAAAGACTCCCCCATCATCCCCTCCCCCTCCACCAAAGACTCCCCCATCATCCCCTCCCCCTCCACCAAAGACTCCCCCATCATCCCCTCCCCCTCCACCAAAGACTCCCTCATCATCCCCTCCCCCTCCACCAAAGACTCCCCCATCATCCCCTCCCCCTCCACCAAAGACTCCCCCATCATCCCCTCCCCCGCCACCAAAGACTCCCTCATCATTGCACTACTTATTGATTTTCTTGTCTGTAGGTCGTCAGGTCAGCAGGTCTTACTCGTCGGAGCTTCAAAAAACAACCTCCTGCCATTTCTGCCTCAACTCCAACTGTTCGTCCTGCAGCAGCAGAACCCTGCCAACCTCTGACCCCAGCCGGGTGACCTCTGACCCCAGCCGGGTGACCTCTGACCCCAGCCAGGTGACCTCTGACCCCAGCCCTGTGACTTCTGATCCCAGCCCTGTGACCTCTGACCTTTACAACCACTACTACGACCACTACTACGACCACTACTACGAGCATTACGATGACTACCATCACATGGATCATCACTATTATGGTGTGGACCACCACCACGGGCATCAGCGTAGAGCCGAAGACTTCAACCACACTTACGATGACTACTACGGCGACCACTACAACGACCACTACGGCGACCACTACAACGACCACTACGGCGACCACTACAACGACCACTACAACGACCACTACAACGACCACTATAACGACCACTACGGCGACCACTACAACGACTACAACGACCACTACGACGACTCAGACCATGTGTTTGCAAGAGCTGAGTCTCTTGCTCTCTGGCTCCCCCTACTGGCTCTGCTCACTTTGGGGAGTGTGCTGGTTTAGACTTGGTTTAGTCCTGGTTTAGACGTGCTTAAGACCTCGTTTGGACTGGGTTTTTTCTTTTTATAGATGTATTCTTCGCTTGATCCTAATCTTTGTAACATGTTGAACTCATCAGAGCTGTTTTTGTTGTTTAGTGAAAGACGGTGGTTTAGACTCTGGTCTGGTCCTGGTTTAGACCTGGTATCTGGAACGACTTCCACGTCTTTGAGTTCAGTTCATGCTTGGTTTAAAATGTAATACTTTTGTTTTTAATGTTTTATATTCGGAGGGATCTTGAAATGTATGACTGAAAAAATAAATAAGTTTAAAAAAAAAAAGAAGTCACTATTTCTGATGTATGTTGTAATGACAGGTTTGTGCCACAAGAGGGAGACTTTTACAAGGTCTACTACTACTACTACTGCTATTACCACTGCTTCTGCTACTACTACTACTACTATTACTACTACTACTACTACTGCTATTACCACTGCTTCTGCTACTACTACTATTACTACTACTACTACTACTGCTATTACCACTGCTACGGCTACTACTACTACTGTTACTGCTGCTACTACTACTACTACTGCTACTACTACTATTACTACTACTACTACTACTACTGATACTGCTGCTACCACTACTACTACTACTACTACTACTGCTGTTACTACTACTATTACTACTATTACTACTACTACTACTACAATAGTATGTATTTTATCCAGTGTGTAGTGTGGTCTCAAGTCTGGTCCTGGTTTAGATCCAGTCTCTAGGGATTTTTTCCTGTTGATTCATGAACACAAAGTTTTCCTGAATTTGTTCCAAATCTGTAAAAACACAAAGACCATGAGCTCATCTGTTCCACAGGGTTAGACCTGCTTTAGACCTGCTTTGGTCCTGCTTTAGTCCTGCGTTAGACCTGCTTTTGTCCTGCTTTAGACCTGCTTTAGACCTGCTTTAGACCTGCTTTAGTCCAGCTATAGGCCAGCTTTAAATCTGCTTTAGTCCCGCTTTAGACCCGGGTTTAAACCAGGTTTAGACAGGATTTAATCCTGCTTTAGACCAGGTTTAGACCTAGTTTGGAATATGTTTGGACTTATAGATTTAGTCCTGGCTCAGTCCTTTCTCTCCAAGGTTTTGGATGAACTCAGAGATTTGGGTGAATCTCTGCTCTAAACCTGGTCTCTGGTCTGGGGGTTGGTCTCTGGTCTGGTCTCTGTTCTGGGGGTTGGTCTCTGGTCTGGGGGTTGGTCTCTGGTCTGGTCTCTGTTATGGGGGTTGGTCTCTGATCTGGGGGTTGGTCTCTGGTCTGGGGGTTGGTCTCTGGTCTCGGCTCTGGTCTCCAGTTGGTCTTCGCTTCTGTGTGGATCAGACCTCATTCTCAGGTGAGTGCTGTTTCCAGACCTCCTGCTGAGGGGCCTCCTTCTGGTGCACCTCCTCCTGAGAGACCTCTTTCTGAGGCACCTCCTGCTGAGGTATCTCCTGCTGAGAGACCTCCTGTTGAGGGACCTCCTACTGAGGAACCTCCTGCTGTACATTTATTTGTGTAGCACAGGTTTTGTTCATCAGGAGAAACATCTCAAACGTAGAATATGATTTACAGTCACAGGTCAGATCTACGGAGAGGCGAGCTAGTCCTGGTTAAGATCTGGTCTCTGGTCTCCAGTCCCTGGTCTCTGTTATTTGCTCCAGTCTCCAGTCCCTGGTCTCTCTCTGATCTCTCTCTGGAATCTCTCTAGTCTCTGGTTTCTCTGGTATCTCCCTGGACTCTGGTCACTCTCTGGTCTCTTTCTGGTCACTGGGCTCTCTCTGGTCTCTGGTCTGTTGTCTCTCTGGTCTCTGGTTTCTGGTCTCAGGTCTCAGGTCTCTGGTCTGTTGTCTCTCTGGTCTCTGGTTTCTGGTCTCAAGTCTCAGGTCTCTGGTCTCTCTGGTCTGTGGTTTTTTGCGTTTGGTCTCTGGTCTCTCGCTGGTCTATGGTCTCAGACGCCAGTCACATGTATTGATTTAGCAAATGTAACATTAACTCTACATTAAAGCTCAGGTCTGTAACTTTCATGATCAGAAAGGTTTCTTGTAAAAGTAAAATGCAGCTTTAAACTCAGTACCCCAGCTTCACACCTGGTCTCGGTCCAGACCTGGTCTTGGTCCAGACCTGGTGACATCACATGTTTCCAGCTTCGTCTCGTGTGGAAAGAATGTTCTTCATCTTCATCAACGCGACGTAGAAAAGATACAGAAACATCAGCTGTGTTTAAAGCTGTGGTCTGTAACTTTAGTCTCATAAATAGCTTTAAAGTTACTAAAACACACATTTGAACTAATTCAGGAAGACGATGCATTTTTTTCGGAATCTGTGCCGAAACATCAATGACCTCTGACCTCTGACCTCTTTGAAGTTTGAAGACCTTTTGTTCCGTTTGATTTTACGACACTTGTGTCAGAGAACAGCTGTTTTAACACACACACACATAGAGATACACACACACACACACACACACTCACACTCACACACAGAGACACACTCACACACAAACACACGCACGCACACACATAGGCACACGGTTAGCGCTCACACATCTCAGCAGAAGGTCCTGGGTTTGAATCCAATTCGGGACATGTCTTTTCTGTGTAGAGTTTTCATGTTCCCACCGTGTCTGCTTGGGGGGGGGGGTTAGGGTTTAATTTGCCCATATATGGTACAATATCTGGGCAGCACATTGTACCATATGCTGGTCAGTTCAAACACTCTCCTCTGTGATTGGTCAATTCAAACACTCTCTCCTCTGTGATTGGTCAGTTCAAACACTCTCCTCTGTGATTGGTCAATTCAAACACTCTCTCCTCTGTGATTGGTCAGTTAAAACACTCTTTCCTCTGTGATTGGTCAGTTCAAACACTCTCTCCTCTGTGATTGGTCAGTTCAAACACTCTTTCCTCTGTGATTGGTCAGTTCAAACACTCTCTCCTCTGTGATTGGTCAGTTCAAAAACTCTCCTCTGTGATTGGTCAATTCAAACACTCTTTCCTCTGTGATTGGTCAGTTCAAACACTCTCTCCTCTGTGATTGGTCAGGTCAAACACTCTCTCCTCTGTGATTGGTCAGTTCAAACACTCTCTCCTCTGTGATTGGTCAGTTCAAACACTCTCTCCTCTGTGATTGGTCAGTTCAAACACTCTTTCCTCTGTGATTGGTCAGGTCAAACACTCTCTCCTCTGTGATTGGTCAGTTCAAACACTCTCTCCTCTGTGATTGGTCAATTCAAACACTCTCTCCTCTGTGATTGGTCAGTTCAAACACTCTTTCCTCTGTGATTGGTCAGTTCAAACACTCTTCTCTGATTGGTCCAGGTGAGGGCTGCGATTGGCTGAAGATGACGCATTTGTGGGCAGGTCTTGTGGTCCTTCTGCTGCTCTCATTGGCTCATGCTCAGGAAGGTAAGACTCTCTGCTCTGTCACAAACTTCTCTCTGTATTTCCTGCTTTAAACAGCTTTAACTTTAAACAGCTCTAACTTTAAACAGCTTTACTCTTTGATCTTCTGTATCAGAAACTGTGACATCACTAATAAAGAACACCCTGTGACACCTCCTTGTGTGACGGCTTTTATTTTATTCCTGACGTTGACTCTAACCCCAGACCCTGACTCTAACCCCTGACTCTAACCCCTGACTATAGCCCCTGACTCTAACCCCTGACTCTGACCCCTGACTCTAACTCCTGACTCTGACTCTAACCTCTGACCTTGACTCTAACCCCTGACCCTGACTTTGACCCTGACGCTAACCCCTGACCCTGACTCTGACTCTAACCCGTGACCCTGACTCTGACCCTGACTCTAGCCCCTGACCCTGACTCTAACCCCTGACCCTGACTCTGACCCTGACTCCAACCTCTGACCCTGACTCCAACCTATGACCCTGACTCTAGCCCCTGACCCTGACTCCAACCTCTGACCCTGACTCTAACCCCTGACCCTGACTCTAACCCCTGACCCCCGACTCTGACTCTGACTTCAAAAGATTTAATGAAATTGAGAATTTGTTAACGACAAACATAAATATCAAACATTTTGACCACAAACACACACACACACACACACACAGACAGAAACAAAAATGTTGTACAAGATGTTTGTCCAGATTTCGAACCAGGTTTCAGTTAAACGCTGCAGACTTTATTCCTTTTTGGCCTCGTGGACCTGGCGCCCGGATGACATGTTGCCAGGTTGGTTGGTTGTGTTGAGTCTGTGTCTTTCTGAGTTAAGTCTGGTTCAAAGCTGGACTTACGGATACTTCACTCTGATGCTCTTCACCCTCTGAGACTCAAAGGTAGGGTCAGGGGTTAGGGTCAAGGTCAAACGCCAGGGTCAAAGGTCATGGGTCAGAGTCAGAGTCAAAAGCCAGGCAGACTTTAGGATATTGCTCAACCTGTTAGACCTCTGTGGTGTTAACCCAATATTATCATAGATTATATATTTTATATATATCAACCCGTTAGCCTGTTGGCCTCTGTGCTGTTAGCATCTGTGCTGTTAGCATCTGTGCTGTTAGCATCTGTGCTGTTAGCCTGTTGGCCTCTGACCCACAATAGCTCGGTTCTGTTTACTGGATTCAACACCACTGTAAGCTTCTATCTGACTGTATAGGTTTATCCCATTGATCTTTGTGTTGTTCCCACATGTTCCGTACTTTAGATTAGAGCCTCACTAAAGCTAATGCTACTAGAGTAGCTAACGATGCTAATGATGCTAACGATACTCTACTCTACAAATGTTAGAGCTTTTAGAAATGTTAGAGGTGGCAAAGATGTTAGAGCTGTGAGAGATGTTAGAGCTGTGAGAGATGTTAGAGCTGTGAGAGATGTTAGAGCTGTGAGAGATGTTAGAGCTGTGAGAGATGTTAGAGCTGTGAGAGATGTTAGAGCTGTGAGAGATGTTAGAGCTGTGAGAGATGTTAGAGCTGTGAGAGATGTTAGAGCTGTAGAACATGTGAGTGAAGTATCGGAGCGTCTGTGACACAGAAATGACTCTGGTTCCAAGTTGTTGAAACACAACTGTCGTCTGTGTCTGTCCTTCAAACACACACACACACACACACACACACACACACACACACACACACACACACACACACACACACACACACACACACACACACACACAGAACTAATCGGACCTCCAGATTCGACACAGAGTAGTCTCCTGATGACACTGAGCTGCAGACAGCTCTAAACACCTCTGTCTTCAACCTTCTCCTGCTCCTCCTCAGAATAGCTTCTGTGTGTGTCTTCAGTGTGTGTGTAAGTGTGTCTGCTTGTGTGTGTGTGTGTGTGTGTCTGTATAAGTGTGTGTCTTTAAATGTACCGTACTTTCCGGACTATAAGCAGCACCTGATTTGTAGAAAGAAACAACATTTTGTAATTGTATAAGCCGAACCTGTCCTACTTGAAAAATGTAGCTCAAATATGTTCATCATGTATTTTTTGTCTGTGAGTAATAAGAGTAAGAAGTGGGACTTCCAGTTTGGGATGCTGTGACTCTCCAAACACAATGGAGAAAACTTTTGACTTTTATCTGGAGTTTGCTGTCGGTTTGGATTAATTGGCCTGACTTTATTGCATATGATCGCAACAGTTCGGAATAAATCGATACGGTGAGCAATCTATACAGAGACAGCCAGAGAAAAACTAGCTGCTAAGCCACAAGCAGAAACGTGCTTAATCAGCTGACGCAAGGCAAACAACCCAAAGCTGTGCTGCAGTGTCCAAAAGGGAATTTGCGATGGATGACATCGAGCACATTAATGCATCACTTGATTTTTTATCGGCTGAAGTGACAGCTATCAGAAAGCAGCAGAAAAGTATCCTGGAGCTTGAGAAGGAAGTGAAAGTGCTGCGGGCGATTATCAAGGAGTGTCAAGCCGAGTGGAGAACCTGGAGCAGTATACGAGGGTTAATAATGTGATGGTCACCGGGCTCCAAATAAGACCCAGGTCGTATCCGCCAGCACGACGCAGCATCAGGAAGAACTTTTTGTAGTCCTGAGGGATTACGTTGGACTGCAGTCATATCGAGGCCTGCCGTCCGCTACCCGAGAGAAAAACAGTGAACAACGCTTTCTGCAACCCTCCCATCATCGTCAGGTTCATCAACAACAAGCACAAAGTTGCTCTTCTGAAACAGGTACCAATGCTACATTAACAAGCATCTCTCAAAGCTGAATTCTAAAATAGCTAAATAAGCCAGAGATCTGAGGAAGCAGAAAAAAATGCACAACACATGGACCAGTAACTGTAAAGTCTTGATGACATGATGGTATGTAAAATAATTGAGATTATTCAAGAAAACATAATCGTTTGTAGTTTACATCGAACACCAGGGTCTAACCTTGAACAATTTACAAACGGGTTAGAGGAAACCTTCTCTCAAAAACACACATAAATATGTTCATATAGGAATCACATATCAAAGAGTTCATATACAATGTACAGTATTGGATTATTTCCCCAAGTCACAAAACCAAGTAGAAGTACTTAGTTCTTAAATTCTACTCTATGATGAGTTTTGCCCTCCATTCAATTCCATTTAAGAGAAAAATAAAATAAAAATAGTTTGTGGATTACAAGGGGACTGGACAATTCCTGTAAAAATAAGAATGAGTTAGAGAGACAAAGCAGAAAATAAATCTAAAAATGTATAAAAAAGAAATTGACCAATATTCTAAGAATGGCAAATAGGATTATAAAGAATTACTGGGAAGAAAAAAAAAACAATACAAAGAAATTATGGAACATCTTAAAAAGTATCATAAAAATGGAACCAGACAATTGAATTATCCAAAGTTGTCTGATCTGAAAGTTGCTGCCCAGAAATGTAATGATTTATTTAGTGAACAGAGGAACAGAGAGATCCTGGCTCTGAAGGGAATGAAGAGAGCGAAGACACTTTTATAAAAACAAATCCACTCACACTGTTTTTGAAACCACTTGAACAATTAGAGATAATAGTTCAGAAATGCAAGAACCAAACCTCCCCTGACTTTCCAGGGCTGGATATGACAGTGATAAAAAGAGTGATAAATGAAATCTCAACATCATTATCTTACATTTATCATTTTTCATTCCAAACAGGCATCTTCTCCACAAAGATGGAAAAAGGAAAAATCCTTTATACAAAGCTAAAAACAGACATTTATTCACAAACTACAGACCTGGTTCAATACTTTTCAAAAATACAAGAAAAACTGTTCAACAATCAATTGGAAACCAATCCACGAGGTAAAAAGAAAATTGCAATTGGAGTCTTCATTGACTTAAAAAAATAATTTGATAATATTCTATTACATCAATATGAAGTGGGTGAAAAGTTGTTGGACAAACAGGCTTCAGTTTGTAAAGATAAACGACAGCTGTTCTTCATCTCAACATCATCATGCGGTGTCCCACAGGGGTCAGAGTTGGGGCCAGAGTTTTTCATTCCGTACATTCATGATTTGTGTAATGAATCAAAATCCTCAACGCTGGTTTTATTTGTAGACGACACTTTTTTTTAATTGTGATTGTAATTAGAGAAGATTTCTCGACAAAATCACTTCAGAAATGAAGAAAATGGAAATGACACTGATTTAGTTGACTTTTAAACAAGGGCTGTTATGTTTAAAGCAATACATCACTTATTACATGCAAATATCCAACATTTATTTAATTTTATACAATTTTGGAACAATGTGACTTTTTCCTGAAAAAATAAAAAAAACTAAGCCCCACTATACCAAACTAAAATACTGGATTTGCACTTCTTTTTTTTTCTTAAGTGTCTAAGGTTCGAACAGAGTCCACACAGTTTGTGTGGACATTCTGGAATTTTTGGTAAACATCTGGTATTATGAATAAGTATTATGTAAATCCAGATAAACATAAAAACATGTTGAAACTGAACCAATTGAATGAGTTAAAGCTTAACAATGGAAAAGGGGTGGGTTTATAAGTGTATACTTCTCATCCTTTTGAGATATGTCTATCTTGCATCTGTGATGTTGTATTCACTCTGACAGACTCATTCATTCAAGAGAGTGTTCCAGTGTGAAGTAGAAAGGTGAGGAGCAACTTCATGTTCATACAGAGAACCAAAAAACTATTTATGTGACTCTTTACACTCTTTATGAGATAATTACACAAAGATAGAGGACTTTTAAACTGTATTAAATCTGCTTAATGACAACTCTCACAATTTAATTGGACGTCTGTGAACTATCAATCGATTCCGTTGGTCGACTGTTTCTCTGCTAAATGTTTTTGGTGCCACAGAAAAAAAAGAAACGGTGAAGCCGCAGCTGACGATAAGCCGCACCTTTCAAAATGCAGGACAAAAGCTTCGGCTTATAGTCTGGAATTTACGCTATGTGTGTGTCTGTGTGTGTATAAGTGTGTGCATGTGTGTGTTTGTGTATGTAATATAAGTGTGTGTGTATGAGTGTAAAAGTGTGTGTCTGCAGTGTGTGCATGTGTGTGTTTGTGTATGTAATATAAGTGTGTGTGTATGAGTGTAAAAGTGTGTGTCTGCAGTGTGTGCATGTGTGTGTTGTGTATGTAATATAAGTGTGTGTGTATGAGTGTAAAAGTGTGTGTCTGCAGTGTGTGCATGTGTTGTGTTGTGTATGTAATATAAGTGTGTGTGTATGTGTGTAAAAGTGTGTGTCTGCAGTGTGTGCATGTGTGTGTTTGTGTATGTAATATAAGTGTGTGTGTATAAGTGTAAAAGTGTGTGTCTGCAGTGTGTGCATGTGTGTGTTTGTGTATGTAATATAAGTGTGTGTGTATGAGTGTAAAAGTGTGTGTCTGCAGTGTGTGCATGTGTTTGTTTGTGTATGTAATATAAGTGTGTGTGTATGAGTGTAAAAGTGTGTGTCTGCAGTGTGTGGGTTTGTGTATGTAATATAAGTGTGTGTGTATGAGTGTAAAAGTGTGTGTCTGCAGTGTGTGCATGTGTGTGTTTGTGTATGTAATATAAGTGTGTGTATGAGTGTAAAAGTGTGTGTCTGCAGTGTGTGCATGTGTGTGTTTGTGTATGTAATATAAGTGTGTGTGTATGAGTGTAAAAGTGTGTGTCTGCAGTGTGTGCATGTGTGTGTTTGTGTATGTAATATAAGTGTGTGTGTATGAGTGTAAAAGTGTGTGTCTGCAGTAACTGTCCTTTTCTCCACAGAGGAGCCGCTCCCAGGTCACAGTTCCAGGGCATCTAGCTTAAAGCCCCCGCTGACACGGTAATTACCCTGTGTGTGTGTGTGTGTGTGTGTGTGTATGTATGAATTTGTGTGTCTATCTGTGTCTATCTGTGTGTGTCTGTGTGTGTGACGGAAAAAGATTTCATGTCACCGCTGTATTAAATACATTGGACTCTCTCTGGTCTCTCTGGTTTCTCTGGTCTCTCTGATCTTTCTGGTCTCTCTGGTCTCTCTGGTCTCTCTGGTCTCTCTGATCTTTCTGGTCTCTCTGGTCTCTCTGGTCTCTCTGGTTTCTCTGATCTTTCTGGTCTCTCTGGTCTCTCTGGTCTCTCTGGTTTCTCTGATCTTTCTGATCTTTCTGGTCTCTCTGGTCTCTCTGGTCTCTCTGATCTTTCTGGTCTCTCTGGTCTCTCTGGTCTCTCTGGTCTCTCTGATCTTTCTGGTCTCTCTGGTCTCTCTGGTCTCTCTGGTCTCTCTCTGGTCTCTCTGGTCTCTCTCTGGTCTCTCTGGTCTCTCTCTGGTCGCTCTGGTCTCTGATCTTTCTGGTCTCTCTGGTCTCTCTGGTCTGGTCTCTCTGGTCTCTCTGGTCTCTCTCTGGTCTCTCTGGTCTCTCTGGTCTCTCTCTGGTCTCTCTCTGGTCTCTCTGGTCTCTCTCTGGTCTCTCTCTGGTCTCTCTCTGGTCTCTCTGGTCTCTCTCTGGTCTCTCTGGTCTCTCTGGTCTCTCTGGTCTCTCTCTGGTCTCTCCCTGGTCTCTCTGGTCTCTCTGGTCTCTCTCTGGTCTCTCTCTGGTCTCTCTGGTCTCTCTGGTCTCTCTCTGGTCTCTCTGGTCTCTCTCTGGTCTCTCTCTGGTCTCTCTGGTCTCTCTCTGGTCTCTCTCTGGTCTCTCTGGTCTCTCTCTGGTCTCTCTGGTCTCTCTTTGGTCTCTCTCTGGTCTCTCTGGTCTCTCTGGTCTCTTGTACTTGATCTCTAAGTGTCTTCATTTGTGTTGGTGAGCACTTCTCTTCTCTTTGATGTGATAATCCACTCCCTCACAGCTGAGAGTGAGAAATTAAATAGCAACAGCAGGAATACTGGTCCTATGGTAGTCCTGGTCCTGGTCCTGGTCCTGGTCTTGGGCCTAGTCCTGGTCTTGTCTTGGTCCTGGTCTTGGTCACTGGTCGTTAGTCTTGATCCTGGTCTTGGTCTTGGTTTTGGTCTTGGTCTTGGTCTTGGTCTTGGTCTTGGTCTTGGTCTTGGTCTTGGTCTTGGTCTTGGTCTTGGTCTTGGTCTTGGTCCTGGTCCTGGTCCTGGTCCTAGTCCAGACTGCAGTGTGGTAAATACCAATAATATCTGATGTCAGAGTGGGGCGAGTGAGGACAGGTTTTATGAGCTGACTTTCCACAAACAAACAAGATGCAGCTTTAGTCCTGGTTTAGACCTGCTTTATATATCCGGATTTTGGACATGCGAATCGACCTTGCGTGTGATCTGCTATATACCCTTGCGAGTGACCTACTGATCTTTGACCCAGGCCGTTTTTTAACATGCTTTAAACAGGCGAGAGTACTGCTTTTAGAATGCGCAGTGAGCACAGTCGGCGTGAGTCGGCACGTTAAGGTCAGGGTATCTACTGCGGTTGACCTCGACGGTCCTTAGCTCATTGTGTGTACTGAGGTTAGACCAGTCTGAACTGGGTTGAACTGAGTGGAGAACAAGACAGTGTGTACCTCGCGTGACGTAAGTGGCCAGTGTACCATGACGTGTTTCTTTCCATTTATTTACCAAACTGGGTTGGTGGTGAGGTTATGGCCGATGCCAAGTATAACTTAGTTTGGTTGTGTTTTGTCATGGACGATTTATCTCCGTGGAGGCAGGCGGAGGTCGGTGGCGTGGGATTCTAGCCGGGGGTATTGTCTGGGGGTATTAATGTTAGGCGAAAGAGATAAAAAGAAGAATAGAAGAGATCGACGAAGAGAAAAGACGACTAGAAGGAGGAAAAGAAGATAGAAAGAGGAGAAAAGAAGGATAGAAGAGGGAGAAGAAGAGCAACAAAGAAGATAGAAGAAGCAGAAGAAGACAGATCGACAGAGAGTAAAAGATGATTCGAAGAGAGACTGAAGAAGAGAAAAGAAGATGAAGAGATGACAACGCAGATCGAAGAGAGAAAAGAACGATAGAAAGAGAGAAAAGAAGATAGAAGAGAAGAGAAGAAGGCGAAAAAGAAGATAGAAGAGAGAAAAGAATATAGCCAAGAGAGCGAAGAATAGAAAGAAGATACGAATAGAGAAAAGAAGACGATGAAGGAGAGAGAAGAAGACTAGAAGAGCAGAGAAGAAGCGGCTAGAAAAAAGATACGAACAGAGAGCAAAGAAGATAGACGAAAAGGAAAAAAAACGAAAGATCGAAGAGAGAGAAGAAGAGAAAACGAAGAATCCTCACTCTCCCTCTCCTCTCTCCTCCTCCTTCTCCCTCTCTCCTCTCTCTCTCTCCCCTCTCTCCCCTTCTCGCTCCTCTCTCCCCTCCTCGCTCCACTTTCCCCTCCTCACTCCTCTCTCACCTCCTTTCTCCTCTCTCCCCTCCTTGCTCCTCTCCCCCCTCCTCGCTCCTCTCTCCCCTCTCCCCCCTCCTTGCTCCTCTCTCCCCTTCTCGCACCTCTAAACTCTCTCCTCCTCTCCCCCCTCCTTGCTCCTCTCTCCCCTCTCTCCCCTTCTCGCTCCTCTCTCCCCTCCTCGCTCCACTCTCCCCTCCTCACTCCTCTCTCCCCTCCTTGCTCCTCTCTCCCCTCCTTGCTCCTCTCCCCCCTCCTTGCTCCTCTCCCCCCTCCTTGCTCCTCTCTCCCCGTTCCCCCCTTCTTGCTCCTCTCTCCCCTCTCTCCCCTCCTCGCTCCTCTCTCCACTCTCTCCGCCCTGAGCTCATGTCTCTCTCACAGCTGTGTTTCCACATAAAACTGCACTGATTCACTCTGAATAAATGTATGTAAGATTGAGTCTAACGTTTACGAGGCGTTTAGAGACTGAGGCTGAAACTGAGACTGAGACTTAGACTGGGGCTGAGACCGGGGCTGAGGTTGGGGCTGAGAATGAGACTGAGGCTGAGACTGAGACTGAGACTGAGACTTAGACTTAGGCTGAGGCTGAGGCTGAGGCTGAGGCTGAAACTGAGGCTGAGGCTGAGGCTGAGGCTGAAACTGAGGCTGAGGCTGAGGCTATAGGGCTGAGGCTGAGACTGAGGCTATAGGGCTGAGGCTGAGGCTGAGACTGAGGCTGAGACTAAGGCTGAGACTGAGGCTGGGGCTGAGGTTGAAGCTGAGAATGAGACTGAGGCTGAGGCCGACACAGAGACTCAGAGGAGCAGATGTAGTGTTTCTTGACGATGACCTCAGACTCATCTGGAGTTGTTTAAATCTTTCGTAACATTTTTCCTTTTGCTTCGACTTTTCTTTTGTTCCAGAACTGTCTGTGATCCTCCACAGAGGGAGAGCTCTGACTGCAGACGCTGCTCCCTCTCCACACACACACACACAGTCTCAGTCTCAACTAACCTGGCCCCGAAGCGCTCTTATCTCAGTGCACTCACAATTTATCTTGCACTTAAATCCTGCAGAATGTGGGAGACCTGTTACAGAGTTCAAGAAGCGGCCTCTCCCTCTCCTCTCTCTTTCTCTCTCTGGTCTCTTTTTCTGGTCTCTCTCTCTCTCTCTCTGGTCTCTCTCTGGTCTCTCTCTCTCTGGTCTCTCTCTCTCTGGTCTCTCTCTGGTCTCTCTCTCTCTGGTCTCTCTCTGGTCTCTCTCTCTGGTCTCTCTCTCTCTGGTCTCTCTCTGTCTGGTCTCTCTCAGGTCTCTCTCTTTCTGGTCTCTCTCTCTCTCCTTCTGTGATCTCTCTGTGGTCTTTCTCTGGTCTCTCTAGTCTCTCTTCTCTCTTCTATCTTTTCTCTCCCCCTCTCTCTCTCCTCTTTGTCTCTTTCAAACGTCTCATAATTCTTTCTTTTCACCGTTTTGACCCAGACCGTGCGTCGCTGCCTTCGGGCGTGACGCCATCTTGTGTGTGTTCCAGGTCTCCCAAAAACAGCAAGATTTACCGCATCCATAACCCCAGGAGGAGAAGAGAGGAGAAAGGAGAACAGAGGAAAGATAAGCGAGGGGTAGAGCAAAGAGAATGGAGGAGAGAGGAGGTGCAAGAAGAGAAGATAGAAGAGGAGAGAAGGAGAGAAGAGGAGAGACAAGGAGAAAGGAGAGAAGAGGAGGAGCAAGGAAGAGGAGCAAGGAAGAGGAGCGAGGAAGAGGAGCAAGGAAGAGGAGCAAGGAGTGAAGAGGAGCAGCGTCCGCGTCTCCTCCTGCTGGCTGCGTCTCCTCCTGCTGGCTGCGTCTCCTCCTGCTGGCTGCGTCTCCTCCTGCTGGCTTCGTCTCCTCCTGCTGGCTTCGTCTCCTCCTGCTGGCTGCGTCTCCTCCTGCTGGCTGCGTCTCCTCCTACTGTCTGCATCTCCTGCTTCTGGCTCTCGCTGTGACGTCGCTGATTTACGATTGGCTGCTGTTTCAGATTTATGTTTCTGAGCTGCTTTTTGTCAAACGCACTCACTGAGGAATCCAGAGGAGAGTCCAGACTTGGTTTAGACCTGGGTCACACCTGGGTTAGACCTTGGTCAGACCTGGGTCATACCTGGGTCAGAACTGGATTAGGGCTGTGTTAGACCTGGGTCAGAGCTGGGGCAGACCTGGGTCAGACCTGGTTTAGACCTGGTTGAGACCTGGGTCAGACCTGGTTCAGACCTGGTTGAGACCTGGGTCAGACCTGGCGTTGGTCTCGGCTTTCTCCTCACTCTGTGTAATGCTTGCCTTTCCATAGAGGCACAGAGTGATACAGCAGTAATACAGGTCTCTCTATATAAATACAGTGTATACAGTGACTAGCCTCTCCGCAGAGCCGCAGTGTAAGACCACAGCGAAGGCTGACATGGTCCTCCTGGTGGACGGGTCGTGGAGCATCGGTCGCATCAACTTCAAAACCATCCGGAACTTTATCGCTCGCATGGTCAGTGTGTTCGACATCAGCCCTGAGCGCGTGCAGATCGGTGAGCTCAGTGTCTGTCTGTGTCTCTGTGTCTGTCTCTGTGTGTGTCTCTGCATCTGTCTGAGTCTCTGTGTCTGTGTCTGTCTCTTTGTCTGTCTCTGTGTGTGTCTCTGCATCTGTCTGAGTCTCTGTGTCTGTCTCTGTCTCTGTGTCTGTCTCTGTGTGTGTCTCTGCATCTGTCTGAGTCTCTGTGTCTGTCTCTGTGTGTGTCTCTGCATCTGTCTGAGTCTCTGTGTCTGTCTCTGTGTGTCTGTCTCTGTCTCTTTGTCTGTCTCTTTGTGTCTCTGTCTCCGTGTCTGTCTCTCTCTGTGTCTGTCTCTCTCTCTGTCTTTGTCTCTGTGTCTGTCTCTCTGTCTGTATCTGTGTCTGTTTCTGTGTTCTCTGTTTGTGTCTCTGTCTCTCTCTCTCAGGCACTGTCTCAGGTCTCTTTCTAAGGACCTTTTCTCAGGTCCGTCTCTCTCGTCTCTATCTAAGGTCTCTCTCTCAGTCTCTCTGTGATCTATCTCTTGGCTCTCTCTCCCTCTCTGGTCTCTCTCTAAGGTCCCTCTCTAGGTCTCTGTCAAGTCTCTCTCTCGGGTCTCTCTCTAAGGTCTACCTCTCAGGTCTTTCTCTCTGGTCTCTCTACGGTTTCTTTCTCAGCCATTGTCTTGCTCAGATCTCTCTCTCTCTCCCAGGTCTTTTTTCTCAGATCTCTCTCTCTGGTCTCTCTCTCAGTCTCTGTCTCTCTTAGGTCTCTCACTCAGGTCTCTCGCTCAGGTCTCTCTCAGGTCTCTCTCTGGTCTCTCACTCAGTCTCTGTCTCTCTCAGGTCCCTCTCTCAGGTGTCTATCACAGTATCTGTCTATCTCTCAGGTCTCTCGCTCAGTCTCTCAGGTCTCTCTCAGGTTTCTCTCTAAGGTTTCTCTCAGGTATCACTCAGTCTCTGTCTCTCTCAGGTGTCTCTCTCAGTCTCTGTCTCTCTCAGGTGTCTCTCTCAGTCTCTCAAGTCTCCCTCTCAGTCTCTGTCTCTCAGATCTCTTTCTCAGTTTCTGTCTCAGAGACCGAGAGAGGTCCGTCTCTCTCTAAGGTCTCGCTCTCAATATCTGTCTCAGCTCTCTCTCTCAGGTCCCTCTCTCTTGTCTCTTTCTAAGGTCTCTCTCAGGTCTCTCTCTCTGGTCTCTTTCTAAGGTCTCTGTCTCGCTCAGGTCTGGCTCAGTATAGCGGAGACCCAAAGACAGAGTGGCACCTGAACTCTCACCCGAACAAAGTCTCACTCCTGGAGGCGGTGGCCAACCTGCCGTACAAGGGCGGGAACACCATGACAGGTGAGACTGCTGCTGAGACTGCTGCTGAGACTGCTGCTGAGACTGCTGCTGAGACTGCTGCTGATACTGCTGCTGAGACTGCTGCTGAGACTGCTGCTGAGACTGCTGCTGAAACTGCTGCTGAGACTGCTGCTGAAACTGCTGCTGAAACTGCTGCTGAAAGTTTCAACTGCTGCTTTGAATGATGATACTGCTGCTGAGAAGGATGAGACTGCTGCAGAGAAGGATGAGACTGCTGCAGAGAAGGATGATACTGCTGCAGAGAAGGATGATACTGCTGCTGAGAAGGAGGAGACTGCTGCAGAGAAGGATGATACTGCTGCTGAGAAGGATGAGACTGCTGCAGAGAAGGATGATACTGCTGCTGAGAAGGATGATACTGCTGCAGAGAAGGATGATACTGCTGCAGAGAAGGATGAGACTGCTGCAGAGAAGGATGAGACTGCTGCAGAGAAGGATGATACTGCTGCTGAGAAGGATGATACTGCTGCTGAGAAGGATGAGACTGCTGCAGAGAAGGATGATACTGCTGCTGAGAAGGATGATACTGCTGCAGAGAAGGATGAGACTGCTGCAGAGAAGGATGAGACTGCTGCAGAGAAGGATGATACTGCTGCTGAGAAGGATGATACTGCTGCAGAGAAGGATGAGACTGCTGCAGAGAAGGATGAGACTGCTGCAGAGAAGGATGATACTGCTGCAGAGAAGTATGATACTGCTGCAGAGAAGGATGAGACTAAAACTGATGATACTTCTGCTGAAACTGCTGCTGCTGAGACTGATGAGACTTCTGCTAAGACTGATGATACTGTTAAGATTGATGATACTGCTGCTGAGACTCCTGAGACTGCTGCTTATACTGCTGATACTGTGGCTGAGACTGCCATCTGTATATAATATTACATGCTGTCCCCTGCAGGCATGGCCCTGAACTACATCCTGGAGAATAACTTTCGTCCAAATGTGGGTCTGAGACCTGAAGCTCGTAAGATCGGTGTCCTCATCACTGACGGCAAGTCTCAGGACGAGATCATCGTGAGCTCTCAGAGACTCAGGGATAGCAACATCGAGCTCTACGCTATTGGTGAGAGCTGACCTTTGAGCTGTGACCTCTGACCTCTGACTCTAACCTCTGACCCTGACCTTCTTTGCTGCAGGGGTGAAGAATGCAGATGTGGCAGAGCTGAGGACCATCGCCTCTGACCCTGACGACATCCACATGTACAACGTGGACGACTTCAAGTTTATGGTCGACATTGTGGACGAACTGACGGTCAATCTGTGCAACAGTGTGAGAGGAGGTGAGTGACAGCCTGCCCCAGGGCAGCTGTGGCTACTGTTACAGGAGCCTGCAGACTTCAGTTCTGGTCCAGACCCAGTCCAGACATGGTCTCTCTCTGCAGATGAGCCAGACCCTGTGGATCTGGTCCCAGACCCTCCCCAGGACCTGCAGACCTCAGAGGTCACACACTCCTCCTTCAGAGTCTCCTGGAGTCCTCCTGACGCTCCTGCAGATAAATACAGGATCACCTACAGGAGAGCAGCCGGAGGTGCTACGCAGGAGGTAAGCACCTCCTCACTGCAGGAGGACACACCCAGAAGGTAAACACCTCCTCACAGTAGGAGGAGATCCTACCCGGGAGGTAAGCACCTCCTCACTGCAGGAGGTGCTTACCTCCTACCACTGTCGCATTATAAAGAAGTGTAAAGAATGTAAATATATAATTATATACAGTATTCCAGCGCAGAATATACACTATATATATATATAAATATAACTCCACACATACAAAGAGACACAGAAAGAGAGAGACACACACACACACTCACTCAGAGAGAGACACAAACGCACACATTTAGAGAGAGAGAGATACACGCACACACACACACTCATAGAGAGAGAGATACACGCACACACACACACTCATAGAGAGAGAGACACGCACACACTTAGAGAGCGAGAGAGTGTTCCTGACACACGCAGTCAGGAAGAAAAGAACCGACTTCTTTATAAAAACCTATTCTACAGAAAATGTAGAATCTACCTCAGTGTGTGTGTGTGTGTCTCTCTGTCTCAGTGTTGCAGACCTTAGTGTCTTGGTCTCTGTCTCAGTGTCTCTGTCTCGGTCTCTGTCTCAGTGTCTGTGTCTCAGTGTCTCTGTCTCAGTGTCTCTGTCTCAGTGTCTGTGTCTCTGTCTCGGTGTCTCTGTCTCAGTGTCTCTGTCTCAGTGTCTCTGTCTCGGTGTCTCTGTCTCAGTGTCTCTGTCTCAGTGTCTCTTTCTCAGTGTCTCTGTCTCGGTCTCTGTCTCGATGTCTCTGTCTCAGTGTCTGTGTCTCTGTCTCGGTCTCTGTCTCAGTGTCTGTGTCTCTGTGTCTCTGTCTCAGTGTCTCTGTCTCTGTCTCAGTGTCTGTGTCTCTGTGTCTCTGTCTCAGTGTCTCTGTCTCTGTCTCAGTGTCTCTGTCTCGGTCTCTGTCTCGGTCTCTGTCTCAGTGTCTGTGTCTCTGTGTCTCTGTCTCTGTCTCAGTGTCTGTGTTTCTGTCTCTGTCTCAGTGTCTGTGTCTCAGTGTCTCTGTCTCAGTCTCTGTCTCAGTGTCTCTGTCTCAGTGTCTCTGTCTCAGTGTCTCTGTCTCAGTGTCTGTGTCTCTGTCTCGGTGTCTCTGTCTCAGTGTCTCTGTCTCTGTCTCGGTGTCTCTGTCTCAGTGTCTCTGTCTCGGTCTCTGTCTCGGTGTCTCTGTCTCAGTGTCTCTGTCTCGGTCTCTGTCTCGGTCTCTGTCTCGGTGTCTCTGTCTCAGTGTCTCTGTCTCGGTCTCTGTCTCAGTGTCTGTGTCTCTGTGTCTCTGTCTCAGTCTTGCAGACCTTAGTGTCTTGGTCTCTGTCTCGGTCTCTGTCTCAGTGTCTGTGTCTCTGTCGCAGTGTTGCAGACCTTAGTGTCTTGGTCTCTGTCTCGGTCTCTGTCTCAGTGTCTGTGTCTCTGTGTTGCAGACCTCGGTGGACGGTGAGACCATGTCCACTGTCCTCGTGGGTCTCTCTCCTCGGACTCTGTACGAAGTCAGTGTTTACACTGTGAGCGGAGAGTCGAGCAGCGCCCCCCTGTCCGGGTCCGAGACCACACGTGAGTCAGGGGTCAGGGTCCAGGACCAATACCACACTTGAGTCAGGGGTCAGGGACCGAGACCATAAGTGAGTCAGGGGTCAGGACCACACGTGTGTCAGGGGTCAGGGACCGAGACCACACGTGAGTCAGGGGTCAGGGACCGAGACCATACGTGAGTCAGGGGTCAGGACCACACGTGTGTCAGGGGTCAGGGCCCAAGACCACACGTGAGTCAGGGGTCAGGACCACACGTGTGTCAGGGGTCAGGACCACACGTGTGTCAGGGGTCAGGGACCGAGACCACATGTGAGTCAGGGGTCAGGGACCGAGACCACACGTGAGTCAGGGGTCAGGACCACACGTGTGTCAGGGGTCAGGGCCCAAGACCACACGTGAGTCAGGGGTCAGGACCACACGTGTGTCAGGGGTCAGGACCACACGTGTGTCAGGGGTCAGGACCACAAGTGTGTCAGGGGTCAGGGACCAAGACCACACGTGAGTCAGGGGTCAGGACCACACGTGTGTCAGGGGTCAGGACCACACGTGTGTCAGGGACCAAGACCACACGTGAGTCAGGGGTCAGGGACCAAGACCACACGTGAGTCAGGGGTCAGGACCACACGTGTGTCAGGGGTCAGGGACCAAGACCACACGTGAGTCAGGGGTCAGGACCACACGTGTGTCAGGGGTCAGGACCACACGTGTGTCAGGGGTCAGGGACCGAGACCACATGTGAGTCAGGGGTCAGGGGTCAGGACCACACGTGTGTCAGGGGTCAGGACCACAAGTGTGTCAGGGGATAGGGACCGAGACCACACGTGAGTCAGGGGTCAGGGACCGAGACCACACGTGAGTCAGGGGTCAGGACCACACATGAGTCAGGGGTCAGGACCACACGTGAGTCAGGGGTCAGGACCACACGTGTGTCAGGGGTCAGGACCACACGTGTGTCAGGGATCAGGGACCGAGACCACACGTGAGTCAGGGGTCAGGGACCGAGACCACACGTGAGTCAGGGGTCAGGACCACACGTGTGTCAGGGATCAGGGACCGAGACCACACGTGAGTCAGGGGTCAGGGACCGAGACCACACGTGAGTCAGGGGTCAGGGACCGAGACCACACGTGAGTCAGGGGTCAGGACCACACATGAGTCAGGGGTCAGGACCACACGTGAGTCAGGGGATAGGAACCGAGACCACAAGTGAGTCAGGGGTCAGGACCACACGTGTGTCAGGGGTCAGGACCACACGTGTGTCAGGGGTCAGGACCACACGTGTGTCAGGGATCAGGGACCGAGACCACACGTGAGTCAGGGGTCAGGGACCGAGACCACACGTGAGTCAGGGGTCAGGGACCGAGACCACACGTGAGTCAGGGGTCAGGGACCGAGACCACACGTGAGTCAGGGGTCAGGGACCGAGACCACACGTGTGTCAGGGGTCAGGACACTACAATAATTCTATTGTACATCTTTATTAATGTTTCTATTAATTATTTCTTATTATTTCCGATCCCTCAAGCGTCCTGTGGCTCCCTCCACAGCTCCTCCTGACCTCCTCTCTCTCCTCAGCTCCTCTTGACCTCCTCTCTCTCCTCAGCTCGTCCTGACCTCCTCTCTCTCCTCAGCTCCTCTTGACCTCCTCTCTGTCCTCAGCTCCTCTTGACCTCCTCTCTGTCCTCAGCTCGTCCTGACCTCCTCTCTCTCCTCAGTCCCTGTTGCTGCTCCTGCGGACCTCGTGGTCTTCAATGAGGAGGTGACGAGTTTCAGACTGAGGTGGACTGAAGCTGAAGGAGCCACAGGATACAAGATTCTGTACCAAGCCCTGAACTCCTCTGACGGAGGAGACGAGAGGGAGGTGGGACCAAACTACTCTGCTCCTCCTTCTTCTGCTCCTCCTCCTGCTCAACCCAGTACAGATGCCTGTGATCCCTGAACTCTGACCCTTGTCCCCTGACCTCTTACTTCTGACCCTGACAGCTGCGCGTGGGTCCGGTATCGGTGGCGCTGCTGACGGAGTTGATCCCGAACACAGCGTACGGCGTCAAACTCTTCGCTCTCCACCAAGAGACGACCTCTGACCCTTTAGAGGTCACAGGGGTCACACGTAAGTCACACACACATGCATTTACACAAACACACATACATACACGCACACACATATATACACACACACACACACAAACACACACACAGGCACACACACACACACAACCACAGACACAGGCCCACACATGCATCTCTCCTCAGAGGCCCCCCTCTTTCTCTATAGGGGGATCTTTGAGTGACATCATTGACTGGGCGGCAAAAAAGAAGAGAAAGCTACCTCTGTGCTAGAAATACTCTCACTACTTCACTGTGATGATGAATTTTAAAAAAATCTAATTTGGATCAATATTGCACGTTTTGACCCCATTTTTCTCGTAATTTCTAAATTCAAATTGAATGTTGCTTTGCACAGTAGTAGAGGGCCTCACAGTGAACAAGTGTGCAGTGAAAGTAGTCACAAAACTCGTGTATATTCTTTATAATGAATTTTTCAAAATTGCACTTTGGTTGCTCAATCCCGCGCCATAAAGTGGCCACCCTCTTTTAATGTGCGGACCACTTTACTGCAACAGCGAAAAGCCGGGCCACTTTACCGCAGTGAAAAACGCGAGAATCGATTTTTCACCACGGACCCTTCTTGCGTGAAGTGTCCCGGGTTTTCTATGAAGTAAGAATTTGTTCAGTTCTGTCTCATTTACTCATTTTTAGCTTGTCTTTATATCTCCTCTGATCTTCTTGCGTTAAAGTTTTTATATATTGTGCATTTTGCCCACTGAGTCTTTTAAAAGTCCTGTCGCATCCATGCTTCAGTATGTGACGCTCTGTTTTCTTGCCATGCGCACGTGGATGTAAACAAAGTTCCTCCTATTTCTTATCAGGGGCCCCTCTCTCTCTCTCCTCAGGGCCAGTGCTGTTCAAGGGGGCCCTCAGGATCTCTGATGTGACACACAGTCAGGGGTCAGGGGCCGAGACCACACGTGTGTCAGGGGTTAGGGACCGAGACCACAAGTGAGTCAGGGGTCAGGACCACACGTGTGTCAGGGGTCAGGGACCGAGACCACACGTGAGTCAGGGGTCAGGGACCGAGACCACACGTGAGTCAGGGGTCAGGGACCGAGACCACACGTGAGTCAGGGGTCAGGGACCGAGACCACACGTGAGTCAGGGGTCAGGGACCGAGACCACACGTGAGTCAGGGGTCAGGGACCGAGACCACACGTGTGTCAGGGGTCAGGACACTACAATAATTCTATTGTACATCTTTATTAATGTTTATATTGATTATTTCTTATTATTTCCGATCCCTCAAGAGTCCTGTGGCTCCCTCCACAGCTCCTCCTGACCTCCTCTCTCTCCTCAGCTCCTCTTGACCTCCTCTCTGTCCTCAGCTCGTCCTGACCTCCTCTCTCTCCTCAGCTCCTCTTGACCTCCTCTCTGTCCTCAGCTCCTCTTGACCTCCTCTCTGTCCTCAGCTCGTCCTGACCTCCTCTCTCTCCTCAGTCCCTGTTGCTGCTCCTGCGGACCTCGTGGTCTTCAATGAGGAGGTGACGAGTTTCAGACTGAGGTGGACTGAAGCTGAAGGAGCCACAGGATACAAGATTCTGTACCAAGCCCTGAACTCCTCTGACGGAGGAGACGAGAGGGAGGTGGGACCAAACTACTCTGCTCCTCCTTCTTCTGCTCCTCCTCCTGCTCAACCCAGTACAGATGCCTGTGATCCCTGAACTCTGACCCTTGTCCCCTGACCTCTTACTTCTGACCCTGACAGCTGCGCGTGGGTCCGGTATCGGTGGCGCTGCTGACGGAGTTGATCCCGAACACAGCGTACGGCGTCAAACTCTTCGCTCTCCACCAAGAGACGACCTCTGACCCTTTAGAGGTCACAGGGGTCACACGTAAGTCACACACACATGCATTTACACAAACACACATACATACACGCACACACATACACACAAACACACACACACACACACAACCACAGACACAGGCCCACACATGCATCTCTCCTCAGAGGCCCCCCTCTTTCTCTATAGGGGGATCTTTGAGTGACATCATTGACTGGGCGGCAAAAAAGAAGAGAAAGCTACCTGTGTGCTAGAAATACTCTCACTACTTCACTGTGATGATGAATTTTAAAAAATCTAATTTGGATCAATATTGCACGTTTTGACCCCATTTTTCTCGTAATTTCTAAATTCAAATTGAATGTTGCTTTGCACAGTAGTAGAGGGCCTCACAGTGAACAAGTGTGCAGTGAAAGTAGTCACAAAACTCGTGTATATTCTTTATAATGAATTTTTCAAAATTGCACTTTGGTTGCTCAATCCCGCGCCATAAAGTGGCCACCCTCTTTTAATGTGCGGACCACTTTACTGCAACAGCGAAAAGCCGGGCCACTTTACCGCAGTGAAAAACGCGAGAATCGATTTTTCACCACGGACCCTTCTTGCGTGAAGTGTCCCTGGTTTTCTATGAAGTAAGAATTTGTTCAGTTCTGTCTCATTTACTCATTTTTAGCTTGTCTTTATATCTCCTCTGATCTTCTTGCGTTAAAGTTTTTATATATCGTGCATTTTTCCCACTGAGTCTTTTAAAAGTCCTGTCGCATCCATGCTTCAGTATGTGACGCTCTGTTTTCTTGCCATGCGCACGTGGATGTAAACAAAGTTCCTCCTATTTCTTATCAGGGGCCCCTCTCTCTCTCTCCTCAGGGCCAGTGCTGTTCAAGGGGGCCCTCAGGATCTCTGATGTGACACACAGTTCCATGAAGCTCAACTGGGACGAGGCTCCGGCTCCTGTGAAGAAATACATCATCACCTACAAGGCAGAAGAAGGAGGTCTGCAGGAGGTGAGTGGAAGTAGGAGCAGAAGAGAGGAGGTCTGCAGAAGGTGGGAGGAAGTGGGAGGTGTAGAGAGGAGGTCTGCAGGAGGTGAGTGGAGGAAAGAGGAGTTCTGCAGGAGATGAGAGGAAGTAGGAGCAGAAGAGAGGAGGTCTGCAGAAGGTGGGAGGAAGTGGGAGGGGTAGAGAGGAGGTCTGCAGTATTTGAGAGGAGGTCTGCAGGGAGTGAGAGAAGAGGTCTGCAGTAGGTGGGTGGAGAGAGAGGAGGTCTTCAGGAGATGAGAGGAGGTCTACAGGAAGTGAGAGGAGAGAGGTCTGCAGGAGGTTGGAGGAGGTCTGTAGGAGGTGAGAGGAGGTCTGTAGGAGGTGGAAGGATGTCTGCAGGAGGTGAGAGGAGATGGGAGGAGGAGAGAGGAGGTCTGAAGGAGGTGACAGGAGGTCTGCAGGAGGTGGGAGGATGTCTGCAGGAAGTGAGAGGAGATAGGAGGAGGAGAGGTCTGCAGGAGGCGAAAGGAGGTCTGCAGGAGGTGGGAGAAAGATTGCAAGAGGAGATAGGAGGTGAGAGGAGGTGAGAAGAGGTCTGCAGTAGGAGACAGGTGGTCTGCAGGAGGTGATCCAATTGTTTGATATGTGTGTGTTGCCAGGTTGTGACTTTGGTGTGTGTTGCCAGGTTGTGACAGGTGTGTATGTCTGTATGAAAGCGCTTTATAAAAATAAATTGGGTGTGTTGCCAGGTTGAGGTGGGAGGTGATGTCACGTCTCAGAGTCTGTCGTCGCTGGTCTCTCAGACGGAGTATGACGTCGCTGTGACTCCTGTTTACGAACAGGGACCAGGAGAACCCATGCTAAACAGCGCTATCACAGGTGAGGAGGAGGTCTGCGCCCCCTGCTGCTGCTCCTGCTGCTATCCTTACCCTCTCTCCTCCTCAGATGTGGTTTCCAGCTTCCAGGAGCCTCTTCCTCTCTCCTCCTCCTCCTGCTTCTCTAACCTCCTCTTCTCTCCTCTCTCCTCCTGCTCCGCCTCCTCTAACCTCCTCCTCCTGATCCTCAAAGTCTCATGTTTGTACAACGTTCTCACTGCATGTTTTCATGTTACTGCTTTTACTAACCTGCTTTTTATGCTTCTGATGTTTGTGGCTTTTAAAGAGCTGTTGCTCTGTTTGATGATTCCATGGGACTACCATAGACTGTAAATATGAACACAGTTATATCAATATTATAGAAAACTAGCCTTCATGGCTAAATCTGGCATTTTTACATGGTTTAATTAAATAATTTGTTTCTATAATTTGATAATTAACAATTGTCCATTTAATTCTAACAATTAAATATATAACCTCCTCCTTCTCCTCTAACCTCCTGCTCCTCCTCAGATGTAGTACCTGCTCCTCAGCGCCTCCTTCTGTCGGAGGTCACAGAGAGCTCGTTCAGAGCGTCCTGGGAACACGGAGCTCCAGACGTGAAACTGTACAGACTGAGCTGGAGCAGGAAGGGAGGGGCCAAGCCCGAGTTTGTGAGTACCTGAGTGTCTGAGTATCTGAGTATCCGAGTATCTGAGCTGGAGCAGGAGGGGAGGGGTCGAGCCCGAGTTTGTGAGTATAGAGTATGCGAGAACTACTATAGCTGGGATCTGTGACTTTTTGAGTCACGTACCTGTATCTGCCTCTTTGGGCTGAGAGCTGATTGGCTGAGTGAGGGTGGTCCTCTCTTTGATCTAAAGATGTGACATCACAAATATATGATGTGAAACGAGTGAAGCAACTGTTTTAGAGCCAGAACTAGAGACATGAGTTTAATACAGAGCTCTATTGAGAGTCCAGCTTTAAACTGACAGACCTCAGCTTTACCTCAGCTTTAAAGTTACAGATCCCAGCTTTAAAGTTACAGACACCAGCTTTAAAGTTACAGATCCCAGCTTTAAAGTCCCAGCTGTGGCCAACGAGGTTCACATAAACACGCCTGGTTCCAGTTAAAGCTGAGTCCAGACTCTTAGTCTGATGCTCCCCATAATTCGATGAGTGATGATCAAACCAAAGTCTTTGAAGTCGCCGCAGCTGGAGATAAATAACGGAACACATTGTTAAAGCGTCTCAGACTCTCATTAAACATCACATGAAAACTATTGTTTTCGTCTCTTTGATTTTACAACATCATGGTTCTATTCTTCCATCTGCAGTTATTAAAGCCAGACCCCACCAGGCCCTGCCCCAGGCCTGGTCCAAACGTGCTCTAGTCCTGGTTTAGACCTGCTTTAGATCAGCTTTAGTCCTGCTTTAGACCTGCTTTAGACCTGCTTTAGTCCTGCTTTTGTCCTGCTTTAGACCTGCTTTAGACCTACTTTAGACCTGCTTTAGACCTGCTTTAGACCTGCTTTAGACCTGCTTTAGACCTGCTTTAGTCCAGATAATCTGACCCTGAGCCAGAGTCATTCATAGTTACCATAGTAACGTCTCTTTCAGGCCGTGCTGGACTCTGGGGTCACATCGCACGTTCTTCCAAACTTGGATCCGGACACAGAGTATTTGGTTACCGTGACGGCCATCTACCCCGACCAATCAGAGAGCGAGGACCTGATGGGGGCAGAGCGAACATGTAAGTGACGTGACACGCCACCTACACTAGTGTCATCAGGAGCTAGTGTCATTATCAGTGGGGGTGGGTCCCGGCTCAAAAGTGGCCAAAATGACGTGTGAATTTTTGAAGTCACTCGTTAAATGAATGGGGCTCGCACCGGCTGACGCATGCGCAGATGCGTTTTTTCACAATTTTCTTGCGGGCGGGACCACTCGCAGCCATTTTGGTTAGCTCCAGTAGAGCACTATTTTTGGCCCATTTGTTTGAACGGCGGAGATAGGCGTGACTACGTCCGTTAACATTTACAGTCTATGGTCATTACAAGCTACTGTCATCAAGAGCTAGTGTCTCTGTAGAGCTACATAAGGAGCTAGTGTCTATTCCCTGATGAATGATCGGATGTGTTTGACTCTCTGCAGTGCCCAGCGCTCCAGTCGGTACGTTTACATTTATGTCACATGTTCATGTGTTCATCAGTTCGTCTTCATCAGTTTGTTGTCATCACATTAGTCACATGTTAATGCCCCATATCCATCCATCATGTCCCTGTCTCTCTGTAACTTCTCTCTCTCTGTAACTTCTCACTGTAACATCTCTTTGTAACTTCTCTCTCTCTGTAACTTCTCTCTATAACATCTCTTTGTAACTTCTCTCTCTCTGTAACATCTCTTTGTAACTTCTCTCTCTGTAACTTCTCTCTCTCTGTAATCCCTCTGTAACATTTCTCTGTAGCTTGTCTCTCTCTGTAACCTCTCTCTCTGTAATCTCTCTGTAACATCTCTCTGTAGCTTCTCTCTCTCTGTAACCTCTCTCTCTCTGTAATCTCTCTGTAACCACTCTCTGTAACATCTCTCTCTTTAACCTCTCCCTGTAACCTCTCTGTAACTTTTCTGTAACCTCTCTCTGTGACATCTCTCGCTGTAATCTCTCTCTGTAACTTCCCCCTGTATTTTCCCTCTGTAACCTTCCTCTGTATTATCCCTCTGTAACCTCCTTCTGTATTATCCCTCTGTAACCTCCTTCTGTGTCCCCTCAGTGGCAGTAGCACCTCCTCGGAACCTGGAAGTGGTGAACTCCTCCTCCACCACACTTACGGCTCGATGGGAAGCTGCTCCAGGGAGAGTCCAGAACTACAGGCTCACATATGTTCCCCTGTCCCCAGAAGGAGAGAGTCCCCAGAGTGTAAGAATACCAGTACAACCAAACACAAGAGTCCCCAGAGTGTAAGGATAAAAGCACACTCACAAGAGTCCCCAGAGCGTAAGGATACCATTACAACCAAACACAAGAGTCCCCAGAGCGTAAGGATAAAAGCACACTCACAAGAGTCCCCAGAGCGTAAGGATACCAGTACAACCAAACACAAGAGTCCCCAGAGCGTAAGGATAAAAGTACACACACACGAGGTCTCAGACTGTAAGGATACCATCGCACAGACACACACCCACCAACACGCACACACGGACACACACACAGCAACACGCACACACACTGATGTTGTGTTGTTGTGTTGCAGGTCCAGGTTGGTGGTAAAAAGACCAGTGTGATTCTACAGAAGCTGCGTCCAGACACAGACTACAGACTGAGTCTAGCTGCTGTGTATCCTGCTGCTGTGAGCCCAGAAACAAGCACCCAGGGGAGAACAAGTGAGCCTCCTCTGCGCCTCCTCTGCACCTCCTCTGCACTCCCTCTGCACTCCCTCTGCATGTCCTCTGCATGACCTCTGCTCCTCCTCAGAACCTCTTCTAACACCTCTACTGTACCTCCTGTAGCTCCTGTTTTGGCTGTTTACAGTATTTTCAGTCTGCTCCCCGTGACCACTTTGTGGCTCTCTGATTGGTTGCTGCACGAGCGTCCCGAGGAAACGTCCAGCAATATTTATCTTCTGGTTGCTTCGATTTCCCGCTCCTGCGCCTCTGCCGCACCTTTGCCGTGCAGTCCGTGCGTGCATCCCGAGACGTCACCATTGACTTTGCATTGAAAGTCGCCGCAACGCATGATCCGGTCTGAACGCGGCTTAACACCTCCTCTTCACTCCCTCTGCACCTCGTCCTCAGCTCCTCCTCAGCACCTCCTCTAACACCTCATCTACACCTCCTATGCACTACCTATGCACCTCCTCTGCATGTTCTCTGCTCCTCCTCTGCACCACCTCTAACACCTCCTCTCCACCTCTGCACCTCCTCTAACACATCCTCTGCACCTACTCTATCACCTCTAAACTGCATGTTTGCATGTTCTCCGGTTTCTTCTCCTTCACCTCCTTCTTCACCTGTTCCTCAACCTTCACCTGTTCCTCCTCTTCCTGCTCCTCCCTTCAGAGCCTCTCGGGGGCGTGAGGAACCTGCAGGTGCTGAACCCGACCATGACGACTCTGAGCGTGCGCTGGGATCCAGCGGAAGGAAAAGTCAAAGAATATAGAGTAATCTACAAACCAGCAGCAGGGGGCGCTGAGAGCATGGTGAGGACCAGTACACGCTCTGGTCTCTCTCTGGTCTCTCCCTTGTCTCTCTCTGGTCTCTCTCTAGTCTTTCTAGTCTCTCTCTGGTCTCTCTCTGGTCTCTCTCTGGTCTCTATGGTCTCTCTCTCATCTCTCTCTGGTCTCTCTCTGGTCCCGCTCTGGTCTCTCTCTCTGGTCTCTCTTTAAGGTCTTTCCGGACTCTTTGGACTCTCTCTGGACTCTCTCTAGTCTCTTTTTGGTCTTACCGGGCTCTTTGGACTCTCTCTACTGTAGACTCTCTCTGGTCTCTGACTGGTCCTTGTTGCTGATTTAGGAGCAGGTTACAGCTGGTACCACCAGTACAATGCTGAGAGGACTGACCCCTGACACTCTCTACTCTGTGTCTCTGCTGCCCATATATGGAGAGGGGGAGGGGCTAGTGATGTCACAGAGCGGAAAGACACGTATGTACAAAACACACACATATACATACATACCCACATGGTCTCTCTCTGGTCTCTCTCTCTGGTCTTTATCTGGTCTCTTTCTCTGGTCTCTCTCTGCTGCAGGGCCACTAGGGGGAGTGAAGAGCCTGCGTGTGTTTGATCCCACCATGACGTCTCTGAACGTGGAGTGGGAACCAGCAGAGGGCGCTGTGAGACTCTACAAGGTTTTCTACGTCCCAGCGGCCGGAGGCAACGAGGAGATGGTGAGAGAGCAGAGGACAGTCTTTCTGGTTCCTCTGGTCCCCCTGGTCCCTCTGGTCTCACCTGGTGTGTGTCCTCTGGTCCTCAGGAGCAGGTGCCGGTGTCCTCCTCGTCCACGGTGCTGAGGAACCTTCAGTCCAACACAGAGTACACTGTGTCTGTTCTGCCAGTGTTCCCTGCACGAGAAGGAAAGCGGTCCTCAGCCAACGGCAAGACATGTAAGCTAGACATGTACTGTAGGTCTGAGTTAGATATGTAAGTCTAAGCCATACAGTATAAGTCTAAGTTAGACGAGCCTGAGTTAGACATGTAAGTTAGATGTGTGGGTCTAAGTTAGACATGTAAGTCCATGTTAGAATAAAAATCATTTTTATTTCTATGTACAGTATGTAACAAGAAGTCACAGACTAGGAAATTGCTTTGGTTCAGTCAAAAGGATTACAATTATTACAATTAGTACTATATACAATATACAAGTGCGCTTGGTGCACACAATGTGCAGTAAGGTGACAGCAATAAAGTGACGTTATAAAGGAGAGTAAAGTGACGTTATAAAGGGCAATAAGGTGACATTTCTAAAGGGCGGGGTGACAAATTATGAATCATGTCCAACAGCAAAGGGGAAGAACTGTTCTTATGGTGGGAAGTTCTGTAGCCATAGCTTCCTGCTATGTAGGGGTTAAAACAGTCCATGTGCCAGGTGAGAGGGCCGCGATACGACCAGCCCGGCCTCGAGCTCGGGCGTCTTACAGGTCCTGCAGAGATAGGAGGCTGCGGCCGATCACCTTCTCTGCAGAGTGCACAATGCGCTGTAGTTTCTGCTTGTCGCTGACAGTGGCTCCAGCGAACCACACGGTGATGGAGGAGGTGAGGATGGAGGAGGTGATGGAGGAGGTGAGGATGGAGGAGGTGAGGATGGAGGAGGTGATGGAGGAGGTGAGGATGGAGGAGGTGAGGATAGACTCGACGATGGCCGTGTAGAACTGCACCAACATCTGTGCAGGCAGCTTGGCTTTCCTGAGCTGCCGCAGGAATTACATCCTCTGCTGGGCCTTCTTGATGAGGGAGCTGATGGTCGGCTCCCACTTGAGGTCCTGGGTGATGGTGGTGCCCAGGAAATGGAAGGACTCCACAGAGGTGATGGGGGAGTCCATCACGGAGGGCGGGGGTGGGAGGACTGTGCTCTTCCTGAAGTCCACAATCATCTCCACTGTCTTCTGGGCGTTCAGCTCCAGGTTGTTACCACTGCACCAGGACACCAGCCGGTCCACCTCCCTCCTGTAGGCGGACTCATCGTTGTTGGAGATGAGTCCAATGAGGGTGGTGTCGTCCGCGAACTTGATCAGCTTCACAGAGTCGTGGCTGGAGGTGCAGTGGTTGGTGTCCAGTGAAAAGAGCAGGGGAGAAAGAACACAGCCCTGTGGGACTCCTGTATTTATAATCTGAGCGTCCAAGAAATTCTTCCCCAGACGCACTAGCTGCTTCCTGTCTGTCAGGAAGTCAGTGACCCACCTGCAGGTGGAATCGGGCACGAATTTAGAGCCAGGGCCAGATTCTTAGCACCACTTCTAGGGCATCAACCTTACAGCCAGCGGTTGAAAGTCGAGATGACAGTGTCGGTGATTTTAGACATAGCTCTAGCTTTAACTCGCTCTAAACAATCCTAAACTGCTTTAAAGTGTAGGTCACAGCTTTGGACCTGGGTTTGAGACTTGGGTCTGTAACATTAAACCATGTGGCGAGTTTCTGGCTCTGACACAGTTTTCTTGTTCTGCTAGTGCCGCTGGGGGGAGTGGACAACATGAGAGTGTCTAACCCGACCATCACCACTCTCACCGTCACATGGTCCTCTGCACCAGGAAACGTACAGGGATACAAGGTCAAGTACGAGCCCACAACCGGAGGAACTACCATCGTGGTGAGACACACAGAGACAGAGACACACAGAGACAAATACACAGAGACATGGAGACAGAGAAACGCACAGAGACAGAAACAGGGAGACACACAAAGACATAGACACAGAGAGACACACAGAGAAATAGACAGAGAACATGGTCCCCACAGGCTTCTCAAAGGCTCCTCACAGGCTCCCCACATGGTCTCGACAGGCTCCTCACATGGTTCTCACAGGCTCCTCACATGGTCCTCACAGACGCCCCACAGGCTCCTCACAGGCTCCCCACATGGTCCCCACAGGCTCACCACATGGTCCCCACATTGTCCTCACAGGCTCCCCACATTGTCCTCACAGGCTCACCACATGATCTCTCACATGGTCCTCACAGGCTCCACACATGATCCCTCACATGGTCCTCACATGGTCCCCACATGGTGTGTTTCAGGAGCAGGTCTCTGAGAGCACCACCTCCACAGTCCTGGAGAAGCTTCTCCCTGACACTCAGTACAGAGTCACTGTGATCCCAGTGTACGCAGAGGGAGATGGACCCCATCTGAGCGAGACCGGCAAGACCCGTAAGTCTGAGACTGGCAAGATCCATAAGTTTGAGGCTGGAAAGACCCATAAGTCTGAGACCGGCAAAACCCAAAAATCTGAGCGAGGCCGGTAAAGTCTGAGGAAACTAGGAAGAGAGAGAGAGCAGGGAGACCAGAGACAAGAGACCAGAAAGAGAGACCTGTCCTGAACCAGATTCAAACCTGGTTCAGACCTGATTCTGGTCTCTTCTCAGGACCTCTGGGATTTGCCCGTAACCTGCAGGTGACTGATCCCACCACCAGCTCGCTGAACGTTCGATGGGACGCGGCCGAAGGAAATGTCCGCGAATACATCATCACCTGGATCCCCACGAAGGGAGGGGACCAGGAAGTGGTGAGTCATAAAACCTGGTCTAACCCTAACCCAAGTCTCATGACATCAAGTGGTCCTGTACTAACCCGGATGCCCTGGTCCTGTTCTAACCCTGATGCCCTGGTCCTGTTCTAACCCTGATGCCCTGGTCCTGTTCTAACCCTGATGCCCTTGTCCTGTTCTAACCCGGAGGCCCTGGTCCTGTTCTAACACGGATGCCCTGGTCCTGTTCTAACCCGGATGCCCTGGTCCTGTACTAACCCGGATGCCCTGGTCCTGTACTAACCCGGATGCCCTGGTCCTGTACTAACCCGGATGCCCTGGTCCTGTACTAACCCGGATGCCCTGGTCCTGTTCTAACACGGATGCCCTGGTCCTGTTCTAACACGGATGCCCTGGTCCTGTTCTAACCCGGATGCCCTGGTCCTGTACTAACCCGGATGCCCTGGTCCTGTACTAACCCGGATGCCCTGGTCCTGTACTAACCCGGATGCCCTGGTCCTGTACTAACCCGGATGCCCTGGTCCTGTACTAACCCGGATGCCCTGGTCCTGTACTAACCCGGATGCCCTGGTCCTGTACTAACCCGGATGCCCTGCCTCAGGACCAGGTCTCCGGTTCCACCACAACCACAGTTCTCCAGAACCTTCAGCCGGACTCAGAGTACAGTGTGACAGTGGTCCCAGTGTACGAGGAGATGGAGGGGAGGAGCCAGACCAGCAAGGGCAAAACCAGTGAGTACTGCTGCTACGACTGCTACTGCTGCTGCTGCTACTGGTGTTGCTACTGCTACTGCTGCTGCTGCTGCTACTGGTGTTGCTACTGCTACTGCTGCTGCTGCTGCTACTGGTGTTGCTACTGCTACTGCTGCTGCTGCTGCTACTGGTGCTACTAATGCTACTGCTGCTGCTGCTGCTACTGGTGTTGCTACTGCTACTGCTGCTGCTGCTGCTACTGGTGTTGCTACTGCTACTGCTACTGCTACTGCTATTGCTACTGCTACAGGTGCTGCTTCTGCGGCTGCTGCTATAGCTGCTGCTATTGGTACTGCTATTGCCACTGCTACAGCTACTGCTACCGGTACTGCTGCTGCTACTGCTGTTTCTTAGATGTCTGTGTTTATGTATTTTCCTCTATACACACCATCTGTGTGTGTCTGTTTGTGTGTCTCTGTGGGTGTGTGCAGACCCAATGGGAGGAGTAAAGAACCTCCGTGTTTCCGACCCTACGCCCTCGTCGCTGACGGTTCGTTGGGACGCGGCTCCTGGAGACGTGCGCAGCTACAAAGTGTTCTACACCTCACAGCCGGGAGGAACCACCAAGATGGTGCTTATCCACTCATAGAAGCAGGGTCATCACAACCACAGGGTCCTCACAGCAGCAGGGTCCCTCACCATAGAACCGCTTGCACAACATAACAGTTACCTTTATTTAAAGACACAAGAAAACTATTGAGGCTTGTGTGCACCACTGTGATTGCTTCAGGGGACCCTTTCTCTCTTTGGTCTCTCTCTGATCTCTGGTTTTTGGTCTCTTGTTTCTGGTCTCTTGTCTCTCTCTCTGGTCTCTGGTTTTGTGTCTCTCATGTCTCTCTCTCTGGTCTCTGCTGTCTCATGTCTCTGGTCTCTGTTTTTTGGTCTCTCTGGTTTCTGGTCTATGATGTATTTTTCTCTGGTCTTTGGTTTCTGGTCTCTGGTTTCTGATCTCTGGTTTCTGGTCTCTCTGGTTTCTGGACTGGTCTGTCTGATTTCTAGTCTATCATGTGTTTCTCTACGGTCTCTCTGGTCTCAGGTCTCTCTGGTCTCTCATCTGGGGTCTCTGGTCTCTCTGGTCTCTGGTGTCTCATGTCTCTGTGTTGTGTTTTCAGGAGGAGGTCTCTGGACGCAGTACCTCCTCTGTCCTGCGGGGGCTGGACTCGGACACAGTTTATAAAGTGGCAGTGGTTCCAGTTTATCCGGACGTGGAGGGCGTCAGACAAGAGGAGCTTGGCAAGACCAGTGAGTGGGCTTTAGAGCTGATGAGCTGACCCAGTACCAGTGAGTGGGCCTTAGAGCTGACCCAGTACCAGTGAATGGGGCCTTAGAGCTGACCCAGTACCAGTGAGTGGGCCTTAGAGCTGACCCAGTACCAGTGAGTGGGCCTTAGAGCTGACCCAGTACCAGTGAGTGGGCCTCTGAGCTGACCCAGTACCAGTGAGTGGGCCTTAGAGCTGACCCAGCACCATCTTTTCAGTGTGTTCATTTGCACTTTTCCTCAGAGCCACTGGGGGCAGTGTTGAACTTGCGAGTGACTGATGCAACCTACAGTTCTCTGAGAGCGACGTGGGACAGAGCAGAAGGAGACGTTCAACAGCACAAGCTGCAGTACCAGAAGACAGCAGGGGGCGCTGTCACCACGGTAACTACTGTTTATAAACAGTAGTTTAGTTCAAATACCGATGCTGTTCTTGCAGACAGCAGAGGGCACTGTCACCACGGTGACTACTGTTTATACTGATCCTATTTGTCTCTGTCTCTCTCGTTGTCCGTGTGTGTCCGTGTGTGTGTGTCTCTCTCTCTCTCTGTTCAGATCAGTGTCCCTGGTCTCAGCACCTCCTCTCTCCTCCTGGAGCTGACTCCTGACACCTCTTACACCGTCACAGTGATCCCAGTGTACACAGAGCAGGAGGGGAGCGCAGCCACCGCCGCCGGGAAGACCAGTGAGCACCTCCTCCTCTGAAACTTCTCTTCTGTACCTCCTCCTCCAAATCTCCCCTTCTGCACCTCCTCTTCTGTACTTCTTCCTCCGAACCGCATCTTCTATACCTCCTCCTCCGAACCTCCTCTTCTGTACCTCCTCCTCTGAATCCTCTTCTGCACCTGCTCGTCTGCACCACCTCTTCTGTTCTATTTATGAAACTAAAGTTACAGACTCCAGCTTTTTAATTCAATTCAATTAAATGTTTTCTTGTATTTCTCTAATTCACAACAGTAGTTATCTAAGAGGAGTTAACAAAACCGTTGAAATTGCCAACACAGATCAGAGAATCAAACCGTTTCAAACACACAAAATATAGAAAACATGGTATTGGTCCGTAGGGATACACCAATGTCCATGAATGTTGATAAATGTCCATAGAATGTTAGAGCGTCCTGGATCAACACCACAGTCCTTTTGTTAGACCCTACAAGCCCTCCTGCATCGGCAAGGAAAAACTCTAAAACTCAGTGGGAGAAAAAGAGAGGGATCCACTCCACACGGACGGACGGGCAGTAGATCCAGGACCTAAGTTACAGAACGAGGACAGGTGCAGTGCAGGACTGAAGCAGCTCCAGGCGGGTCGGGCAGGGCAGTCCACAGGTGCAGATGAAGGGGGCCGGGTTCAGAGGGCCCGTTATAAGATTTAGGCAGAATATTCCTAATTTTAGCAATGTCGCATAAGTGGAAGTTTGTTGTTTTAGTTTCTTGGTTTATATATGCCTTGAAGGAGAGTTTTTTGTCGATTATGGCTCCAAGATTCCTCACGGTGTTGCTAGGTGATACGCTAACATTATCAAGTGAGATAACATGTGTTGTTGCCGCACTTCCTCGCAGAGCCACTGGGGGCAGTGCGGAGCCTGTCGGTCTCTGATCCCAGCACCAGTTCTCTGAATGTTCGCTGGGACGCAGCTGAGGGCAACGTCAGACACTACAGGATCTACTATGTCCCTGAGACTGGAGGAGCAGAGGACATGGTGAGATCAGGACCAGGACCAGACCAGGACCAGACCAGACCAGGACCAGGACTGAGACCAATTCAATTCAATTCAGTTTATTTGTGTATCACCCCAAATCATAACAGTAGTAATCTTGGAGGACTTTACAAAATGGTCGATTCGCCAACACAGATCAGAGAATCAAATAGTTCAAACACAGAAAATTCAAGGCTGTAGATCCAGGACTGAGGCTGTAGATCCAGGACTGAGGCTGTAGACCCAGGACTGAGGCTGTAGACCCAGGACTGAGGCTGTAGACCCAGAACTGAGGCTGTAGATCCAGGACTGAGGCTGTAGATCCAGGACTGAGGCTGTAGATCCAGGACTGAGGCTGTAGATCCAAAACTGAGACTGTAGATCCAGGACTGAGGCTGTAGACCCAGGACTGAGGCTGTAGACCCAGAACTGAGGCTGTAGATCCAGGACTGAGGCTGTAGATCCAGGACTGAGGCTGTAGATCCAGGACTGAGGCTGTAGATCCAGGACTGAGGCTGTAGATCCAGGACTGAGGCTGTAGATCCAGGACTGAGGCTGTAGATCCAGGACTGAGGCTGTAGATCCAGGACTGAGGCTGTAGATCCAGAACTGAGGCTGTAGATCCAGGACTGAGGCTGTAGATCCAGCACTGAGGCTGTAGACCCAGGACTGAGGCTGTAGAACAAGGGGAGGGGGTGCAGCCCACGGGTCGGGCAGGGTATATGGAGGGGGCCGGGTTCAGGGGTCCCATTGTCACGCCATGAAACAGACAATGGGAAAACAGGTGAATAGCAATGAACAGACTACAGTCAAAATCCTAATAATACAGACAGATAAAGTAGAAAGCAGGAGGGAATAGTGCTTAAGTGACCAAACTTCTCCCACTAAACTGACTCCCTACGCAGTTTGACTGACAGTCTAAGAATTTTTAGTCTTTCCTGAGTCATACCTACCTAACCATCTGCTACATTAAAGAGGACTGTTTTAAGCTTGGCCTTTCATGTGGAGACCAGGACTGGGACCAGGATTGAGACCAGGACCAGGTTTGAGACCAGTGCTGACACCAGGATTGAGACCAGGACCAGAACTGAGACCTGGACTGAGACCAGGATTGAGACCAGGATTGAGACCACAACTGAGACCAGGACTGAGACCAGGACTGAGACCAAAAGCTGAACTCATAGTGAATAAAGCGATTATTTGGTCAAAATTCTACTTTATAAAGAGATGTAACGTGGCAAGTTTATTTGTATAGCACAATTCATACACAAGGCAACTCAAAGTGCTGAACAAAACAAGAAAGCATTAAAATCATAAATAATCACAGTACATTAAAACATTTTTTAAAAAAGATAAAAATATAAAATCCCCCAGTTGTATGCACAGCTAAACAGAACTGTCTTTAACCTGGTTTTAAACATTGTCAGAGAGGAGGCCTGTCTCACATCTTCAGGAAGACTGTTCCAGATTTTAGCAGCATGAATCTGAAAAGCAGCCTCCCCATGTTTAGTTCTGACTCTGGGCACTAACAGGAGTCCAGTCCCTGTGCTCCTCAGAGTCCGGGCTGGTTCATATGGTACTAACATGTCACTAATATATTTTGGTGCGAGGCCATGGAGAGACTTGTACACAAGCAGAGCTGTTTTAAAGTCTATTCTCTGAGCCACAGGAAGCCAGTGCAGAGACCTGAGAACTGGTCTAATGTGGTCGTACTTCCTGGTTCTAGTCAGGACTCGAGCTGCTGCATGTTGAATGTACTGCAGCTGTTTTACAGCCTGTTTGGACAGACCTGTGAGCAGGCCATTGCAGTAGTCTAACCTACTGGAGACAAATGCATGGATAAGAATCTCGAAAGTGCTGTGTACTGTGTTGATAGTGTTGAAGGTAAAGGTTAGGGTTAACCTTAAGTGTGTTGCTGGTACCAGGAGCAGGTCTCTGGGGGCTCCACCAGCACCGTCCTCAGGAACCTGCTGTCAGACACCAGTTACACTGTGACTGTGGCCCCTGTGTTTCTCGAGGGAGAGGGGCCCAAACAGAGCGCCACGGGCAAGACATGTGAGTGTTCCTGCTAAAAACACACTAATAAAACACTAAATCTACCATAAATACACTAATACTGTACAACACTAAATGTACCATAAATACACTAATACATACAAACAACACCCTAAAACACTTTAAACATACTTAAAACATTCTAAACACACTAAACATACTTAAAACACACTAAACATACTTAAAACACACTAAACATACTAAATACACACTAAACATACTAAATACACACTAAACATAATAAAAACACACTAAACATACTTAATTACAAATTAAAACATACTAAAAACACATTAAACACACTAAAACATTCTAAAAACACACAAAAAAAAAGACTAAATGTGTTGCTCAACGGCTCTCAGTGCCCAGGACGCCCCCTGGTGGCCTGCAGGTGTATAACCCCTCCCCGTCCTCCCTCAACGTGCGCTGGGAACCTGCCTCAGGACGAGTGCAGCAGTACAGGGTCAAGTACACATCAGCAGGGGGCAGCACTGGGACTGTGAGTACTGCTGATGCTACTATTACTGCTGCTGCTGCTGCTGCAACTGCTGCTACTACTACTGCTACTGCTGATTCTGCTGCTGCTGCTACTGCTACTGCTACTACTGCTGCAGCTACTGCTACTGCTGATTCTGCTGCTGCTGCTACTGCTACTACTGCTGCAGCTACTGCTACTGCTGATTCTGCTGCTGCAGCTACTGCTACTGCTGATTCTGCTGCTGCTGCTACTGCTACTACTGCTGCAGCTACTGCTACTGCTGATTCTGCTGCTGCTGCTGCTGCTGCTGCTACTGCTACTACTGCTGCTACTACTACTATTACTACTGCTGCTACTACTGCTGCTACTACTGCTACTACTACTGCTACTACTGCTACTGCTGCTACTGCTGCTACTGCTGCCACTAATGCTGCTACTACTGCTGCTAATATTTCTACTGCTGCTGCTACTGCTGCTACTACTAATGATACTACTACTACTACTACTGCTACTGCTGCTACTATTACTGCTACTATAACTGCTACTACAATTACTGCTGCTACTACTACTACTACTTCTTCTCCTGCTTGCCCTGCAGACCCCTGACTCTGTGTCCTTAGGTCCTGGTTGGAGGAAACGTCCACAATGCGTTTTTAGACGCTCTGATCCCTGACACGCCGTACACTGTGACCGTGACCGCCATCTATGGCGACGGAGACGGAGGAGACGCCACGGGCAACGGGAAGACTCGTGAGTCCTGCTTTAGACCTGCTTTAGACCTGCTTTAGACCTGCTTTGGACCTGCTTTAGACCTGCTTTAGTCCTGCTTTAGACTCGTGTTATTATGAGAATATAATAATATAACCATGTAAAAAGTTGTTGCTTAGATAGATCTTAGATATTCGGTTCAAAACCAGTTGTATGTAAAAGAGAACATTTAATTACACTAAAACATAGTTACAAAGTACATAAACAAAGGATTATCATACCACAAGGAGAGAGAGAGGCTGGATTAGATTGAGGGAGAGAGGGTTCAAGGAAGGCTCTGGAGGCCTTCCTCCTCGTAGACCTCACTACATGATGCTAGTTTGATGCCGGGACAGAGACCAAGAGACCCCAAGAAGGAAATTCTACTTCATTAATACCTAAGATGACATCACATCTAAAGTCAGCCGCGATTGGTCAAGGGGTCAGCGGGACACAGAGGTGTCCTACATGGAGGGGGGCCTTAAGACAATGGTGCCCCCTCAAGGAAGGAGAAGAAATTCCACCCAATTCACCCCCACACCTGCCCTGCTTTAGTCCTTCCCTAGATCTGTTTTAGACCTGGTCTTTTGTAGTTCCCAGAACGGGACCCAGGAACCTCCGGGTGCTTGAAGCCACCACCAGTTCCCTCACAGTTGGCTGGGACCACGCTGAGGGTCCTGTGAGGCAGTACAAGATAACCTACTCACCGCTGACCGGGGACCCCATTACAGAGCACGTGAGTCTGGGACCCTCTGTCTGTGAGGACCCTGTGATTTTGAGGTGGGTGCTCTCACTCACAGCTGCTGTGGTTCCAGGTCTCAGTCTCTGGAAACAGGAACAACGCTCGTCTGCTGAACCTGCTGCCAGAGACGCTCTACAACATCAGTGTGGAGGCGCAGTACTCAGAGGGACCAGGGGGGGCGCTGTCCGGGACCGGCACCACACGTAAGTATCACAGCGACCAATACTGACAGAAACCAGAGGAAGCGCTGTTCGGGACCGGCACCCCCCTTATTTATCACAGGGACCGGTACGCAGAGGGACTGTAATTACATAACTCACAGGGACCAGAAAGGGCGCCACACGTGAGCTTAGCATTTTTTTCTGTTTCACAGATGTTTTTGTGTCAATTGTGCTTTTTTACAGCTTCTCATCCACTGCATGTATAACATTACAATTACCTTTATATTTTCTCTGGTCTCTCTCTGGTTCCCTCTCTGGTAGTAGTAAGTAATCTTTATTTATATACCGCCTTTTCACTGCAGATCTGAGTCTCAAAGCGGTTTACAATTGTTAATTTTTTTGGGCATTTGTCTCTCACTCCACACAGAGATGGGAGCGGGGTCGCCAGTACAGGAGGCGCATGCTAGAACTATTGGACATGTTTTTAGTGGTAGGGGAAACCGGAGTACCCGGAGGAAACCTACGCAGACACGGGGAGAACATGCAAACTCCACTCAGAAAGGCCCTGGTCCGACCGGGATTCGAACCCAGGACCTTCTTGCTGAGAGGCGAGAGTGCTATCCACTCAGCCACCGTGCCGCCGGTCTCTCTGGTCTCTCTGGTCTCCCTCTTCTCTCTCCTGGTCTCTCTGGTCTCTCTAGTCTAGTCCTTTTCTGGTCTCTCCTGGTGTCTCTGGTCTCTCTCTGATCTCTCCTGGTCTCTCCACAGTGGGCCTGGTGTCTCCTCAGAGTCTGCGTGTGTCTGATGAATGGTACACTCGGTTCAGAGTTTCCTGGGACCCGGTACAGGCTCCAGTGCAGGGCTACAGGCTCAGCTACGCCCCCACAGGTGAGAGGTGGTACTGCACCTATGTCTGAGAGCTTCTGTGACCTCTGTCCTCAGGGTCCTCTGACCTCAGGGTCCTCTAACCTCAGGGTCATCTGACCTTTGACCTCAAAGTCCTCTGTCCTCTGACTTCTATCCTCAGGGTCCCTGTCCCCCAGGATGGACATGTTTGTTGGGGACGTGTCGTCCTTCACCCTCCACAACCTGCTCACAGGGACGACCTACGACCTCAGCCTGAGAGCTGTGTACCCAGGGGGAGTGAGCGCCCCTCTGGACGGGCAGGGAACTACACGTATGTGTGACCTCCACACCAGACATTAGAGTTGACATTAGATCTAATTAGAGAATTTTAGAGCTGACTCTTGTGTTGTATTCCTCAGTCTCCCTGAATGTGACAAGTATCGAGACCTATAACGTTGGTCATGACGCTTTCTGCATCAAATGGGCGCCACATCGAGCCGCAACGTCCTACAGGATCAGACTCGACCCAACGGACCGTAAGTCCTGCTTTAGACCTGCTTTAGTTCTGCTTTAGACCTACTTTAGACCTGCTTTAGACCTGCTTTAGTTCTGCTCTAGACCTGCTTTAGACCTGCTTTAGACCTACTTTAGTTCTGCTTTAGACCTGCTTTAGACCTGCTTTAGACCTACTTTAGACCTGCTTTAGACCTGCTTTAGACCTGCTTTAGACCTGCTTTAGTTCTGCTTTAGTTCTGCTTTAAACCTGCTTTAGATCCTAACCCCCCCCCCGTCCCCCTCATGGTTGGGTCTCTGGGGTCTCAGTATGCAGTGCTGTGATTGGCTGTGTGTCCTCTCCTTCAGCCAATAGCCTTGGGGAGCAGGAGGTGACCATCCCGGCAGGTCGGCCTCAGTTCTGCTTTGACGGTCTCTCCTCAGACGCTCAGTACCGAGCCACGGTCTACGTCCAGACCCCCAATCTCGAGGGTCCTGGGGTTGGGGCCCTGGAGCGCACACGTGAGTAAAGGTCCACCTTTTAGCTGGGGGTCCACTTTAAAGATGGTCTCAATCAAGAGGATGCGGACCTAGACTCTCTTTAACCTCTCTCTGACTCCTGACCACTCTCTGACTTCTGTGTGCAGTGGTGAAGCCCACTCCCGTGCCCACCTTGCCCCCCACCCCCCCGCCTCCCCCCACAATCCCCCCTGGCTGGGCCGTGTGCAAAGGGGCCCGTGCAGACCTGGTGTTTCTCATCGACGGCTCCTGGAGCATCGGCGAAGACAGCTTCACCAAAGTCAAGATCTTTGTCCAGTCCGTCATTGCCGCCTTCGACGTGGTGGGACCCTCCGGCATGCAGGTGAGACCCCCAGCTGAGGGAGGCCCACCCTGCGGGAGGCCGCAGTCTGGAAGAGGCCCAACCTGTGAGAGGCCCCAGTCTGAGGGAGGCCCAGCCCATCTCAGGCTCAGGTCTTTGGTCTCTGACCCGGGTCTTCGGTCTCAGACTCGGGTCTTGGGTCTCAGACTCGGGTCAGCTGTCTCAGACTCGGGTCTTGGGTCGCAGACTCGGGTCAGCTGTCTCAGACTCTGGTCTTGGGTTGCAGACTCTGGTCATTGGTCTTAGGTCTTCGGTCTCAGGCTCTCTTCTGTTGCAGGTCTCCTTTGTTCAGTTCAGTGATGCTGCTGTTACTGAGTTCAAACTCAACGCGTACCAAAACAAAGGCGTCGCCATGGCAGCACTGCACCACATCCGCTACCGAGGCGGCAACACCAAGACAGGTATGAAAGCTAACCCAGGAGCTAACAAAGAGCTAACTCAGAGATAACCCAGGAGCTAACTTAGGAGCTAACGGAGAGTTGACCCAGAGCTAACTCAGCACTAACCCAGGAGCTAACATAGGAACTAATCCAGGAGCTAACAAAGAGCTAACTCGGAGATAACCCAGGAGCTAACTCAAAGCTAACCCAGGAGCTAACATAGGAACTAATCCAGGAGCTAACATAGAGCTAACTCGGAGATAACCCAGGAGCTAACTCAAGCTCCAGGAGCATTAGAACTAACAGTCTGATTGTCAAAGTAAACTGTCTAAGGATTGACCAGAGAGAGGAGAGGTCAGAGGTCAGACTGTTCACCCTGTCCCTGTGCTGTCCCAGGCGTGGCCCTCAGACACACCTATGAGAAGGCCTTCTCTGAGGCCAATGGGAGGAGGAGGAGCGTCCCCAAAGTGGTGGTGGCCATCACCGACGGACGCTCTCAAGACGACGTGAAGAGCAGCGCGGCCAAACTGCAGCACGCAGGTGAGGAACGGGCCAAAACTCCAGCACGGCCAAAGACTAGTTTCAAATATACAATTAAAACCAGAAGAAGCAGCAGCAGAAGCAGTAGTAGTAGTAGAGGCAGATGCCTCAGACCTCTTAAGCTAAGCAGGGCAGGGCCTGGTTAGTACTGTGATGGAAGATCTCTGGGAACACCAGGTATCACAGTGGGGCGTCTGCAGCTGTAAAGGTCCTTAGGCAACACACACATTAGAATGAGTCTGGTGTGTGTGTTACAGTAGTAGTTTAACACCGCTGTGTTTGGAGTGAATGAATAATGGTGTGAAGAGACCTTGAGTGTCCAGAAAAGCGCGGTATAAAACTTCCGCTTCATCCATTGCCGCGTCGTGGGGGCACCAGTCTAAGCAGAGATGCCCAGACTTCCCTCTCCAATGTCTGCAGTTGATCGATTCGATCAACAGCAGACACTGCTCCCTCTTCACCACAACGGTCCGATACAACGACGCATCACTGCTCATGCTGCACCAATCCCAGCATGTTAATCTCATGCTCATGAACAAGACCCCGAGATACTTGAACTCCTCCACTTGAGGAAGGACCTGGAGAAGACCAGGCACTTTTTCCGGTCGAGTTCCATGGCCTCAGATTTGTTGCTGATTCTCGTCCCAGCCGCTTTGCACTGGGCTGCAAACTGTCGACTGCATGTTGCATGTGCTGGTTTGTTGGAGCAAACAGGACAATATCATCAGCAAACAGCAGACCCTAACCGGACCCCCTCCGGCCCCTGGTTGCGCAGAGAAATTCTGTCCATAAATACAGTGAACAGAACCGGTGACAAACGGCAGCCTTGGCGGAGGTCAACATGCACCGGGAACCAGTCTGACTTACAGCTCTGGCTCCGGTCATACAGGGACCGGACGCCCCTCAACAGAGGACCCCGAACCCCCCAAAGGACACCAGGGGAACACCGTAATTGCGGCAAATTTCACGATAATTGGAACACACCCTCAGGTCCCAGCAGCTCTCCACCCAAACTGTACACGGTGTTGGCAAAGCACTGCGTCCCCTTCCTGAGGGGGAAGCAGTGCTATCGGTTGATTTTGAGTCATGCTCCATGGACTCTCCGAACTCCTCCCAGTCCCGGGTTCTTGTCTCTGCAACAGCCCAGTGGCGCGCTTGGCCTGCCAATACTGCCTCAGGAGTCCAACAAACCATCATGTCTCGATAGGACTCCTTCTTCAGGTTGACAGTATCACTTACAACCGGTGTGCAGTATCCCTTAATGACCGGGTTCTGCTGCCGCCGGGACCAGCATCACAGCGCCACCGCTTTACCCCTCTCCCAGTGTCACTGGGATTTCCCACATGGGTGTTGAAGTCCCCCAGAAGAATAACGGAATACACGGTGGGTGTACCATCCAGTACCCTCGCGCCATGCCAGGCGACGTTAGCAGGTTTCATTATTGTGCACTCAATGGTGGGGTTTGGAATGCGCTTCGTCAGACTCGTCACCCAAGACCTGTTTACCATAAGAGGCCCCACCAGGGGCATAAAGCCATGGGAGCCTGTGTACCATGGGAGGTCCTACCAGGGGCATAAAGACCTGTCCTGTGTACCATGGGAGGCCCTACCAGGGGCATAAAGCCCCAGACAACATAGCTCCCAGGATCATCCGAGTACTCAAACTCCCCCACCACGTTAAGGTGGCAGTCCAGGGGGGAGATTATTATTATCATTATTATTATTACTAATAATAATAATAATAATGCATCGGTTTTATATAGCGCTTTTCTGGACACTCAAAGACGCTTCACATGTGTCATTATTCATTCACTCCAAACACGGTGGTGATAAACTACTACTGTAGCCACAGCTGCCCTGGGGCACACTGACAGAAGCGAGGCAACCAGTATGCGCCATCGGCCCCTCCGACCACCACCAACCATTCATACACACACCAGACTCATTCTAGGCAATGGGGGTGAAGTGTCTTGCCTAAGGACACAACGGCAGTTTGGCACTTTACAGCCGCAGCCGCCCCACTGTGGCTGATGTTCCCAGAGGTTAAGTGTCTTGCCAAGGACACAACGACAGCAGACAGTGGGAGTCGATGGTGAAAGTCTTGAGCGGGGCTTGAACCCACGACCTTCTGGCTCAAAGGCCAAAGCTCTACCAACTGAGCTACTGTCGCCACTAGCACCAGTCTCCGCTTCCTCAGTGTACAGTGTGTGTCTCTCTCTCAGATGTGTGTGTGTGTGTGTTTCTCAGGGTACAGTGTGTTTGCGATCGGAGTGTCAGACGTGGATTTCTCTGAGCTGCAGCTGATTGGATCCAAACCCAGCGATCGTCATGTTTTTGTTGTGGACGACTTTGACGCCTTCGACACCATCAAAGAAAACCTGATCACCTTCATCTGTGAGACCGCCACTTCCTGTGAGTACAGAGATTCAGGAAGTAAACAAGAAGTACAGCACAAGAAACCCAGAAATAAACTTGAAGTGACCCGGAAGTAAACAAGAATATATTCTAACCTTGTGTTTGCTCCGCAGCCTGTCCGCTCATCTTCCTGAATGGTTTCACGTCTCCTGGTGAGTGTGTGTGTGTCTGTGTCAGTGTGTCTGTGTGTGCGTGTGTGTCTGTATGGTTCCAGATGCTGGAGCGCTTTAATCCAGTACAGTTGAACAATTGTGTCTCAGTTGTAGTACTCAGGTGTGTGTGTGTGTGTGTGCAGGGTTCCGGATGCTAGAGACCTTTAACCTGACAGAAAAAGGGTACAGTTCTCTGAGGGGGGTCTCTCTGGAGCCAGGGTCCTTCAACAGCTACCCGTCCTACAGGCTCCACAAGGACGCATTCATCTCCCAGCCCTCCAGGTGACCTCTGACCCCTGACCTTTGACCCTGACATCAAACCCCTGACCCCCTGCTCTGACCCTGACTCCGACCCCTGGCCTCTGACTCTGACCTTTGTCCTCTGCAGAGACATTCACCCTGATGGCCTGCCTCACACATACACCCTGATCCTGCTGCTGCGGCTGCTGCCTGAGTCTCCGACCGAGGCCTTCGACGTGTGGCAGGTCTCCAGCCAAGACCACAAACCAGAAACCGGACTCACCCTGGACCGTAAGACCTGGTCTAGTCCTGCTTTGGATCTGCCTTAGACCTGCCTTAGACCTGCCTTCGATTCTAACATTCTCTGTCTCCTTCAGCCTCCTCTCAGACCATTTCCTTCTATAACAAAGATCAGAGTGGAGAAATTCAGAAAGCAACGTTTGACGACGAAGCAGTGAAGCCAATCTTCCACGGCAGCTTCCACAAGGTGCACACCCACTGAGGCTGTAGACCCAGGACTGAGGCTGTGGGCCAGGCCTGAGGCTGTAGACCCAGGACTGAGGCTGTGGGCCAGGACTGAGGCTGTAGACCCAGGACTGAGGCTGTAGACCCAGGACTGAGGCTGTGGGCCAGGACTGAGGGCGGCACGGTGGCTGAGTGGATAGCACTCTCGCCTCTCAGCAAGAAGGTCCTGGGTTCGAATCCCGGCCGGACCAGGGCCTTTCTGAGTGGAGTTTGCATGTTCTCCCCGTGTCAGCGTAGGTTTCCTCCGGGTACTCCGGTTTCCCCTACCACTAAAAACATGCACAATAAGTCTGGCATGCGCCTCCTGTACTGGCGACCCCGCTCCCATCTCTGTGTGGAGTGAGAGGACCAATGCCCAAAAATAATAAGAATTGTAAACCGCTTTGTGACTCTGGTCTGTGAAAGGCGGTATATAAATAAAGATTACTTACTTACTTACTTACTGTAGACCCAAGACTGAGGCTGTAGATCCAAGACTGAGGCTGTAGATCCAGGACTGAGGCTGTAGATCCAGGACTGAGGCTGTAGATCCAGGACTGAGACTGGGCTGTGGTGCGCAGTTGTTTCCGATTGAGACATTGTGTGTCTCCCTCTCTGTCTTTATAGCTGCACCTCCTGGTCTCCTCCTCCTCTGTCTCCTTGAGGGTGGACTGTGAAGAGGTGCAGCAGAAGGAGCTGAAGGAGGCGGGGAACACCTCCTCAGACGGATACCAGGTCCTGGGGAAGACTGTCCAGAGCACAGGGTCCAGGGGCCACAGCGCCACCGTGAGTCACACCCCAGTACTGCACACAGACACAGACACACATAAACATAGTAAACCACCAAAGCAGCGCCATGTCTGAGCACTATGCTGCGTATTGCTGTTAAATTAGGCGACTATTCAAAACAGGGCTCAGGAATTACTTTTCACATTTAAGATTGAACATTATTATTGCTTGTAATTTGTGAATAGACTGTATTTATGTCACCTGTAAAATTAGACATAGAACATTCATAGATGAACATGTAGACATCTATAGACTATAGAATAGCAAACAAGTTAACTCACAATTTTAGCAGCTTTGGTTTATAATTCATTATTCATTATATGTCTGTGGAGACACAGACACACAGAGAGTCTCAGAGAGACACACAGCGCCGCCTTGAGTTATACCCCAGTACTGCTCCCAGACACAGAGACACACACTAGCTCAGGTGCTTGCTCCTGACTAGCTCCTGCAACTAGCTCCTGATGACACTAGCTCCTAATAACACTATCTCCTGATGACACTAGCTCCTAATAACACTATCTCCTGATGACACTAGCTCCTGATGACACTAGCTCCTGCAACTAGCTCCTGATGACACTAGCTCCTAATAACACTATCTCCTGATGACACTAGCTCCTGATGACACTTGCTCCTGATGACACTAGCTCCTGATGACACAATCTCCTAATGGCACTAGCTCCTGATGACACTAGCTCCTGATGACACTAGCTCCTGATGACACTTGCTCCTGATGACACTAGCTCCTGATGACACTAGCTCCTGATGACACTTGCTCCTGATGACACTAGCTCCTAATGACACTATCTCCTGATGACACAATCTCCTAATGGCACTAGCTCCTGATGACACTAGCTCCTGATGACACTAGCTCCTGATGACACTAGCTCCTGATGACACTAGCTCCTAATGACACTAGCTCCTGATGACACTTGCTCCTGATGACACTATCTCCTGATGACACTAGCTCCTAATAACACTATCTCCTGATGACACTAGCTCCTAATAACACTATCTCCTGATGACACTAGCTCCTGATGACACTTGCTCCTGATGACACTAGCTCCTGATGACAATAGCTCCTGATGACACAATCTCCTAATGGCACTAGCTCCTGATGACACTAGCTCCTGATGACACTAGCTCCTGATGACACTAGCTCCTGATGACACTTGCTCCTGATGACACTAGCTCCTGACGCTAGCTCCGAATGACACTAGCTCCTGACGCTAGCTCCGAATGACACTAGCTCCTGATGCTAGTTCCTAATGACACTAGCTCCTGATGCTAGTTCCTAATGACACTAGCTCCTGATGCTAGCTCCTGATGACACTAGCTACTAATGCTAGCTCCTGATAACACTAGCTCTCGATGCTAGCTCCTGATGACAAATCTATCTCTCTGTGTTTCAGTTCCAATTGCAGATGTTCGACATTGTCTGTAGTTTGGCCTGGAACAGCAGAGACCGCTGCTGCGACCTGCCCTCCAAAGTGAGTGTGTGTAAGTGTGTGTATGTGTGTGTGTGTGTGTGTGTGTGTGTAGTAAGAACATGTGTGTGTCACAGAGAGATGAGCTGAAGTGTCCTCCTCTTCCAAACTCCTGCACCTGTACGTCCCAGTCCAGTGGTCAGCCGGGTCCCCAGGGGCCAATGGTAAGACACACACACACACACTATACAAACATACAAACACACACACATAGAAACACGCACATTTACAAATACACACATACAACTACGCACACATACCAACACACACAGAGAGACATTACAGATTTTATTTGATTCAGTGCACCGCAGCCCTGGCATTTCCCTGTGAGTCTTGTTCTTCTCATGTTCAGGGCGCTCCTGGAAGCAAAGGACCTCGAGGAGAGAAGGGAGAGACGGGTCCAGCAGTGAGTGTGACATCATCTGACCCAGGGTCAGGCGTCATGGTTCACAATAGTCACTGATCAGCAGGAGTGTCTGACCTCTGTGACCTCTGACCTCTGTGATCTCTGACTTCTGTGACCTCTGTGATCCCTGAGACCTTTGACCTCTATGATCTCTGACCTCTGTGATCTCTGTCCTCTGTGACCTCTGTCCTCTGTAATCTCTGACCTCTGTGATCTCTAACCTCTATGACCTCTGTGACCTCTGTCCTCTGTAATCTCTGACCTCTTTGACCTCTGTGATCTCTGTCTTCTGTAATGTCTGACCTCTGTGATCTCTGACCTCTTTGACCTCTGTAATCTCTGACCTCTGTGCTCTCTGACCTCTGTCCTCTGTAATCTCTGACCTCTGTGATCTCTGACCTCTGTGATCTCTGACTTATGTGATCTCTGACCTCTGTAATCCCTGACCTCTGTAATATCTGACCTCTGTAATCTCTGACCTCTGTGATCTCTGACCTCTGTGACCTCTGACTTATGTGATCTCTGACCTCTGTGACCTCTGATCTCTGTAATCTCTGACCTCTGTGACCTCTGACCTCTGACCTCTGTGATCTCTGACCTCTGTAATCTCTGACCTCTGTGACCTCTTTGACCTCTGTGATCTCTGATCTCTGTGACCTCTGTGCTCAGGGCCCCATCGGACCTCGAGGAGATAGCGGGCCCCCAGGACCCATGGGCCTCCCGGGGCCTCAGGGGCAGAGCGGACTGTCCATGCCAGGAGAGATGGTCAGAGTATAAATATGACGTATATATGTTATATTTATGTGCTATATATTTGTTACATATATATTATATGTGTTATACAGTATATGTTATATATGACACTTCCGGCGCCAGCTTCAGCTGTGCAGCTGGTGTAACCCGGTCACGTCTGGTGTAACCCGGTCACGTGACTGAACGAATCTGCACCCAGGACTTGGAGCTGACGGAGGCCCAGATATTTGCCGCAGGAGCTCTCGTACACCATTTCCATCCCTCCTGACCACCAGAGGGCACTGCATAGCACTGAATATTCCCTTTGTGCATGCACAGTTTGAGTAGTAATACCAAATGAGTCACACTTGTGACCCCCTGGATGACGCCCTGAAGGGGCGGGGCGATATGTCTGAAAACTATATCACAATATAAGTGATTCATATCGGTCGATATTGATAATTTTTTAAAACTAAATAAATACATTTGTCGTGTCTGCGAACACGTTAGCAGCACTTGTTTACAGTCACGGGGGACTGAGAACTCGGGCCGGAGGCATATGTTCACAAGCACAGTGTCCCCCATTGTCAGTTCTGGTTTAGCTTCTGTCTTGGCTGTTTTTGAGTGTCTTGTGTCCCCGAGACCACTTTGCAGCTCTCTGAGAACCGCACATGCTTTCAGAGGAAAGAATTCATCTCTTGCTTTTGCCGCATGCATCAAGTCGCCGATCTACAGATTCATGGACGCTATTGGTCCGGTTGTTTATATGTATATCATCAGGAAAAAAGAACACAAAAAACTCGAGAAATACCAAGGTCTCAGAGAGGAGCTGGAGAGGGCCTGGAAGGTAAAGGTGGCAGTAGTGCCCATGGTGATGGTGCACTCGGGGCAGTGACCCCGAAGCTAGAAGTGGTTACAGTGGATCCCTGGAACAACCTCGGACATCTCGGTCCAGAATTGTGCAGTGCTAGGAACAGCAAAGATACTGTGCAGAACCCTCAAGCTCCCAGGCCTATATGTGTGTGTGTGTGTGTGACATCTCATGTAGATTACAGATTATAATCTGAATTTTCTTTGTCTCAGGGACGACCTGGACCTAAAGGAGACTCTGGAGACTCAGGCTTACCTGGACAGAAGGTACACAGACACACACTTACACACACACACACACACAGACACACACACCTGTTACAGCATCAGTGTGTTGTGTTTCAGGGGTCTCCAGGAGCAGTTGGCCCCTCGGGCCCCACAGGACCAGCTGGAGTCAGGGTGAGTACTACACTCATATGTGAGACCTTACTCTCACTCTAACTCTACTGAACTCACACTAATGTGTGTGCTGCCCCCTACAGGGCCCCCAGGGGAAGGAGGGCCCCACAGGACCCAGAGGAGCTCCAGGATCTATGGTGAGTGCACCACACACACATAATAAAAACATATAAACACAAAGACACACATACACGTATATATACCTACACACACACATAACCTCTCTGCAACCTCTCTCTGTCACACACACACACATACAAACATATCGAGGGCTTGGAACCAGAGGGGCATAAATGGCATTTTGGGTGAATTTATCAAATCATGGTGGAAAATAAGTTTTTGGTCAATACCAAAAGTTAATCTCAATACTTTGTTGTATACCCTTTGCTGGAAATGATAGAGCTCAAATGTTTTTTGTAGGTCTTCACAAGGTATTTTGGCACATTCCTCAATGCAGATCTCCTCTAGAGCTGTGATGTTTTGGAGCTGTCGCTGAGCAACACACACTTTCAACTCCCTCCACAGATTTTCAATGGGGTTGAGATCTAGAGACTGGCTAGGCCACTCCAGGACCTTGAAATGCTTCTTATGAAGCCACTCCTTCGTTGCCGTGTGTTTGGTATCATTGTCGTGCTGAAAGACCCAGCCACGTCTCATCTTCAATGCCATTGCTGATGGATGGAGGTTTTTGTTCAAAATCTCACAATACATGGCCCCATTCATTCTTTCCTTTACATGGATCAGTCGTCCTGGTCCCTTTGCAGAAAAACAGCCCAAAGCATGATGTTTCCACCCCCATGCTTCACAGTAGGTATGGTGTTCTTTGGATGCAACTCAGCATTCTTTCTCCTCCAAACACGACGAGTTGAGTTTTTACCAAAAAAATTATATTTTGGTTTCATCTGATCTAATGAAATTCTCTCAATCCTCTTCTGGATCATCCAAATGTTCTCTAGAAAACTTCAGACGGGCCTGGACATGCACTGGCAGGATTTGAGTCTCTGTCGGCGTAGTGTGTTACTGATGTTAACCTTTGTTACTTTGGTCACAAGGTCCCCCGTGTGGTTCTGGGATTTATCCTGACCGTTCTTGACCGTTTTGACCCTACGGGATCCCCAGAAACCCAAATTAACGAAGATTATCAGTGGTCTTGTATGTCTTACATTTTCTTATTAATTGCTCCCACAGTTGATCTATTCACACTTACCTATTGCAGATTCAGTCTTCCCAGCTTGGTGCAGGTCTACAGTTTTGCATATAGTGTCTTTTGACAGCTCTTTGGTCTTGGCCATAGTGGAGTTTGGAGTGTGACTGTTTGGACAGGTGTCTTTCACACTGATGATGAGTTCAAACAGGTGCCATCAGGTAACAAGTGGAGGACAGAGGAACCTCTTAGAGAAGGAGGTGCAGGTCTGTGAGAGACACAAATCTTGCTTGTTTGTAGTAACCAAATACTTATTTTCCACCACAATTTGCAAATAATTTTTTTTATTAGATAGATAGATAGATAGATAGAGATAGATTTTCTCATTCTACCTCTCATAGTTGAGGTTTACCTATGATGAAAATTACAGTCCTCGCTCATCTTTTTTGGTGGGAGAACTTGCACAACGGGTGGCTGACTAAATACTTGTGTGTATGTGTGTGTGTTGTTATATATTATACACACACACACATCCACACTTACACACATCCACACTTACACACAGACACACATCCACACTTACACACATCCACACTTACACACACACACACACACATCCACACTTACACGCACACACATCCACACTTGCACACACAGACACACATATGCACACACATGCATTTAAACAAACACACACATACATAAACACCCCTGCCACAAACACACACACGCATAAACACTGGGTCTGTTCCAGGGGCCCCCAGGAGCTCCCGGAGTGCAGGGAAACACAGGGACCCCAGGGAAACCAGGAGACAACGGCACCCCTGTGAGTACTACAGTACTGTGTGCTATAGTGCTAGTGCTGCCACTGCTAATGGTGTGTCTGTGTGTGTCTGCGTGTGTGTGTCTGTGTCTGCAGGGTGTGGCCGGTCTAAAGGGGGACAAAGGAGAGAGAGTGAGTTATTAATTAACTTTTATTAAAGTTAAATGGTGCTGACTTCTACACATGACCTCTGACCCTGTGTGTGTCTCAGGGAGAGTTTGCGCCTCAGAACATGATGCGCTCCATTGCACGACAAGTGTGTGAGCAGATGATGGCCTGTGAGTCTCTGTAACCTCTCTGTACCCTCTCTGTAACCTCTCTCTCTGTAACCTCTCTGTACCCTCTCTGTAACCTCTCTCTGTAACCTCTCTTTAACCTCTCTCTCTGTAACCTCTCTCTGTAACCTCTCTCTGTAACCTCTCTGTAACCTCTCTCTGTAACCTCTCTCTGTAACCTCTCTTTAACCTCTCTCTCTGTAACCTCTCTCTCTCTAACCTCTCTGTAACCTCTCTCTCTCTAACCTCTCTGTAACCTCTCTCTCTCTAACCTCTCTGTAACCTCGCTCTCTGTAACCTCTCTGTAACCTCTCTCTGTAACCTCTCTCTCTGTAACCTCTCTGTAACCCCTCTCTCTCTAACCTCTCTGTAACCTCTCTGTAACCTCTCTCTCTGTAACCTCTCTCTGTAACCTCTCTCTGTAACCTCTCTTTAACCTCTCTCTGTAACCTCTCTGTAACCTCTCTGTAACCTCTCTCTGTAACCTCTCTGTAACCTCTCTGTAACCTCTCTTTAACCTCTCTCTGTAACCTCTCTGTAACCTCTCTGTAACCCCTCTCTCTCTAACCTCTCTGTAACCTCTCTCTGTAACCTCTCTGTAACCTCTCTCTCTGTAACCTCTCTGTAACCTCTCTCTCTGTAACCTCTCTGTAACCTCTCTCTGTAACCTCTCTCTCTGTAACCTCTCTCTGTAACCTCTCTCTCTGTAACCTCTCTGTAACCTCTCTCTGTAACCTCTCTCTCTGTAACCTCTCTGTAACCTATCTCTCTGTAACCTTTCTCTCTGTAACCTCTCTCTGTAACCTCTCGGTAACCTCTCTGTAACCTCTCTCTCTGTACCCTCTCTCTCTGTAACCTCTCTCTCACCTCTCTGTAACCTCTCTCTGTAACCTTTATTTATTTATTTATTTATTGTGTTTATTTGAACATCGAATAAATGTATAAGAAAAAAAAAAAAACAGTAAGAACAAAACAAAGAAAATAAAGAAAACTTATTCACGTTCAAAAGGAGTAGGAAGAAGCCAAGCTTATTTAATCCTACCCCTCTTCCCTATGTCAATTCAATATATTGAATATTGAAGCAAAATATACTAATATATATACACATACATGTATATACATACATGCATACATACATGTATCCATACATACACACATATACATACATATATATATAATTACAGTTAATTAAAAAAATATTAACTTAAATGAACAGTAACAATAATTGCACCGTGTATCACCTAGTGTCTTTTTGTACCCCAGATTCATCCCTGTATCTATTCAAAACATGCTCTTTATATTTTACTTTGAACTCCTTTATATTTAGACATTGTTTCAATTCTTCACACAACCTGTTCCATATTTGTACTCCACTGAATGAAATACAAAATCTCTTTTTGTTTGTTCGTATTCTGATGACTTTAAAGTTATTTAACCCCCTTAATTGATAACCCCCCTCTCGACCCGTAAAGATGTTCTGTATATTATATGGTAGTAGCTTATTAGCTGCTTTATACATTATCTGTGCTGTTTTAAATTCAACTATGTCTGTGAGTTTTAATAACCTCTCTGTAACCTCTCTCTGTAACCTCTCTCTAACCTCTCTCTGTAACCTCTCTCTAACCTCTCTGTAACCTCTCTGTAACCTCTCTCTGTAACCTCTCTGTAACCTCTCTCTCTGTAACCTCTCTCTGTAACTTCTCTCTCTTTAACCTCTCTCTGTAACTTTTCTCTCTGTAACCTCTCTGTAACCTCTCTCTGTAACCTCTCTGTAACCTCTCTGTAACCTCTCTCTGTAACTTCTCTCTCTGTAACTTCTCTCTCTGTAACCTCTCTCTGTAACCTCTCTGTAACCTCTCTGTAACTTCTCTCTCTGTAACCTCTCTGTAACCTCTCTCTGTAACTTCTCTCTGTAACCTCTCTCTGTAACCTCTCTCTGTAACTTCTCTCTGTAACCTCTCTCTGTGTAACCTCTCTGTAACCTCTCTGTAACCTCTCTCTGTAACCTCTCTGTAACCTCTCTCTGTAACTTCTCTCTGTAACCTCTCTCTCTGTAACCTCTCTCTCTGTAACCTCTCTGTAACCTCTCTGTAACCTCTCTGTAACCTCTCTCTGTAACTTCTCTCTGTAACCTCTCTCTTTGTAACCTCTCTGTAACCTCTCTCTGTAACCTCTCTCTCTGTAACCTCTCTCTGTAACTTCTCTCTGTAACCTCTCTGTAACCTCTCTCTGTAACTTCTCTCTCTGTAACCTCTCTGTAACCTCTCTCTGTAACCTCTCTCTCTGTAACCTCTCTCTGTAACTTCTCTCTGTAACCTCTCTCTGTAACCTCTCTCTGTAACTTCTCTCTGTAACCTCTCTGTAACCTCTCTGTAACTTCTCTCTCTGTAACCTCTCTCTGTAACCTCTCTCTCTGTAACCTCTCTCTGTAACTTCTCTCTCTTTAACCTCTCGCTGTAACTTCTCTCTCTGTAACTTTTCTCTCTGTAACCTCTCTGTAACCTCTCTCTGTAACCTCTCTGTAACCTCTCTGTAACCTCTCTCTGTAACCTCTCTGTAACCTCTCTCTGTAACTTCTCTCTCTGTAACTTCTCTCTCTGTAACCTCTCTCTGTAACCTCTCTGTAACCTCTCTGTAACTTCTCTCTCTGTAACCTCTCTGTAACCTCTCTCTGTAACTTCTCTCTGTAACCTCTCTCTTTAACCTCTCTCTGTAACTTCTCTCTGTAACCTCTCTCTGTGTAACCTCTCTGTAACCTCTCTCTGTAACCTCTCTGTAACCTCTCTCTGTAACTTCTCTCTGTAACCTCTCTCTGTAACTTCTCTCTGTAACCTCTCTGTAACCTCTCTCTCTGTAACCTCTCTGTAACCTCTCTCTCTGTAACCTCTCTGTAACCTCTCTCTGTAACTTCTCTCTGTAACCTCTCTCTCTGTAACCTCTCTGTAACCTCTCTCTGTAACCTCTCTCTGTGACCTCTCTCTCTGTAACCTCTCTCTGTAACTTCTCTCTGTAACCTCTCTGTAACCTCTCTCTGTAACTTCTCTCTCTGTAACCTCTCTGTAACCTCTCTCTGTAACCTCTCTCTGTAACTTCTCTCTGTAACCTCTCTCTGTAACTTCTCTCTGTAACCTCTCTCTGTAACCTCTCTCTCTGTAACTTCTCTCTGTAACCTCTCTCTGTAACCTCTCTCTGTAACTTCTCTCTCTGTAACCTCTCTGTAACTTTTCTCTCTGTAACCTCCAGCCCACATGGCCCGGGTGAACTCGGTCCTGAACCAGATCCCCAGTCCTCAGTCCAGCCTCAGTCCTGGACCTCCAGGACCCGTGGGGCCCACAGGACCCATGGGTCCCAGAGGAGAACCAGGCCCTGCAGGAAGGAACGGCTTCCCAGGCGGCCCAGGCCAACCAGGGCTGATGGGAGAGAGAGGTGTGTGTCTATCTTTGTCAGTCTCACCATGTGTGTGTCTCTCACCATGTGTGTGTGTGTCTGTGTGTGTCTCACCATGTGTGTGTCTGTGTGTGTCTTCAGGAGCTCCAGGAGAGAAAGGAGACAGAGGCTCCTCTGTGGTGGGCCCTAAGGGCCCCCGTGGCCCCCCTGGGCCCCCTGGAGAGACTCGCACGGGGCCGCCAGGGGCCCCTGGGTCGGCTGGAGCTCGGGGGCCTCCAGGACGACAGGGATACCCAGGCATCAGGGGGCCCCCCGGGGCCAACGGCTACTGCGACTCCTCCCAGTGTGTGGGAATCCCCTACAACGGACAGGGCTACAACGGTAAGACCAGGGACCAGAGACCAGAGAGAGACCAGAGACCAGGGACCAGGGACCAGAGACCAGAGAGAGATCATGGACCAGAGAGAGACCAGAGACCAGGGACCAGAGACCAGAGAGAGATCATGGACCAGAGAGAGACCAGGGACCGGAGAATGTCCAATTTCTAAAAACCAGGATCCAGAGAGAGATCAGAGACTAAAGATCAAGGACCTAGAGAGGGACCAGAGAGAGACCAGGGACCAGGAACTAGAGAGAGACCAGAGAGAGACCAGGGACCAGGAACTAGAGAGAGACCAGAGAGAGACCAGGGACCAGGAACTAGAGAGAGACCAAGGATCAGAGAGAGACAAGAGATGCCGTGTGATGTGGTTTTCCATAAAAAATAGTATCTCCTCAGCGTTGTCAGACCACGTCATTTACGCGCGACATGTAACCAATAACATAGCTGGTGACAGCTGGTTATTACCTCCGAGGGGCCTCTGCTTACCTCCTTCAGAACTGGCTCCTAAAGCCTTTTCAGGACACCAAGTGACAAACTAACAGCAAGTATTTAAAAAAAAAATTCAGCACAGCGCGAGTGGTTGTTGAAAATGATTTTGGCAAGTCTTAAAGGCATGACTCGGACCCGCTCTGCACAATCTGTGAAAACCACGAAGAGACCTGTGACACCTGTAGCAACAGCAGCCTTTAGCAGTGGTGCAAAGGAGGGTCTGATGCGTCACTTTGTCATGTGCCTAAACATTTATTTTGCTCTTGTTTTGACCAAAAATATAACCTTTTTGTCTTGATACAATCTCACATTTATTAACAAACAAAAGTAAAGTGCAAAACCAACAATTTTCAATTCCAAAGTACGTATGTCTCTGAGACAGGTCCAGATGAGGGGAAAGTTAAGTACTCCGGTCACTCAATGCCCTCCCTTGTGGGAAGGGTTTCTCAAACAAATAAATATACACACGACAACTTAAGTTCAAGCACAAAACAGAATGGCAACACGTGAAAGAGCAAAATGAAGCACACTAGCGCAAGAAGGACGTTTTAGCTTAGCTTGCTATCGATAGCTAAATGTTGCTAGTTCACTGTGTACAACAGACAATCAAACATTTACACGAGTAAATACATTTCAGTGAGAGCTTTGGGCCATCGGGATACGTAGCTAACCAGTTATTTCCAGGATTACCACAGACTAGTCACAAATCAAGAGCGATCTCCCTGAAAACCTTATCGTTCCGTGTTCCGTCGAGCTCAACCAGGACGTTAACTTTGGGGGCTTTTTGTGCGATTCCATTTCTCTCTAGAAGAGCAGCCGGTTTTAAAGATGGCAGGGTTGAATTGTTTTTACCAAAGGGTCGGACGTCGCTTCCAGTGACGAGACCTGTTGACCAATAAGTGTAAGGCAGTCGGCCGACATCACGTGATGGTGTAGCTTCGGCACGGTTGGAACCACTGCCGAGGTGGTACGATAAAAGTACCCTTATCCCAAGCCCAACCCTAGTGGAAAAGCAAAATAACCGCGCCGTGCCAGACCGAACGTTACTGTGGAAAAGCGGCAATAGAGACCATGGACCAGAGACCAGAGAGAGACCAGAAACCAGGAACCAAATAAAGACCAGAGAGAGACCAGGGAGAGACCAGAGAGAGACCAGAGAGAGACCAGGGACCCCAGCTTTACCGTGACATGTTAAAATCTACTCTCGCTTATTTCAGGTCGTTGAGAATGTTGTAGCTTTGACTCACAGCATGACACAATAACGGCACAGAACCAGCAACTCTCCAAACCAGCTACTCACCAAACCAGCAACTCACCAAACCAGCAACTCACCAAACCAGCTACTCACCAAACCAGCAACTCACCAAACCAGCTACTCACCAAACCAGCAACTCACCAAACCAGCTACTCACCAAACCAGCTACTCACCAAACCAGCGATTCACCCTGTGCAGAGTCCTGGTCCTGAGTTTGAACAGTAAACCTCACACAGAAAAAGGCAGGATTCAACCCAAACGTCTGTGTAGAAAAGATATGTTATGAAAGATCCATCTGAGCATCCACACACCAGCGCCCTCTCCTGGAGTCACTGGGATTTACACAGAAAGCACACACAAACTCGTTCTGGGAGAGGACCCTTCTGATGTGAGCTCAGAGCCACTGTAGCACCAGGTACAGGACCAGCTGGACTATACCCCACACCTGTGTATAAGCCTCGGGTTGTGAGTGTCTTTATAAGCTAACCATAAATAACCATATAATCAGGAGGCTCATGGTAGGGTTGCCAACCGTCCCTTAAAATACAGAATCATCCCATATTTTAGAAAAACTATGTGCGTCCTGTATTGAATCGATAAAGGACGGCTAAGAAGCACAGATGAGAGTGGGAAGCACAACACGCGTGGTTAGAGAGTGTGAACTGGACTTTTTCCCGCTGTATGTTCGCTGTTTCTCACAGGGGTCAGATATACGACTGCATTTGGCGGGAGAACATTCCGGCATCGCTAAGTCAAGAGAAAATCACATCAAACTCACTTAATCCTTCATTCCCGAAGCCTCACCCGAGGCAGATAGTGTCATGAGTTCTGACTTCGACAATATAGGCCGCAAACGGCAGTCAGTTAGCAGGCAGGCCGTCACTTAATCAATATATCATAGTTATTAAAGTGGTTCTCACCCCCGCTCCTCGGAGCCTACGTCACTCACATTTCCTGTTCAAATCTTCCTCTAAATGGGCGTAGCCTGGAGGACCGAAGGGGGCGTGAACGAGACTGGGCCGTTTACATTGCTCTGGGCGGGGGGCTGCTGACGTCAGGTCTTGCTTCAGACGTCAGGTCTTGCTGCTGCGCCAGTGTTGGCGCCAGATTCAAAATTCAAATGTAGTAATACAGGTCGCCAGCAGATGGCGCCTCACAGACGGTTTTAGGCAGAAAGTCTAACTTTCAACTAATTTGCACCAAAGTGACAAGATTATGACCAGGATATGTAGACAACACTATTGGACACTCATTTATACCGTTTATCAGCAAAAAAAGTGGATTTGAGGGTGAGTTGTCCTTTAAGCAATAATAAATTAAAACCAATCCACTTTATTTTTCTGTTTTCAAGTTGGTAACCCTAGCTCACGTTAGCTCACGATAGCATGATTACCTTCTACATTATTGTGTCTGTTAAAACTGCTAAACAAGAACGGAATCCATTAATCACATATTGAACCCTAATCTAATCTCTCTCTGGTTTTTCTCTGGTCTCTCTTTCTGGTCTCTCTCTCTCTGATCTCTCTGGTCTCTATCTTTGGTCTCTCTCTGGTCTCTCTCTTTGGTCTCTCTCTGGTCTCTCTCTTTGGTCTCTCTCTGGTCTCTCTCTGGTCTCTCTCTGGTCTCTCTCTGGTCTCTTTCTTTGGTCTCTCTCTGGTCTCTTTCTTTGGTCTCTCTCTGGTCTCTCTCTTTGGTCTCTCTCTGGTCTCTCTCTGGTCTCTCTCTGGTCTCTCTCTTTGGTCTCTCTCTGGTCTCTCTCTGGTCTCTCTCTTTGGTCTCTCTCTGGTCTCTCTCTGGTCTCTTTCTTTGGTCTCTCTCTGGTCTCTCTCTCTGGGTATAGTCCAGCATATGGTCAATGTTTGAGGAAGTGGGCGGGGACAGGTGGAGGTGAATCCTGTGTTTTTCCAGAGTGAGGTTCAAACTCACCGCTCTCGGTTTCATCCTGTCCTGTTATTGTGAATAAAACTGGAACATGTGGAGGGGGCATCATTATGCAGCTCTCTCTGGTCTCCTTCTGGTCTCTCTTTTTGGTCTCCCTCTGGTCTCTTTTTTTGGTCTCCTTCTGGTCTCTCTTTTTGGTCTCTCTCTGGTCTCCCTCTGGTCTCTCTCTCTGGTCTCTCTCTCTGGTCTCTCTTTTTGGTCTCTCTCTGGTCTCTCTCTGGTCTCCCTCTGGTCTCTCTCTCTGGTCTCCCTCTGGTCTCTCTCTTTGGTCTCTCTCTGGTCTCTCTTTTTGGTCTCTCTCTGGTCTCTGGTCTCCCTCTGGTCTCTCTCTCTGGTCTCTCTCTCTGGTCTCTCTCTCTGGTCTCTCTTTCTGGTCTCTCTTTTTGGTCTCTCTTTCTGGTCTCTCTTTCTGGTCTCTCTCTGGTCATGTTTAGAGGACTGTGGAGACGCTCTTGAGGCTGCGTGCTGAAAAACCTGGTTCAGTCCTGGTTCAGACCTGGTTCTCTTCCTGTCCCCAGGCCAGTCCACTGTCCGAGTCCTGGACCAGCCTCAGCTCAGGGCTTAGGTCTGACACAGAGAACAGAGAGAGAGCGCCACCTGCTGGAGCCGCCTCTGCAGGGACTACGGCGGGCCGGAGGGACAAACCTGGTCTCACTGGCTCTGAGAGGTGTGCTATACAAAAAAAGATGTTTCTCACTCTGTGAACCGGAAACAGTGATTTTTCTGGAACATATTTATCCAAACGTTAAATATTTCTCAAACTGAATTTTAAATCTACATCTTCTTGTGTTTGGACCTTCAGGGCCACTGTACACTTTTGATTAGTAATGACACACTTCCGGGTCCAGGCTAAAGCTAATGCTAACTGTGAACAAAAGTGTGTCTACTGTTGACGTTTAAGGTTTATAGGAGGATTTCCCCAAATTTTAGGAAAGAATTGCCCTCTCCACTTTTTGATCAAAACTCTCTGGTCTTATTGGACGAGCACGTATCACCAGAATGATTGACAACTGGGAGGACCAATAGTCTTGATGATCCACCCGGAAGTAGAAAATCCTCCTATATACCTTTGACTTAGCATAGTTAATGCTAAAAATCACAATTGCTTATCATGTTAGCATGATGTTAGCATGATGGGAGTGTTAGCTTATTGTATGTATTCTATGATGAGTCAGCTGAACCTGAAGGGGGCGCCACTGAGCTCCAGTTTTCTTTAGTGTCGTTAGAATCACCTGTTTCTGTCTCTGTTTCATCACATGTTTATTTTTATGTTGATTTAGACCTGGTCTAAACCCGGTCCAGACCTGGTTCACACTTGTCTATCTTGTTCACCGTGACTCCTCACTGTTCAGACCTGGTTCATGGTTTTGTCTTGAATCAGATCCATTTCTTATTTATTTAGGAACAAAAGAGGCATTTTTCAATAAAACTACTGAAAACACAAAAGTTTTGTTTATTTTGATCCTCCTCTCTGCTCCTCCCAGTCCTCCTCTCTGCTCTCCTCCCATTCCCCCCTCTCTCTGCGCTCCTCCCAGTCCTCCTCTCTGCTCTCCTCCCAGTCCTCCTCCTCTGCTCTCCTCCCAGTCCTCCTCTACTCTGCTCTCCTCCCAGTCCTCCTCTACTCTGCTCTCCTCCCAGTCCTCCTCTACTCTGCTCTCCTCCCAGTCCTCCTCTACTCTGCTCTCCTCCCAGTCCTCCTCTACTCTGCTCTCCTCCCAGTCCTCCTCTACTCTGTTCTCCTCCCAGTCCTCCTCTACTCTGTTCTCCTCCCAGTCCTCCTCTACTCTGTTCTCCTCCCAGTCCTCCTCCTCTGCTCTCCTCCCAGTCCTCCTCCTCTCTCTCCTCCCAGTCCTCCTCTGCTCTGTTCTCCTCCCAGTCCTCCTCTACTCTGTTCTCCTCCCAGTCCTCCTCTACTCTGTTCTCCTCCCAGTCCTCCTCTACTCTGTTCTCCTCCCAGTCCTCCTCTACTCTGTTCTCCTCCCAGTCCTCCTCTACTCTGTTCTCCTCCCAGTCCTCCTCTACTCTGCTCTCCTCCCAGTCCTCCTCCTCTGCTCTCCTCCCAGTCCTCCTCTGCTCTGTTCTCCTCCCAGTCCTCCTCTACTCTGTTCTCCTCCCAGTCCTCCTCTGCTCTGTTCTCCTCCCAGTCCTCCTCTACTCTGTTCTCCTCCCAGTCCTCCTCTACTCTGTTCTCCTCCCAGTCCTCCTCTACTCTGTTCTCCTCCCAGTCCTCCTCTACTCTGTTCTCCTCCCAGTCCTCCTCTACTCTGTTCTCCTCCCAGTCCTCCTCCTCTGCTCTCCTCCCAGTCCTCCTCCTCTGCTCTCCTCCTCTACTCTGCTCTCCTCCCAGTCCTCCTCTACTCTGCTCTCCTCCCAGTCCTCCTCTACTCTGTTCTCCTCCCAGTCCTCCTCTACTCTGTTCTCCTCCCAGTCCTCCTCTACTCTGCTCTCCTCCCAGTCCTCCTCTACTCTGTTCTCCTCCCAGTCCTCCTCTACTCTGTTCTCCTCCCAGTCCTCCTCTACTCTGTTCTCCTCCCAGTCCTCCTCCTCTGCTCTCCTCCCAGTCCTCCTCCTCTGCTCTCCTCCCAGTCCTCCTCTGCTCTGTTCTCCTCCCAGTCCTCCTCTACTCTGTTCTCCTCCCAGTCCTCCTCTACTCTGTTCTCCTCCCAGTCCTCCTCTACTCTGTTCTCCTCCCAGTCCTCCTCTACTCTGTTCTCCTCCCAGTCCTCCTCTACTCTGCTCTCCTCCCAGTCCTCCTCCTCTGCTCTCCTCCCAGTCCTCCTCTGCTCTGTTCTCCTCCCAGTCCTCCTCTACTCTGTTCTCCTCCCAGTCCTCCTCTGCTCTGTTCTCCTCCCAGTCCTCCTCTACTCTGTTCTCCTCCCAGTCCTCCTCTACTCTGTTCTCCTCCCAGTCCTCCTCTACTCTGTTCTCCTCCCAGTCCTCCTCTACTCTGTTCTCCTCCCAGTCCTCCTCCTCTGCTCTCCTCCCAGTCCTCCTCCTCTGCTCTCCTCCTCTACTCTGCTCTCCTCCCAGTCCTCCTCTACTCTGCTCTCCTCCCAGTCCTCCTCTACTCTGTTCTCCTCCCAGTCCTCCTCTACTCTGTTCTCCTCCCAGTCCTCCTCTACTCTGCTCTCCTCCCAGTCCTCCTCTACTCTGTTCTCCTCCCAGTCCTCCTCTACTCTGTTCTCCTCCCAGTCCTCCTCTACTCTGTTCTCCTCCCAGTCCTCCTCTACTCTGTTCTCCTCCCAGTCCTCCTCTACTCTGTTCTCCTCCCAGTCCTCCTCCTCTGCTCTCCTCCCAGTCCTCCTCCTCTGCTCTCCTCCCAGTCCTCCTCTGCTCTGTTCTCCTCCCAGTCCTCCTCTACTCTGTTCTCCTCCCAGTCCTCCTCTACTCTGTTCTCCTCCCAGTCCTCCTCTACTCTGTTCTCCTCCCAGTCCTCCTCTACTCTGCTCTCCTCCCAGTCCTCCTCCTCTGCTCTCCTCCCAGTCCTCCTCTGCTCTGTTCTCCTCCCAGTCCTCCTCTACTCTGTTCTCCTCCCAGTCCTCCTCTGCTCTGTTCTCCTCCCAGTCCTCCTCTACTCTGTTCTCCTCCCAGTCCTCCTCTACTCTGTTCTCCTCCCAGTCCTCCTCTACTCTGTTCTCCTCCCAGTCCTCCTCTACTCTGTTCTCCTCCCAGTCCTCCTCCTCTGCTCTCCTCCCAGTCCTCCTCCTCTGCTCTCCTCCCAGTCCTCCTCTACTCTGCTCTCCTCCCAGTCCTCCTCTACTCTGCTCTCCTCCCAGTCCTCCTCTACTCTGCTCTCCTCCCAGTCCTCCTCTACTCTGCTCTCCTCCCAGTCCTCCTCTACTCTGCTCTCCTCCCAGTCCTCCTCTACTCTGTTCTCCTCCCAGTCCTCCTCTACTCTGTTCTCCTCCCAGTCCTCCTCTACTCTGCTCTCCTCCCAGTCCTCCTCCTCTGCTCTCCAACATGAACCTAAGCACCTGTACCTTGACCCCACTCCATCCCCTCTCTGACCTCCTCCCCTGCCTCATCATCACCTCCTTCCCCCCCTGATCATCACCTCCTCCCCTCCAGAGACCACATCAGCCGTTCTCAAACAACTGCACTGGCTCCTGTTCCATAGCATCCAACTCAAGGTCCGCCTCCTCCTCCTTCTCCCTCCATAACCTGCTCCTCTGTCGCTGACCTCCTCCATCATCACTGACTCAGATCTACAGACTAAGACCTCCTCACTCCCTCAGGACTAAGACCTCCTCACTCCCTCAGGACTAAGACCTCCTCACTCCCTCAGGACTAAGACCTCCTCACTCCCTCAGGACTAAACACCGAGCCCTGGGGACCATTTGAATCCTGAGGACTGAACCTTCTCTGCAGCTCATTAAACCAACCTGTTCCACTGTTCCCTTCATTTTGGTTTTTTTGTGTCTATGCGAAACTTTGTAGTACTCTCTAGTACTCTCTAGTACTCTCTAGTACTCTCTAGTACTCTCTAGTACTCTCTAGTACTCTCTAGTACTCTCTAGTACTCTGCAGTACTCTGCAGTACTCTGCAGTAGTACTGGTGTTGCATCTATGATGTCACTGTGAACATGTGCTCACAATAGTCATGTGACCTCAGGGCGTGACGCAAACGAGTTCTACCAGTTTACTGCAGGTGAGACACACCTGAGACTACACTGGACTGGACCGGGACTAAAGCAGGTCTAAAGCAGGACTAAAGCAGATCTGAAGCAGGTCTAAAGCAGGACTAAAGAAGGTCTAAAGCAGGACTAAAGCAGGTCTACAGCAGGACTAAAGCAGGTCTAAAGCAGGACTAAAGCAGGTCTAAAGCAGGACTAAAGCAGGTCTACAGCAGGACTAAAGCAGATCTAAAGCAGGACTAAAGCAGGACTAAAGCAGGTCTAAAGCAGGTCTAAAGCAGGACTAAAGCAGGTCTAAAGCAGGACTAAAGCAGATCTAAAGCAGGACTAAAGCAGGTCTACAGCAGGACTAAAGCAGGACTAAAGCAGATCTAAAGCAGGACTAAAGCAGGTCTACAGCAGGACTAAAGCAGGACTAAAGCAGGTCTACAGCAGGTCTAACCCCGAGATGCTCCTGATCTCTCTCCTGCTCTTCACGGTCCCCGTTTGCCGCGCGGCAGAGGGTGGTTACCGAGCAGACTTTGTGTTGGACGCGGAGGACGCGGTGGCGCAGGGCGCGGTGCTGTTGGCCACAGTGAATGCGCAGAGCAGAGAGGAGTGCGAGCGCGCGTGCGTGGACCTCCCGCCGTGCAACCTTGCCCTCAGCGAGCCACACGACGCATGCGCATTGTTCGACTGCGTGTACCGGAACCGCTTCGTCTGCAACAGGTGAGTCACGTGTCCGACTCACACGTTGTAGTTTTATAAGTTATTTTAGTGATTCTAGTTCCAATAAGTCTCAGTCACAAACAGAAAGAATCTTGAAATAAAATGTTGCGATCAGACATAACCTGCTTCTTCATCTTGATCTTGTCTGTGAGAAAGATCTCTGTGAGTCACTATCTGCCTCTTTGGGCTGGGAGCTGATTGGCTGAGAAAGGGTGGTCCTCTGTTTCTGTCACATCTTTAAATCAGTTGTGGCTTAAAGGTACACTGTGTAACTGTTTGTGCCATGTAGCGTTGAGATCTCTTATATTGCAGTCCAGGTACTACTGAAGCCTCAGTCATTCACCGACTGCCAAAGGAAGAATACTTTAGTTTGATAAATGACCGGATCTCTCCAAACGTCTCGGACACTTGACAGTCGTGAGGAGCTGACTGTAAACAAGACCATGTTCTGAAGCGGCACCCGCTGCACAGAGTTTTACCATGGATCTATCATAATATATAGTTTTACCATGTGGATCTATCATAATATATAATTTTACCATGTGGATCTATCATAATATATAGTTTTACCATGTGGATCTATCATAATATATAGTTTTACCATGTGGATCTATCATAATATATAGTTTTACCATGTGGATCTATCATAATATATAGTTTTACCATGTGGATCTATCATAATATATAGTTTTACCATGAATCTGTTATAATATATAGTTTTACCATGTGGATCTATCATAATATATAGTTTTACCATGTGGATCTATCATAATATATAGTTTTACCATGGATCTATCATAATATATAGTTTTACCATGGATCTATCATAATATATAGTTTTACCATGTGGATCTATCATAATATATAGTTTTACCATGGATCTATTATAATATATAGTTTTACCATGTGGATCTATTATAATATATAGTTTTACCATGTGGATCTATCATAATATATAGTTTTACCATGGATCTATCATAATATATAGTTTTACCATGTGGATCTATTATAATATATAGTTTTACCATGGATCTATCATAATATATAGTTTTACCATGTGGATCTATCATAATATATAGTTTTACCATGGATCTATCATAATATATAGTTTTACCATGGATCTATCATAATATATAGTTTTACCATGTGGATCTATCATAATATATAGTTTTACCATGGATCTATTATAATATATAGTTTTACCATGGATCTATCATAATATATAGTTTTACCATGTGGATCTATTATAATATATAGTTTTACCATGTGGATCTATCATAATATATAGTTTTACCATGGATCTATTATAATATATAGTTTTACCATGTGGATCTATCATAATATATAGTTTTACCATGGATCTATCATAATATATAGTTTTACCATGGATCTATCATAATATATAGTTTTACCATGTGGATCTATTATAATATATAGTTTTACCATGTGGATCTATCATAATATATAGTTTTACCATGGATCTATCATAATATATAGTTTTACCATGTGGATCTATTATAATATATAGTTTTACCATGGATCTATTATAATATATAGTTTTACCATGTGGATCTATCATAATATATAGTTTTACCATGGATCTATCATAATATATAGTTTTTTCCATGGATCTATCATAATATATAGTTTTACCATGGATCTATCATAATATATAGTTTTACCATGTGGATCTATTATAATATATAGTTTTACCATGGATCTATCATAATATATAGTTTTTCCATGGATCTATCATAATATATAGTTTTACCATGGATCTATCATAATATATAGTTTTACCATGTGGATCTATTATAATATATAGTTTTACCATGGATCTATTATAATATATAGTTTTACCATGTGGATCTATCATAATATATAGTTTTACCATGGATCTATCATAATATATAGTTTTTCCATGGATCTATCATAATATATAGTTTTACCATGGATCTATCATAATATATAGTTTTACCATGGATCTATCATAATATATAGTTTTACCATGGATCTATCATAATATATAGTTTTTCCATGGATCTATCATAATATATAGTTTTACCATGGATCTATCATAATATATAGTTTTACCATGTGGATCTATTATAATATATAGTTTTACCATGGATCTATTATAATATATAGTTTTACCATGTGGATCTATCATAATATATAGTTTTACCATGGATCTATCATAATATATAGTTTTTCCATGGATCTATCATAATATATAGTTTTACCATGGATCTATCATAATATATAGTTTTACCATGGATCTATCATAATATATAGTTTTACCATGGATCTATCATAATATATAGTTTTACCATGTGGATCTATTATAATATATAGTTTTATTATGGATCTATTATAATAAATCGTTTTATTATGGATCTATTATAATATATAGTTTTACAAATGTGGTGTGAAGAGAAGAGATGCATGGAGGTTTAACGTCTGTGGGAGCTTAAAACTACGGTGATCAAAGAGGCAGGAGATATACAGAGCCGCGGCAGGACATGGCAAAGCTCATGTTAGCATTAGCCACAGCGCCCAATCTGCATCACGGTAATGTGCCTCCTGTTGTGTTCACGCTGTCTTTGTGCGTGTGGTTTGTGATGTTGACACTTTGCTGCTATGAATCTGGACTTTTGCAGAATTATTTTTCTAAAAGATTGTTGTTTGGATCGTTCTTTTACATAACTGTGTTCCTTCATGGTTCTTTTATATAACTCTGGTCCTTCATGGTTCTTTTTCATAACTCTGGTCCTTCATGGTTCTTTTATATAACTCTGGTCCTTCATGGTTCTTTTATATAACTCTGGTCCTTCATGGTTCTTTTATATAACTGTGGTCCTTCATGGTTCTTTTATATAACTCTGGTCCTTCATGGTTCCTTCTTCTAACTTGTGAGGTCACGGTGAAAGCAACGATATCAGTAGCTCATGTGAAACGAAAACACAATTCTCGCATCCTTTTTGTCCCTTATCCACCACCGTTTTTCAAGATGGCGCATATTCACGGAGAGCACTCCTCTCTCATGGACACTTATAAGTTAAACTCTAAGTCTATGAAAACAATTCAAAAAACATGATGAATCTTAAAAAGTTCACATTTGATATTAGTTAACATGTGCCAACAGGGTGGCTTTAAAGATATATAAGATCTTTTTCAAGACTCTTGGTCCTCCTAATTGTCAATAATTCTGGTAATACGTTTTTATAGGTGTTCCCTCTGGAGAGGGCGGTTCTTTCCTAAAATTCAAGAATATCCTCCATGTACATGCTCTGAAAGATTTTAAAAGAGACAGACCAAGCTTTAAAGTTTCAGACCAAGCTTCAAAGTCATAAAACTCTCCTGGTTCAGATTCCAGAACCGCGGCGGGTACCAGACTTTTGTGACCAAGAAACTTTATGAGACCTTTCTACAAGCCCCACCCACTACAGGTGAGCCCTGCCCCCATACAGTGTACAGCCCCCACATTACACCTGTGCTACAGACCTCACATTACACCTGTGTTACAGACCTCACATTACACCTGTGTTACAGACCTCACATTACACCTGTGCTACAGACCTCACATTACACCTGTGTTACAGACCTCACATTACACCTGTGTTACAGACCTCACATTACACCTGTGTTACAGACCTCACATTACACCTGTGTACAGACCTCACATTACACCTGTGTACAGACCTCACATTACACCTGTGTACAGACCTCACATTACACCTGTGTACAGACCTCACATTACACCTGTGTACAGACCTCACATTACACCTGTGTACAGACCTCACATTACACCTGTGTACAGACCTCACATTACACCTGTGTCACAGACCTCACATTACACCTGTGTCACAGACCTCACATTACACCTGTGTACAGACCTCACATTACACCTGTGTCACAGACCTCACATTACACCTGTGTCACAGACCTCACATTACACCTGTGTCACAGACCTCACATTACACCTGTGTACAGACCTCACATTACACCTGTGTTACAGACCTCACATTACACCTGTGTCACAGACCTCACATTACACCTGTGTTACAGACCTCACATTACACCTGTGTCACAGACCTCACATTACACCTGTGTCACAGACCTCACATTACACCTGTGTACAGACCTCACATTACACCTGTGTACAGACCTCACATTACACATGTGTACAGACCTCACATTACACCTGTGTCACAGACCCCACATTGCACCTGTGTAACAGACCTCACATTACACCTGTGTGACAGACCTCACATTACACCTGTGTGACAGACCTCACATTACACCTGTGTGACAGACCTCACATTGCACCTGTGTAACAGACCTCACATTACACCTGTGTGACAGACCTCACATTACACCTGTGTCACAGACCTCACATTACACCTGTGTACAGACCTGACATTACACCTGTGTCACAGACCTCACATTACACCTGTGTGACAGACCTCACATTACACCTGTGTGACAGACCTCACATTACACCTGTGTGACAGACCTCACATTACACCTGTGTTACAGGCCTCACATTACACCTGTGTCACAGACCTCACATTACACCTGTGTACAGACCTGACATTACACCTGTGTCACAGACCTCACATTACACCTGTGTCACAGACCTCACATTACACCTGTGTACAGACCTCACATTACACCTGTGTGACACCTGTGAAGAACTGTAGTAATGTTTGCAGTGTCCTGTATGAATAACCATGTGTCCAGGTGACCAGCGGCGGCCAATCGCGGTGGGGGGGCGGGACTTAGTGGTGCAACCTGGAGAGAGTGTGCTGCTCAATGGCATCGAGAGCCTCAGTCCTGGAACCATCCAACAGTACATCTGGAACCAGCAGAAAGGGGACCAGGCCACTGTGGAGGTGTGTGTGTGTGTGTGTCTGTGTGTGTCTGTGTGTCTCCTCAGGACTCATGTGTGTGTTGTTGTGTGTCCACAGAGGACACAGTACCCAGACCAGGTGAATGTCTCAGGTCTGGTCTCTGGTTCTTACTTGTTTGAGCTCAGAGTCACAGACTCCAACGGGAACTCGGCCTCAGACACCGTCCTGGTTCAGGTTCTGAGTCCAGAGCAGAGCAGCCGTGAGTCATATGGTCCTCTCTCCTCCCTCTCACCTCCCTCTCTCCTACTCCCTCTCTCCTCCCCCCTCTACACTCTCCTCCTCCCTCTGTCCACCCTCTCACCTCCCTTTCACCTTCCTCTCACCTCCCTCTCTTCTCTCTCCCCTCGCCTCCTCCCTTTCTCCTCCACCCTCTCACCTCCTTCTCACCTCTCTCCTCCTCCCTCTCATCTCCCTTTCTCCTCTCTCCTCCTCCCTCTCACCTCTCTCCTCCTCCCTCTCATCTCCCTTTCTCCTTTCTTCTCAGTGTTTTGCCTCGCACCTCCTAAGGTGGGTCCATGTCGCGCCTCCTTCACCAGGTGGCGCTATGACGCAGTGTCCGGCGTGTGCAGGAACTTCACGTTCGGCGGCTGCAAAGGAAACTACAACAACTTCCTGTCTGCAGCGGCGTGTGAGACGGCGTGTCGCGGGGTCCAAGGTCAGAGCATGAGCAGAACCACACACACATGAGGAGAACCACACACACATGAGGAGAACCACACACACATGAGGAGAAATACACACACATGAGGAGAACCACACACACATATGAGGAGAACAACACACACATGAGGAGAACCACACACACATGAGGAGAACCACACACACATATGAGGAGAACAACACACACATGAGGAGAACCACACACACATGAGGAGAACCACACACACATATGAGGAGAACAACACACACATGAGGAGAACCACACACACATGAGGAGAACCACACACACACATGAGGAGAACCACACACACATGAGGAGAACCACACACACATGAGGAGAACTACACACACATGAGAACTACACACACATGAGGAGAACCACACACACATGAGGAGAACTACACACACATGAGGAGAACTACACACACATGAGGAGAACCACACACACATGAGGAGAACCACACACACATGAGGAGAACCACACACACATGAGGAGAACAACACACACATCAGTCAGTCCCTGTGAGTCAGTCCCTGTGAGTCACGCCGGTGCAGTGGAGTCAGTCCCTGTGAGTCAGTCCCTGTGAGTCAGTCCCTGTGAGTCACGCCGGTGCAGTGGAGTCAGTCCCTGTGAGTCAGTCCCTGTGAGTCACGCCGGTGCAGTGGAGTCAGTCCCTGTGAGTCAGTCCCTGTGAGTCAGTCCCTGTGAGTCACGCCGGTGCAGTGGAGTCAGTCCCTGTGAGTCACGCCGGTGCAGTGGAGTCAGTCCCTGTGAGTCACGCCGGTGCAGTGGAGTCAGTCCCTGAGAGTCAGTCCTTGTGAGTCAGTCCCTGTGAGTCAGTCCCTGTGAGTCAGTCCCTGTGAGTCAGTCCCTGAGAGTCAGTCCCTGTGAGTCACGCCGGTGCAGTGGAGTCAGTCCCTGTGAGTCACGCCGGTGCAGTGGAGTCAGTCCCTGTGAGTCACGCCAGTGCAGTGGAGTCAGTCCCTGTGAGTCACGCCGGTGCAGTGGAGTCAGTCCCTGTGAGTCAGTCCCTGTGAGTCAGTCCCTGTGAGTCACGCCGGTGCAGTGGAGTCAGTCCCTGTGAGTCAGTCCCTGTGAGTCAGTCCCTGTGAGTCACGCCGGTGCAGTGGAGTCAGTCCCTGTGAGTCAGTCCCTGTGAGTCAGTCCCTGTGAGTCACGCCGGTGCAGTGGAGTCAGTCCCTGTGAGTCACGCCGGTGCAGTGGAGTCAGTCCCTGTGAGTCACGCCGGTGCAGTGGAGTCAGTCCCTGAGAGTCAGTCCTTGTGAGTCAGTCCCTGTGAGTCAGTCCCTGTGAGTCAGTCCCTGTGAGTCAGTCCCTGAGAGTCAGTCCCTGTGAGTCACGCCGGTGCAGTGGAGTCAGTCCCTGTGAGTCACGCCTGTGCAGTGGAGTCAGTCCCTGTGAGTCACGCCAGTGCAGTGGAGTCAGTCCCTGTGAGTCACGCCGGTGCAGTGGAGTCAGTCCCTGTGAGTCAGTCCCTGTGAGTCAGTCCCTGTGAGTCACGCCGGTGCAGTGGAGTCAGTCCCTGTGAGTCAGTCCCTGTGAGTCAGTCCCTGTGAGTCACGCCGGTGCAGTGGAGTCAGTCCCTGTGAGTCACGCCGGTGCAGTGGAGTCAGTCCCTGTGAGTCACGCCGGTGCAGTGGAGTCAGTCCCTGTGAGTCACGCCGGTGCAGTGGAGTCAGTCCCTGTGAGTCACGCCGGTGCAGTGGAGTCAGTCCCTGAGAGTCAGTCCTTGTGAGTCAGTCCCTGTGAGTCAGTCCCTGTGAGTCAGTCCCTGTGAGTCAGTCCCTGAGAGTCAGTCCCTGTGAGTCAGTCCCTGTGAGTCAGTCCCTGAGAGTCAGTCCCTGTGAGTCACGCCGGTGCAGTGGAGTCAGTCCCTGAGAGTCAGTCCCTGAGAGTCAGTCCCTGTGAGTCAGTCCCTGTGAGTCAGTCCCTGAGAGTCAGTCCCTGTGAGTCACGCCGGTGCAGTGGAGTCAGTCTGTTTCCGCCGTTGAAACTAATGTTCCATCACTTTTGTGTCTATGGAGCGTTTTCAAAATGGCCGTGGGGCAGAACTCGCCAATATCTGGGCATTTCTCTGGTCCTCCCAGTTCTGCGCAGTGGACAAGCTCCCATGATGCTTTGCTCTAAATACTAACATGCAGGTGTATGTGGCTCTCATGCACGTGCACAGAGGGGCAGTGTTCTGACCAATCAGAGCTGATGATCAGAGCGGAGCAGAGTTTATAGAAAACTGAAGGATTTAACAATATAAAAAAGGACTCTCTCATGCCACAGATTCCTCCTTTTCTGTCAGCTGAGGCTGAGGTGTTTTTGTTTATGTCTATGGGACATTCTTCTGGGTAGTCCAGGTGAATGTAGTCTGCAGGCACAGGCGCCCCCTGTGGCAGTAATACTCTATCCAGATATTATTATAGATCCATGATTTATGTCCATCATAGACGCCCTCGCTCCTCCTCGTTTAGTTTATCAACACAAACACACATTACAATACACACACCTTAAAGGCATATAGGAGGATTTTCCCAAATTTTAGGAAAGAACTCTCTGGTCTTATTGGACAAGCACATATCTTCAGAATGATTGACAATTGGGAGGACCAATAGTCTTGATGATCCACCCGGATGTAGAAAATCCTCCTGTGTACCTTTAAACACAGACAACAATGACACACACTTCACACAAATTATTGTTACGGCTTTATGTGTTTGTGACGCTGCTTCTGTCTCTGATGCTGAACTTTCCTGTTTAAGCCTCTTTGGAGAGAAGTGCGCCCCCTCCAGGATCCAGTGAGTAACACACGTGTGTGTGGTGTGTGTCCAAAAAGTTTGCGTATGTGTGTGTTGTGTGTCCAAAGGAGTGTGTGTCTGTTTGTAACTTGTGTGTGTTGTGTGTCCAGAGGAGTGTGTGTCTGTGTGTGCGCCGCTGCAGATGTTGTGCGACACTAACTGCTGCGTTCACAAAAGTCTGGAGTGTGATGGAGTTCAACAGTGTGTGGACGGGACGGACGAGAGAGAGTGTGGCAAAGGTACACAACTATACACAACTACTACACAACACACACAGAGGGACGAGAGCCAGTGTGGCACAGGTACACAACTACCACATAATAGCACACACACAGAGAAGGACCGTCTCTTTGAGCTAAAGTTTATTGTACACCTTCCCTTTGAACAAAATAATCAAAACATGTCACAACTGAACTGAAGAATCAGACATGGACAGATCCACAAACATAGCTAAATGTACAGACACAAGCGGAGAGGGACAGGAGCCAGTGTGGAGGAGGAGGAGTCTGCAGAGGGGAGGAGCCAGTGCGGAGGAGGAGGTGTCAGTGTGGAGGAGGAGGAGTCTGTGCAGAGGAGGAGGAGCCAGAGCAGAGGAGGAGGAGTCTGTGCAGAGGAGGAGGAGCCAGTGCGGAGGAGGAGGTGTCAGTGTGGAGGAGGAGTCTGTGCAGAGGGGGAGGAGCCAGAGCAGAGGAGTCTGTGCAGAGGGGGAGGAGCCAGTGTGGAGGAGGAGGAGTCTGTGTAGAGGGGGAGGAGCCAGTGTGGAGGAGGAGGAGCCTGTGTGTTTCTGCTTAAGCTTCATAACACACACACACACACACACACCCTTATGCTTCCTGATTACACACGATTCTAATCCTTTTTCTCTCTCAGTAAATCAAACGTTCAACCGACTTCTGAACATTGAATTGGATCAGAAAAAGGGTAAGAACCAGGTCTCCCTCTGGTCTCTTTCCAGTCTCTCTCTGGTCTCTCTCTGGTCTCTTTCCAGTCTCTCTCTGGTCTCTCTCTGGTCTCTTTCCAGTCTCTCTCTGGTCTCCCTCTGGTCTCTTTCCAGTCTCTCTCTGGTCTCTCTCTGGTCTCTCTCTGGTCTCTCTCTGGTCTCTCTCTGGTCTCTCTTTGGTTTCTCTCTGGTCTCTCTCTGGTCTCTGTCTGGTCTCTCTCTGGTCTCTCTCTGGTCTCTCTTTGGTCTCTCTGGTCTCTCTCTGGTCTCTCTTTCTCTGGTCTCTCTCTCCTATCTCTCCCCTTCCCCACCCCTCCCTTCTCTCTCTAACCCCTCTCCTCTCTTATCTCCCCTCCTTTCACCCCTCTCCTCTCTCATCCCTCTCTCCTCTCTCTCACCCCTCTCTCCTCTCTCATCCCTCTCTCCTCTCTCACCCCTCTCTCCGCTCTCTCACCCCTCTCTCCTCTCTCATCCCTCTCTCCTCTCTCACCCCTCTCTCTGCTCTCTCACCCCTCTCTCCTCTCTCATCCCTCTCTCCTCTCTCACCCCTCTCTCCGCTCTCTCACCCCTCTCTCCTCTCTCATCCCTCTCTCCTCTCTCATCCCTCTCTCCTCTCTATCACCCCGTTATCCTCTGTCTCACCCCTCTCTCCTCTCTCACCTCTTCATTATCTGTCTCTCCCTCTCTCACCCCTCTCTCCTCTCCCCTCCTCTCACCCCCTCCTCTCATCCCTCTCTCACCCCTTTATCCTCTCTCTCACCCCTCTCTCCTCTCTTCTCTCCCCTCCTCTCACCCCCTCCTCTCTCATCCCGCTCTCACCCCTTTATCCTCTCTCACCCCTCTCCTCTCTTCTCTCCCCTCCTCTCACCCCCCTCCTCTCTCATCCCTCTCTCACCCCTTTATCCTCTCTCACCCCTCTCCTCTCACCCCTTTATTCTCTGTCTCACCCCTCTCTCCTCTCTCTCACCCCTTTATCCTCTGCCTCATCCCTTTCTCCTCTCTCACCCCTCTCTCCTCTCTGTCACCCCTCTTCTCTCTCACCCCTTTATTCTCTGTCTCACCCCTCTATCTTCTCTCTCACCCCTTTATTCTCTGTCTCACCCCTCTTTCTTCTCTCACCCCTCTCTCCTCTCTCTCATCCCTCTCCCCTCTCTCTCACCCCGTTATCCTCTGTCTCACCCCTCTCTCCTCTCTCACCCCTCTCTCTTCTCTCTCACCCCTTTATTCTCTGTCTCACCCCTCTTTCTTCTCTCTCACCCCTCTTTCCGCTCTCTCACCCCTCTCTCCTCTCTCTCATCCCTCTCCCCTCTCTCACCCCGTTATCCTCTGTCTCACCCCTCTCTCCTCTCTCACCCCTCTCTCCTCTCTCTCATCCCTCTCCCCTCTCTCTCACCCCGTTATCCTCTGTCTCACCCCTCTCCCCTCTCTCCCCAGCGCGCTGCTCCCTCCCCCCTCACACAGGACCATGTAGGGCCAGTTTCTCTCGATGGTTCTATGATCCTGTGAGACGTCAATGTCAAAGCTTCACGTTCGGAGGCTGTGACGCAAACGGCAACAACTGGGAGGAGGAGGCGCAGTGTGAGGAGGCGTGCCGAGGAGTCACAGGTACACACACCGGGCCATACACAGGTACACACACAGACAGGAGAAGGAGTCACAGATACAAACACAACACACACACACGTACAAACACAACACACACACAGTTACACACACACGGGCACACACAAAGACAGGTACACACAGACAGGAGAAGGAGGCGCAGTGTGGAGGCGTGCCAAGGAGTCCCAGGTACACACACACACAACCAGAGAGAGACCAGAGAGAGAGAGACCAGAGAGAGAGACCAGAGAGAGGGAGACCAGAGAGAGAGACCAGAGAGAGAGAGACCAGAGAGAGAGACCAGAGAGAGAGACCAGAGAGAGAGAGACCAGAGAGAAAGAGACTAGAGAGAGACCAGAAAGAGAGACCAGAGAGAGACCAGAAAGAGAAAGACCAGTGAGAGAGACCAGTGCCAGTGAGAGAGACCAGTGAGAGAGACCAGTGAGAGAGACCAGTGAGAGAGACCAGTGAGAGAGACCAGTGAGAGAGACCAGAGAGAGAGACCAGAGAGAAAGAGACCAGAGAGAGAGACCAGAGAGAGAGACCAGAGAGAGAGACCAGAGAGAGAGACCAGAGAGAGAGACCAGAGAGAGACCAGAGAGAGAGACCAGTGCCAGTGAGAGAGACCAGTGCCAGTGAGAGAGACCAGTGAGAGAGACCAGAGAGAAAGAGACCAGAGAGAGACCAGAAAGAGAGATCAGAGAGAGAGACCAGAGAGAGAGATCAGAGAGAGAACAGTGAGAGAGACCAGTGAGAGAGACCAGTGAGAGAGATCAGAGAGAGACCAGTGAGAGAGACCAGTGAGAGAGACCAGAGAGAGAGACCAGTGAGAGAGACCAGAGAGAGAGACCAGTGAGAGAGACCAAAGAGAGACCAGAGAGAGACCAGTGAGAGAGACCAGAGTAAACTTTTTGTCTTTTGTTCAGAGGAGGACGTCTTCGCTCCAGGGATGTTCAAACGCTTCGAAGACGAGGATGAGTCTCAATCAGGTGCGTGTCTGTGTGTGTGTCTGTGTGACTGTGTGTGTGTGTGACTGTCTGTGTGTGTGACTGTGTGTGTGACTGTGTGACTGTCTGTGTGTGTGACTGTGTGTGTGTCTGTGTGACTGTGTGTGTGTGACTGTCTGTGTGTCTGTGTGTGTCTCTGTGTGTGTGTCTCAGTGTGTGTGACTGTGTGACTGTGTGTGTGTGTGTGTGTGTGTGTGTCTCTGTGTGTGTCTCAGTGTTTGTGACTGACTGTGTGACTGTGTGTCTGTGTGTGTCAGGCGTGTGTCTAAGATGTGGTCCTCTTCTTCAGGTTCCATTGCGCTCGCTGTGATTCTGACAGTGACACTTCTGGCTCTGCTCGCTATCGCCTCCTACTGTTTCATCAGGAGAAAGAAGAGTCACCAGCCAGTGCCCACGGACCAGAACTAAAGCAGGACTAAAGCAGGACTAGACCAGAACTAAAGCAGGACTAAAGCAGGACTAGACCAGAACTAAAGCAGGACTAAAGCAGGACTAAAGCAGGTCTAAAGCAGGACTAAATCAGGACTAAAGCAGGACTAAAGCAGGACTAGAGCAGGTCTAGAGCAGGACTAAAGCAGGACTAAAGCAGGACTAAAGCAGGACTAGAGCAGGACTAGAGCAGGACTAGAGCAGGTCTAAAGCAGGACTAAAGCAGGACTAAAGCAGGACTAAAGCAGGACTAAAGCAGGACTAAAGCAGGACTAAAGCAGGACTAGAGCAGGACTAGAGCAGGTCTAGAGCAGGTCTAGAGCAGGTCTAGAGCAGGACTAAAGCAGGACTAAAGCAGGACTAAAGCAGGTCTAAAGCAGGACTAAAGCAGGTCTAAAGCAGGACTAGAGCAGGACTAGAGCAGGACTAAAGCAGGTCTAAAGCAGGACTAAAGCAGGACTAGAGCAGGACTAGAGCAGGTCTAGAGCAGGACTAAAGCAGGACTAAAGCAGGTCTAAATATCAGGGGATGGTGATCCTTCTGCACTGTGTTCAAACTAACAGTATTTTCATATTTTTTATATTTGTGATGTTTATTTATGGGAAATTAAGGAACATTTATAAAACATTTTGTGTGTATTGTTCAATTAAACATGTTTGTTCAAGATTTCAACCAGAGTGCTTTCATATTTGGGGGAGACCAGAGAAAGACCAGAGAGAGAGCAGATGGAAAACAGAGAGACCAGAGGGAGACTAGCGAGAGACCTTTGTGTGTGTGTGTGTGTGTGTGTGTGTGTGTGTGTGTGTGTGTGTGTGTGTGTGTGTGTGTGTGTGTGTGTGTGTGTGTGTGTGTGTGTGTGTGTGTGTGTGTGTGTGCACTTGTTTTCAACTCCTGGTGGGTTCCATAACCTGAGATTCCACTCACGTCATGGGGACTGGTTTTACGTGGTGGGGCCCGAACACCGGACCCCACTGGTCCAAGCTTAATAATCAATGGGTAATGCTTTTCTAACGGTCCTTATGCAGTCTCTGTAAAAATATGGAAAGGACCCCTGGAGGTTTACTTTCCTGAAAAAAGTGTGTTATGTGTCGGAACCCTGGTGGTGGGTTGCGGGATATCAAGGAGGGGCACACTGGGGCAATTTCAGTCCAGCAGGCTGGAGCCAATCATGGAGCAGCACAACAGAGGAAATCAGGTGTCAGGCTAGAAAAAGGTGCAAGTGTGTGGTTCATTAGGCTGCAAGAAATCATGGAGGAGCACACTGAAGCGCACGCTTACAAACCACTGGTAAGTGCTGACTACAAGTCATGACTTCAAATTGTTATATAGAATGATTACAAATTATTTGTTGTTTGTGCAGCTTAGTCAAGAGTCCCTAATTGATGAAGTCGACTCAGATTCTGACGATTTAACTGTCAAGAAGAAACCTGTAAAAAAGTATGGAAAAAGAAAAATCAAAAACACTTTTCTTCAAGACTCGGAAAGTGACGAACCAAAGGCAAATAAGATTGTTATCATGCAGCTGCAAAAGAAGAAAAATGGGGGGCGAGTATACAGCAAGAGACACTTCTGCCTCTACTGTTCAATGTCCTGCCACAAAATGTCCCGTCATTTGACTAGAAAACATGGAAATGAAAGTGACGTAGCCAGAGCATTGGCTCTACCTGTGAAATCTAAAGCACGTAAACTTCGTTTTGATTTGATCAGGAATAGTGGAAACCGTGAGCACAATTTTGAGGTTTTAAAGGCCGGCATTGGAACTTTAGTCCCAGCTAAACAGCCAAATTGCCCAGTTAAATCCAGTGAGTTTTTGCACTGTATAGACTGTGGGGCATTGCTTAAGCGAAAGTCGCTGTGGAGGCATGTGGCCAGGTGCCGGCTTTCACAGAAAGATGCCCAGGCTAAACCAGGTAGAAGTAGGGTCCAGTCCCTCTGCTCCCTAGCCCAGCCTGTACCGGAGGGCATCAGCAAAAAGCTGTGGTCTTTAATTTCGGCAATGCATCAGGATGAGGTCACGGGTGTTGTCAAAGCAGAAAAGGGGATTCTGAGACTCGGAGAGCACCTGTACTTAAAACACGGGCATGATAAGACAAAGCATGATTACATTAGGCAGAAAATGAGAGAAGTCGGTAGGTTAATTAACGAAGCAAAAACCGCAGGGAAACTGAAAACAATTAAGGATTTCTTTATTCCTTCCAACTTTAACCATGTGATTGATGCAGTCAGGTCTGTGGCTGGATATGATGAGGAAACAAATCAATACAAGACTCCATCCTTGGCCCTCAAACTCGGCCATAGCCTCAGAAAGCTAGCAGATATTCTTGAATGTGACTCAAAAATGGAGCATTGTGTTGATGAACTATTTATTAAAAACCTCCAACGAAGCCGGCTGCTTTTTGAGAAGAGGTGGGACGTCTGTGTTTCTTCTGCTGCCCTACAGACCCTCCGGCAAGCCAAGTGGAACACTCCGGACCTGCTCCCTCTGACTGAGGACGTTAGAGCCATGCATGCACATATTGAGGTATGTCGACCTGAATATGTGCAAACCCTAATAAGTGAGCCAACGTCTAAGCATTGGTCGAAACTGGCAGTTTTGACTCTTTGTGAGGTCATCATTTTCAATCGAAGAAGGGAAGGTGAGGTTTCAAAGATGCCACTGACAGCCTTTACCTTAAGAAGTAAGACTGGGATCCATTCTGACATTGCTCTGGGACTGTCCCAACTTGAGAAAAAGCTGTGTCAGCATTTTCAACGCATTGAAATTAAAGGGAAAAGAAGTCGGAAAGTGCCGGTTCTTTTGACTCCTGAAATGATTGCTTCGATGGAGGTGCTGGTGGAGAACAGAAGGGCCTGTTCCATCTCTGACCATAACCCATACTTCTTTTCCCGCCCGGGCGCAGACACCCACATCAGGGGATCAGACTCCCTACGCCAGGTAGCCAAAGAATGTGGTGCGGTGCATCCAGAGATGCTATCCTCAACCAAACTTAGAAAGCACATAGCTACTATGTCTACAGTTCTCAATATGAAAGAGAATGAGATGGACATACTTGCCAACTTCCTCGGCCATGACATTCGCATCCACAGGCAATATTACAGACTACCAGAGGGGACACTGGAGCTGGCCAAAATCAGCAAAGTGTTGATGGCCATGGAGCAGGGAAGAGTGACGGAATTCGAAGGAAAGAGCCTCGACCAGATACAAATTGAGCCTGAAGGTAATTCTTGATATTATTAAAATATGTATGATTTTTTTCCCCTAAAGGCCACTTGTATTTTTATTTTCTGTGCGACAGGGAGAGCAGTAGAGATCCTCTCACAAACGGACGGGCTAAAAGAAACTTCAAGCGGAGAACCTTCAACCATTCATCCAGATGCACCCCATGGTAGTGGCAGTGCCCCTTCTGGTAAGTGTACCAGGTGGGGGATTACAGCCAGGCTGCTTGGTCCTCACCCTGGGAGTGTATATTGCTAATATATTTTTATTTCTCTCCCTAGAACGTGTAAGAAAGCCATGGTCTGCATCTGAGGTGAAGGCTGTGGAGAAGACCATGACACCTTTCATACAGACTGGAAAGGTCCCTGGGAAGTCTCACTGCCTGGCCTGCATTAATGCCTCACCAGATGACCTTAGACATCGGACATGGAGTGGCATTAAATTCTATGTCAAAAATAGAATCACTGCAATTCGAAAACAAAATCTAAAATAAAATTCCTTTAAAATAGTTGTTTGGTTTCTATTGACTGTTTTGTATTACTTAAAGTCTTGGTAAAAAAAGATTATGTCTATGGGTCCCATTCTGAACGGCCCTGTCAAAGGGACCCACCAGGTAACAAAAACGTGTGTGTGTGTGTGTGTGTGTGTGTGTGTGTGTGTGTGTGTGTGTGTGTGTGTGTGTGTGTGTGTGTGAAGCCACATGAACAAATACGAACACTGCCTGATTCTTCTTTGGAGTATTTAATAATGACCAGAAACCCTTAAACAAACAGGAAAATAATAATACTATAGTTTTAGATACCAGGGAGAGAGACCTGAGAGAGACCTGGGAGAGAGACCTGAGAGACCAGGGAGAGAGACCTGAGAGAGAGGGAGAGAGACCTGAGAGGGAGGGAGAGAGAGGGAGAGAGACCAGGGAGAGAGACCTGAGAGAGAGGGAGAGAGACCTGAGAGAGGGGTAGAGAGACCAGAGAGAGAGAAGCAGCGAGACAGTGCCACTCTTGTCCAGCAGAGGGAGGCACTCAATCTGTGATGAAATGGACGAAGGTGATCGGGAACACACCGCGGCGACTAGGGTCACTCTCGATGTGTCCAATCTGAAACATAAACACACGGTTACACACAGTCACACACAGTCACACACACACCGAGCTATGACTGCTGTAGTAGTTAATCACCACCGTGTTCTATTATATATTAGTGTATGTACAGGGTCAGAATGCACCTTCTCTAAACTTTTGAATGCACATGTCAAACTGTCAAATGTCCCTAACTTTATTTGAGGTGTGTGTTTTGCAAAATACCTTTCATACATCACATCTGTTAAGCCCACTATGAATATTTATAAATATACGCCCAACCATGTGTCCTGTATCATAGCTACATGTATGACGTTTACAGCAAAACCAATGTCTGAAAATCAGTTAAGTATTCAGCCAGTTATGATAGATTAAATGCGATGATACTTCACTGCTCTGCCGAACAGATAACAGTGAGAGGAGCGGGTGACCTGTCCAAGATGGCGGCCCCACGGCTCTGTGTATGTCTATGAGCTCAATACTAACCTGCTCCACTGTCACACTCACCAGTTTGTGCTTACTTCTGCATTAAAGCTAAAACTGTGGTGATGTCACAGGGTCTCCTCCCCCACTCACCCCCTCCTCCCCCACACTCACCCCCCACTCAGGGTCCTCCTCCCCCTCCACCACGATCACTTCCCCCTCGGTGAACGTGAGCTCGTCTGGATTATCGGCAAAACAGTTGTAGATGGCAACAACTCTCTGAGACTTCTGCTTCTGCACAAAAAGACCAGGAGTGAGACCAGGAAGAGACCATAGAGAGACCAGCGAGACCAGGAAGAGACCAGGGAGATCAAGAAGGGACCAGAAATACCAGGAAGAGACATTAGAGACCAGTAGTGAGACAAGAAAAAACAGTAAGAGACCAGGAGTGAGACCAGAGCGACACAGAAGAGATCAGAAAGATCAGGAAGAGACCAGGGAGAGACCATAGAGAGAGACTAGAGAGAGTGAACAGCTCGGTGTGACTCACAGAGAAGGTGCTCCGGGGTTTAGGTGTGGGTGGATTGGGACTTTTTGGCAACCTGGACTCTGGTCTAGACCCTTGTCTGGACCCTCGTCTCCCTGAGGGTCGGACAGGGGGCACGTCTGAGCTGAAGACACAGACTTGGATTTAGGTTTGGATTCTAGCACATAAACATTCATCCTTTTTCTTCTGCTTTATTCTTTGCCATGTCACAGGGGCAGCAGTCTGAGCAGAGACCTCCCTGTCCTGTGGAAGACCTCCTGTGTGATCCCGGTTCCTAAAACCGCGCAGGCCAAGGAACCTGCTCACTACAGACCAGTCGCACTGACCTCCCACCTGATGAAGACCATGGAGCGGCTCATCCTCACCCATCTCTGCTCCGTGGTCAGCCCCACCCTGGACCCGCTGCAGTTCGCCTACAGGCCCAACATCGGAGCAGAGGACGCCTTCACCTACTTCCTGCAGCGGACGCTCTCCCACCTGGAGCCCGCCGGGAGCGCTGTGAGGGTCATGTTTTTTGACTTCTCCAGTGCTTTCAATACCATCAGACCTCACTGCTGCAGGGGAAGATGGAGGACGCGGGAGTGGACAGTAGCCTCACTGCATGGACCATCAACTACCTCTCAGAGCGACCACAGTACGTGCTGCGCAGCTGTGAGTCTGAGGTGGTCGTCTGCAGCACTGGGGCCCCTCAGGGCACTGTCCTCTCACCGTTTCTCTTCACCATCTACACCTCAGACTTCACACACGACACACACAGCTGTCACCTGCAGAAGTTCTCCGACGACTCCGCCATCGTGGGCTGTGTGTCTGAGGGGAACCAACTGGAATATCAGTCGGTTATCACAGACTTTGTCGACTGGTGTGAGCGCAACCACTTGAGCTTTAACACCAGTAAGACTAAGGAGATGGTACCTGTGCTAACACCAGTAAGACCAAGGTGATGGTACCTGTGCTAACACCAGTAAGACCAAGGAGATGGTACCTGTGCTAACACCAGTAAGACCAAGGAGATGGTACCTGTGCTAACACCAGTAAGACCAAGGAGATGATACCTGTGCTAACACCAGTAAGACCAAGGAGATGGTACCTGTGCTAACACCAGTAAGACCAAGGTGATGGTACCTGTGCTAACACCAGTAAGACCAAGGAGATGGTACCTGTGCTAACACCAGTAAGACCAAGGAGATGGTACCTGTGCTAACACCAGTAAGACCAAGGTGATGGTACCTGTGCTAACACCAGTAAGACCAAGGAGATGGTACCTGTGCTAACACCAGTAAGACCAAGGTGATGGTACCTGTGCTAACACCAGTAAGACCAAGGAGATGGTACCTGTGCTAACACCAGTAAGACCAAGGAGATGGTGTCTGTGCTAACACCAGTAAGACCAAGGTGATGGTACCTGTGCTAACACCAGTAAGACCAAGGAGATGGTACCTGTGCTAACACCAGTAAGACCAAGGTGATGGTACCTGTGCTAACACCAGTAAGACCAAGGTGATGGTACCTGTGCTAACACCAGTAAGACCAAGGAGATGGTACCTGTGCTAACACCAGTAAGACCAAGGAGATGGTACCTGTGCTAACACCAGTAAGACCAAGGAGATGGTACCTGTGCTAACACCAGTAAGACCAAGGAGATGGTACCTGTGCTAACACCAGTAAGACCAAGGAGATGGTACCTGTGCTAACACCAGTAAGACCAAGGAGATGGTGTCTGTGCTAACACCAGTAAGACCAAGGTGATGGTACCTGTGCTAACACCAGTAAGACCAAGGAGATGGTACCTGTGCTAACACCAGTAAGACCAAGGCGATGGTACCTGTGCTAACACCAGTAAGACCAAGGTGATGGTACCTGTGCTAACACCAGTAAGACCAAGGAGATGGTACCTGTGCTAACACCAGTAATACCAAGGAGATGGTACCTGTGCTAACACCAGTAAGACCAAGGAGATGGTACCTGTGCTAACACCAGTAAGACCAAGGTGATGGTACCTGTGCTAACACCAGTAAGACCAAGGAGATGGTACCTGTGCTAACACCAGTAAGACCAAGGTGATGGTACCTGTGCTAACACCAGTAAGACCAAGGTGATGGTACCTGTGCTAACACCAGTAAGACCAAGGAGATGGTACCTGTGCTAACACCAGTAAGACCAAGGAGATGGTACCTGTGCTAACACCAGTAAGACCAAGGAGATGGTACCTGTGCTAACACCAGTAAGACCAAGGAGATGGTACCTGTGCTAACACCAGTAAGACCAAGGTGATGGTACCTGTGCTAACACCAGTAAGACCAAGGAGATGGTACCTGTGCTAACACCAGTAAGACCAAGGAGATGGTACCTGTGCTAACACCAGTAAGACCAAGGTGATGGTACCTGTGCTAACACCAGTAAGACCAAGGAGATGGTACCTGTGCTAACACCAGTAAGACCAAGGTGATGGTACCTGTGCTAACACCAGTAAGACCAAGGTGATGGTACCTGTGCTAACACCAGTAAGACCAAGGAGATGGTACCTGTGCTAACACCAGTAAGACCAAGGTGATGGTACCTGTGCTAACACCAGTAAGACCAAGGAGATGGTACCTGTGCTAACACCAGTAAGACCAAGGTGATGGTACCTGTGCTAACACCAGTAAGACCAAGGAGATGGTACCTGTGCTAACACCAGTAAGACCAAGGTGATGGTACCTGTGCTAACACCAGTAAGACCAAGGTGATGGTACCTGTGCTAACACCAGTAAGACCAAGGAGATGGTACCTGTGCTAACACCAGTAAGACCAAGGAGATGGTACCTGTGCTAACACCAGTAAGACCAAGGTGATGGTACCTGTGCTAACACCAGTAAGACCAAGGAGATGGTACCTGTGCTAACACCAGTAAGACCAAGGAGATGGTACCTGTGCTAACACCAGTAAGACCAAGGAGATGGTACCTGTGCTAACACCAGTAAGACCAAGGAGATGGTGTCTGTGCTAACACCAGTAAGACCAAGGTGATGGTACCTGTGCTAACACCAGTAAGACCAAGGAGATGGTACCTGTGCTAACACCAGTAAGACTAAGGTGATGGTACCTGTGCTAACACCAGTAAGACCAAGGTGATGGTACCTGTGCTAACACCAGTAAGACTAAGGTGATGGTTATCGACTTCAGGAGAAAACCACTTTCTCACACGCTGCTGAACATCCAGGGTTAGACTAAGGGTGAGTTGGAGTCAGGGGGAGTTAAGCGTCAGGGTGAGTTAGAGTCCACTATAGTCACTTTTGATTGTATTGTACATGTATACATATGTTGCACAAAAACTATATTTAACTTTTTAACATGTCGCACATTTCTGATGTACATTTTCACATGTACATCTCTACATTGTGAGATCAATAAAGTCTATCTTATCTTAAAGCTGCACTAACTGACTTTGGGATTTTGAAGCCGCGGACTCGCTGGCCTCTCTCTTTCTGCTCCCCGCACCCACGAAGCTATCGCCCCCCACACACACTCACTGCTAGCATCTCCCAATATGGATAATACATGGATATGGATGTGCACGTGGATGGCGTGACCATAGAACGATAGAACCGGAAAGCGCGGAGGAATGAGACTTTCTTTTGGATGGCTGTTTCGCTGTGTAAGCAGTAACCGGTGACGAAGACGAGAAAGTTTCAGGTTAGCTCCGCCGCTTTTTGTGCTAACTAAGCCGTCTATGCTAACGGACCTGTAGATTTCTCACGAAAGTGGGGGCTAGTGGTCCGCTGTGATTGGTCACAATCTGAGAACCGAAACACGTTCTCTTCCTTGTTTCATCAAAACTCGATCTAAAATATAATGTTACGCCAGCACAAACCTGCGCTACTTTTTCTTCAAAAGGACGTACATCCCAATGCACTGCATGGACATGGATAGCATTGTCGTAATGAATACGAAAATAAAGTCAGTTAGTGCAGCTTTAACCCTAACCCATGACAACAGCAGGTCTCACCTCCTCCGGGGCGGAGACTTGGGTCTGGATTTCCCCTGGTGACTCGGGACGGGAGGGGGCGGAGCCTGTGCAGGAGGGGGTGGCGCCTTTGCAGGAGGGGGTGGAGCCTTTGCAGGAGGGGGCGGGGCATGTGCAGGAGGGGGTGTAGTCTTGAAGTGTGGTGGCGGAGGGGGGAGGGGCATGTTCTTGGCTGATTTAAACGCAGGAAGAGGAGGCGGAGCCACCGGGAGTACTGTGGAGAGAGACACATGAGGAAGTGCCCCAGGGCACCTGTGGCTGCTGCGGACACAGGAAGTGCCCCAGGGCAGCTGCTGCGGACACAGGAAGTCCTTACCATACATGGAGCTGTTCCTGTCCGGAGGACAGGGCTCGTTAGGGTCCGACAATGAGCGCTGTCGGCCCGATGTCTCCATGGAAACAGGACGAGGACCTGGAAACAGAAGGATTCATCTCTAATATAAGACCAGAGAGAGACTGAAGAAAGAGTCCAGAGACATCAGAGAGAGACCGGAGAAACAGTCCAGAGAGAGACCAGAGTGAGACCAGAGGGAGAAACTAGAGAGAGACCAGAGAGAAAGACCAGACAGAGACCAGAAAGAGACCAGTGAGACCACAGCCCCTGTTGCTCTGGGTGTTGTCCTACCTCTGGGGGGCGCTCTTGGGGGCAGGGCTGGGGTGTCCCTAAGGTCCATCATGGTGCCGTACGTCTCATTGCTGATCATCACACTGGCCACCGGGGGGCGCTGCCGCTCTCTGGCCAGCAAGGCGGCATCCCGGGCCAGCAGCGAGAGGTGAGACGGGTGAGAGGAACCAGGAACCATGCAGCTGACTGGGCGCTCAGGCCGCTCTGAGGGAGGGTCCTCTCTGCGCACAGGGATGGGCTGAGGAGCAGAGGAGGACCAGACCCATGAGGACCAGAACCACGAGAACCAGACCCACAAAGACAAGACCCATGAGGACCTCTGTGGTCATAGGTCCTAAGCTTCTTCTGGTGGAAATGTACTTTTTGCTCAATGGTCACTGGTTGCCTCTGTATGGTTCTCATGTGTTGTCTCTGTATGGTTCTCATGTGTTGTCTCTGTATGGTTCTCATGTGTTGTCTCTGTATGGTTCTCATTGGTTGCCTCTGTATGGTTCTCATGTGTTGTCTCTGTATGGTTCTCATGTGTTGTCTCTGTATGGTTCTCATGTGTTGTCTCTGTATGGTTCTCATGTGTTGTCTCTGTATGGTTCTCATTGTGTTAGTATTAGATAGCAATATGGCCTACGTGCAGGACTCTACAAGGACTCTTTCGATGTGTGACGTGACAATGACTATATAAACTGTGTACTGCCTCCATTCTGTCTGAGAGAAAGAAGCAAGGGAAAAGTACTGGCTTCTGCACATTGATAGAATGATGAGTTTAACTTTAACAAAAGTTGCTTCATGTGTTGTCTCTGTATGGTTCTCATGTGTTGTCTCTGTATGGTTCTCATGTGTTGTCTCTGTATGGTTCTCATGTGTTGTCTCTGTATGGTTCTCATGTGTCACCAAGGTTACCTTGTCCTCCAGCTCATCCTCGCTCTCGTCCAGATCCTCGTTCTGCAGACGCCACTCGTACTCGACGTGAACGTGAACGTTAAACTTGCCACTCTGCACCTGCAGCAGCTGCACACATGATTATATATACAGTATTATAAATACTTATACATACTTATATATACACGTATATACATGTATATAAACCTATTTATACTTATACATACTTATGAACACTATTTTATTCACGCATATTTATACATACGTATGTATACAAATAAACTATAAATAAGTGCTTATAAGAATATATACAGTATGTACATACAGTATACAGTGGATCGGAATGTATTCACCGTTATTCACTTTTTCCACATTTTGTTATGTTGCAGCCTTATTCCAAAATGGATTCAATTCATTTTTGTCCTCACAATTCTACACACAAAACCTCATAATGACAACATGAAAAAAGTTTTTTTGAGATTCTTGCAAATTTATTAAAAAATAAAATAACTAAGAAACCACATGTATTCACAGCCTTTGCCGTGAAGCTCAAAATTGAGCCCAGGTGCATCCTGTTTGCACGGTTCATCCTTGAGATGCTTCTACTGCTTCATTGGAGTCCACCTGTGGTAAATTCAGTGTGTGTCTTTCCAAATTTGACTTGATTTGGAAAGGCACACACCTGTATACTGTATATAAGCTCCCACAGTTGACAGTGCATGTCAGAGCACAAACCAAGCATGAAGTCAAAGGAGATGTCTGCAGACCTCCGAAACAGGATTGTCTCGAGGCACAAGTCTGGGGAAGGGTACAGAAAAATGTCTGCTGCTTTGAAAATCCCAATGATCACAGTGGCCTCCATCATCCGTAAATGGAAGAAGTTTGGAACCACCAGGACTCTTCCTAGAGCTGGCCGGCCTCTCAACTGAGCGATCGGGGGAGAAGGGCCTTAGTCAGGGAGGTGACTAAGAACTCGATGGTCACTTTGTCAGAGCTCCAGCGTTCCTCTGTGGAGAGAGGAGAACCTTCCAGAAGGACAACCATTTCTGCAGCAATCCACAAATCAGGCATGTATGGTAGAGTGGCCAGACGGAAGCCGTTCCTTAGTTTGGAGTTTGCCAAAAGGCTCCTGAAGGACTCTCAGACCATGAGTAAAAGAATTCTCTGGTCTGATGAGACAAAGATTGAACTCTTTGGCGTGAATTCCAGGCGTCATGTTTGGAGGAAACCAGGCACTGCTCATCACCAAGCCAATACCATCCCTACAGTGAAGCATGGTGGTGGTAGCATCATGCTGTGGGGATGTTTTTCAGTGGCAGGAACTGGGAGACTAGAGGGAAAGATGAATGCAGCAATGTACAGAGACATCCTGCATGAAAACCTGCTCCAGAGCTTTTGACCTCAGACTGGGGCGACGGTTCATCTTTCAGCAGGATAACGACCCTAAGCACAGCCAAGATAACAGAGAAGTGGCTTCAGGACAACTCTGTGAATGTCAGTGAGTGGCCCAGCCAGAGCCCAGACTTGAATCCAATTGAACATCTCTGGAGAGATCTGAAAATGGCTGTGCACCGACACTCCCCGTCCAACTTGATGGAGCTTGAGAGGTGCTGCACAGAGGAAAAGACAGGTGTGCCAAGCTTGTGGCATCATAGTCAAAAAGACTTGAGGCTGTAATTGCTGCCAAAGGTGCATCAACAAAGTATTAAGCAAAGCTGTGAACACTTATGTACATGTGCTTTCTTAGTTTTTTATTTTTAATAAATTTGCGAGAATCTCTCAACTTTTTTTATGTTGTCATTATGGGGTGTTGTGTGTAGAACTGTGAGGAAAAAAATGAATTGATTCAATTTTGGAATAAGGCTGTAACATAACAAAATGTGGAAAAAGTGTGGTGCTGTGAATACTCTCCGGATGTACTGTATACTATACAGTCTATACTTTCAGTAAATATTGGATGTGTTCTTCCCGTGTTACTTGAATTTGATTTTGAATGTTAATATATGTTTGTGCATGTTTTGCAAAGATGTGTGAAGCACTTTACAAATTAAAAGCTGCTATTTTGATCTAGACCAGGGGTCGGCAACCCGCGGCTCCGGAGCCGCATGCGGCTCTTGAGTGCTGCTGGAGTGGCTCCTGGAGCCTTTTCAAAAATGTCTGAAAATGGAGTGTGAGGGCTATATTTTATTTCTAGTTTGAATGTGGTTTCTGTAGAAGGAAAAACAATCTTTACGTTTTTAAATGCTGTAAAAATATGTATAAGTAATATCTAATTTCAACATTTCTGTCAACGTAGTGCGTCATATCCTATGACGCGCGGTCACGCGGTCACGCGGCCCCGCCCCATGCGGCCGCTGCTGTAAACAAACCGGCGTGTGTGCATCATAGACTGTAAGTGCACATGGATCCCAAAGCTAAAACGAAAAAGAGTCGATAACAAGACTGGACTAAGAATGAGAATGAACATTTTCTTTCAGTCAATGAGGAAGGACTGCTTCATGTTTGTAATGAAAAGTTTTGTTGCAACACGAGGAACAATGACGCGCAAAACACCGTACACGGTGATTACGTGAAGGATTCATTCATCAAAAATTCAGAGCACCTATTTTCAGACTTCAAAACCTTCTCAAAGACGGTGAAAGAAAAGGCCATTAAGGATTTTAATTCAGCTCCAGCAAACTTCAGCCTGTGACGTGATGGATATGAGCAGACATTGATGCAGGTATGTGACCTCTGAGCCCAAAGCAGATTTATTTACTGTATTTCTACAATTGCATGAAGGCAAAAAAATGGAAGTTAAACGCTGCAGTGAAAATACACATTTTATAATCATGAATGATTATTATGTATTTGTAGCCTTTACTTTGTCATTTAGATATTAGGCTAATATAGCTAATACATCTTGCAGCCTGTGTTAACTTCATAAAAGCCTTATACAAGGCTGTTATTTTTTTGCGGCTCCAGACAGATGTTGTTTTTAGTTTTTTTGTCAATTATGGCTCTTTGATCATTTTGGGTTCCCGACCCCTGATCTAGACTGTCTGTATCTATAGATGCCCTGGAGAGCAAAACATGGCAGTTTTTCCCCATAGTGACCCACTGCAGCACTCATCTCTCTTGAACTTTAGAAGTGAATGAGTAAATGAATCAATGACTGAATGAATGAAAGAATCTAAATATCTCAGCGGTGGCTCATCATTAACCGGGTGAAGCGTCTGTGGAATCTTCTTGTGAATGTGATGGAGCGATCTCTGTGAGAGAGAAAGGATGTGCAAGCTTTTGGTGTTCGTGATTTCACAGAGAAACTCTGGATCCAAAACGTCTGAATGGGCGCACCACATTTGAAGAGTTTTGTGGTGGGACCTCTGTGGCACCCTCTGCGCACTGCCCAAAGAGCCACTGCTCAAAGAGCCACTGCCCAAAGAGCCACTGCCCAAAGAGCCACTGCCCAAAGAGCCACTGCTCAAAGAGCCACTGCCCAAAGAGCCACTGCCCAAAGAGCCACTGCCCAAAGAGCCACTGCCCAAAGAGCCACTGCCCAAAGAGCCACTGGCCGTGAGCCTGTTCCTGCAGAGAAGCGCGCTGCCATGCTCTCTCTGCTACATGCGGACAGGGCAGTGGCTGAGACAGATTTGAGTGACACCATCGGTGCGTTTATGGAGCTTTATGCACAAAACTAATGAAAAATGCATTGCTTTGAATGAGGCAAAACAAATAGCCATGAGTATTTACGCAGTGCAGGGCGGGTCACACATTAAGTAAGTAAGTCAAGGGTATTTGTATAGCGCCTTTCACAGACCAGGATCACAAAGCGCTTCACATTTTAAAAAAACTTTAAAAACGAAGAAACAGAAGAGGGTCCTCATCATGATCTGTGATTTATTCAAAGTTTGCGTGTTTCCATTAGAGTTTTTCTGATGCGCAAATTCAAATTTCCAAATGTGATGTTCAATGAAAACGCAGCTTATAATTTTGCCAGAGTGGGAATATGTTTATTGTTGTCCAAATCTCAATTTCATCCGTGTTTTTGGCGTGTTGTAATGAAGATTGACATAAGCGAACACAATTACACCACCTCCTGACCTGGTGTATATTTTGTGCGTAGCTTACGCTCACGTCCAGATTGATAAATGCCAAAAAGTGTAAATATTTTGCGTACGCCTCATTTACACCATGATTTGGCCGGACACAAGTTTCATAAATGAGGGCCATTGTGACAATATGGCTATCGGGAGTTGGGAAAAGAATATCAACAAATATTTATTTTTGCCCATATCGCCCACCCCTACTTATATATTATATTATAATGTACTTATGTATACTTATGTATACTTATATGTACACTTGTACATGTATACTCTAGGGCTAGGTTTAGGACTACTGGTTAGGACCAGGACCAGGACCAGGACCAGGTCTTGAACTAGGATCAGTACCAGGACCAGAAGAGTGCAGTTACCAGTTCTTCACACTGTGAGTGTCTAAGACGTCGAGCCAAATCCAGAGGAGATTCTCCTGCAGCGTTCACTGAGGAAAAGAACCAGAAGTACTGTAGTAGTAGTAGAAGTAGTATTTATAGTAGCAGTAGTACTCACAGATTGTCCCTGATGCCCTCCCTCGCAGCAGTAGTTTCAGACACTCACTGTTGTCGGTCAAACAGCAGTAATGCAGAGCTGTGGAGCCCAGGGCTGTCTGTTTGTTCAGGTCTGGGCTGAAACCAGGTTGAGACTAGGTGAGACCAAAGAACAGAGACCAGGGACCAGAGACAGAGACCAGAGACAGCTCTCAGAGAGAGTGAGCACATAGAGATCACAGACAGAGAGACCAAAGCAAGACCAGCGAGAGAGACCAGAAAGAGACCAGACAGAGACCAGACAGAGATCACAGAGAGGCCATATACATAACCTATCTGCAGCCTCCAATCCTTCAGTCCATATAGTTCTCACCTGTTCTGAGCCAAGAAGTCGACAATGTGCAGAGAGTTCCTGTCGACCATCCGCACAGCAAGGTGAAGGACTGTCTCCCCAGGCTCCTACAAGGCACACACTGTACATGTGGGAACCAACACATACACACTGTACTAGTGAGGACCAACACACTCTGATCTCTCTGGTCCCTGGTCTCGGTCTTACATGCTCGTTGGGTTGTGGAACGACCTCTGTGAGATCCACCCCCTCAGCGTAGACCTGGATCAGTCCCAGGATGTCTCTGGTCGTCACGGCAATGTAGAGCTGCTGCTGCCTCCTGCTGGCGTCATGGTGGATGTGCTGCACAAATTTCCGCTCCACGTACTTTGCTGTGATGAAGTCTTTACGAGCCTGCCTGAAGAACACACGTTTACCCTCCATGTAGGAACCAACACACAATGTACTACTGTCCATGTGGGGAGCAACACACACACACACACTTACTGTACTACTGTACATGTGGGGACCAACACACACTATCGTACTGTCCATGTGAGGAGCAACACACACACATACACACACAAACTGTACTACTGTACATGTGGGGACCAGCACACACTGTATTACTGTTCATGTGGGGAGCAATACACACACACTGTACTACTGTTCATGTGGAAACCAACACACACTGTCGTACTGTCCATGTGAGGAGCAACACACAGACATGCACACAAACACACACACACACTGTACTACCGTACATGTGGGGACCAACCCGCACACTGAACAGTAGTTCAGTGGACACCAAAACACACACTGTACTACTGTACAGTAGGCCAACACTGTGTTCTGTATGACTACTCTATTGGGATTAAACTAATGTGTGTGTATGTCAACACTTCTCCGTGATAATCCACTCCTCACATGTCACTGGAAGAGTCCGGTTTGGTCGCGCCCTGAGCCTCCACCTCGGCCTCCATGATGTCATTAAAGCTGGAGTTCCCCACGTTTTTGGCCAACTGTAAAATACAACACACAATGGAATGGAACGGAACCCATACAACACACATCATTAGAGAGGGTTTGCCGACATCCTGCTCGACTTAGGTGCTCACATACCAGCAGCTCGGATGTCCCCAGAAGGTCCAGGTCCAGACTCTGGATCCTGGAGAAGTGGACTCCCATCTCTCTGTGGATCCCAGAACACTCAATACATATGAGGACCCCCAGGTTAGTGCTGAGCCAAGAGGGATCTGCGGAGAGACCGGGGTGAGACCGGGGTGAGACCAGGAAGAGACCATGACGAGACCATGACAAGACCAGGACAAGACCAGACCAAGCATTTGGGCAAATAATGGGTTCTAAAAAATACAGTTATTGTGTGTGGGAGGGGCTAGGTGAAGGGGACCCGTCTCAATCTCATTCTCAGCCTCATTCTACCTGGCTTCCCGCAGTCGCAGCAGCGGTCATTCCCACCCAGACGCCTCACTTCCTGGACGATGGCCCGTGTCAGCTCCTGCAAGATGTTGTTCTCCTCGTTGTCGTCGTCGTCGCCTTTAAACGCTTTGTTCAACGCCTCCTCCTTAGTGTTCTGCAGCACGGAGATCCATCTGAGGATAGACAGGGTCAGGACCAGTTCTGGACCAGTTCTGGACCAAGACTGGACCAGGATTGGACCATGGTTGGACCAATGTGACAACCTCAAAAATCTTGCTCCAGAAAACTGTAACCCGAAATCTGGTCTCTTTCTAGTCTCTCTCTTTGGTCGGTCTCTCTTTGGTCGGTTTCTCTCTGGTCGGTCTCTCTCTGGCCTCTCTCTGGTCTCCCTTTGGAGACCTCCCTACATTTAAAGTTCCACTCACATCTGACACTCGGCCTCGTCCTCCGTCTGGAAGTGGTACGTTCTGTCATCTGAAATACAAACAGCAGAGGTTTGAACTCATAATGATTGATCCTCCTGACGCATGCTGTAGTCTCTCTCTCTGGTCCCTCTCTCTGGTCTCTCTCTCTCTGGTCTCTCTATCTGGTCTCTCTCTCTGGTTCCTCTCTGGTCTCTCTCTGGTCTCTCTCTCTGGTGTCTCTCTCTGGTCCCTCTCTGGTCTCTCTCGCTGGTCTCTCTCTGGTCTGTCTCTGGTCTGTCTCTGGTCTCTCTCTGGTCTCTCTCTGGTCTGTCTCTGGTCTCTCTCTGGTCTGTCTCTGGTCTGTCTCTGGTCTGTCTCTGGCCTTACGAGAGAAAAGGTCAAAGCTCTTCTTCTCTTCAGGGTTCCTCTTTACTTGACACGTGAGCAGATTCAATTTGGCCGGAGGTCGATTTGCCTGAAAGACAAAACACACAAAGACTGAGACAAACTGAGACCTGTTATAATGTCTCACTCTGGTCCCACTCTGGTGTCTCCCTCTGGTCTCCCTCTAGTGTCTCTCTCTGGTCTCTTTCTCTGGTCTCTCTCTCTGGTCTCTCTCTCTGGTCTCTCTCTCTGGTCTCTCTCTCTGGTCTCTCTCTCTGGTCTCACTCTGGTTAAAGGGGTGTTATAGTGGGGGACCACATACAGTATATGTATGTATATTTAAATAAAAAAATAAAAAAATTGTATTGAATTAAATTGAATTAAATCCCCCAAAGCATCTGTTCCTTCACCCTTTTCCTCGTCCTCCTTCTCCTTAAGCTCCGCCTCCTCTTTCGCCTGTGCCTCTGTGATTGGCCGCTTTCTGACTCCTCAATATACTTCAAAATAAAAGGAAAAAAAGGAAAAATAAATAAATGAAAAAAATAAACTAGAAATCACATGTGTGAGGAGGTAGGGCTTGTGTTTCTCTCTCTGGTCTCTCTCTCTGGTCCCTCTTTCTGGTCTCTCTCTCTGGTCTCTCTCTCTGGTCTCTCTCTGATCTCTCTCCCTGGTCTCTCTCTGATCTCTCTCTCTGGTCTCTTTCTCTGATCTCTCTCTCTGGTCTCTCTCTCTGATCTCTCTCTCTGGTCTCTCTATCTGGTCTCTCTCTCTGGTCTCTCTCTCTGGTCTCTCTCTGGTCCCTCTCTCTGGTCTCTCTATCTGGTCTCTCTATCTGGTCTCTCTGGTCTTTCTCTGGTCTCTCTCTCTGGTCTCTCTCTCTGATCTCTCTTTCTGGTCTCTCTCTCTGGTCTATCTTGCGGGTCTCTCTCTCTGATCCCTCTATCTGGTCTCTCTCTCTGGTCTCTCTCTGGACTCTCTCTGGACTCTCTCTCTGGTCTCTCTCTCTGGTCTCTCTCTCTGGTCTCTCTCTCTGGTTTCTCTCTCTGGTCTCTCTCTCTGGTCTCTCTCTGGTCTCTCTCTGGACTCTCTCTCTGGTCTCTCTCTGGACTCTCTCTCTGGTCTCTCTCTGGACTCTCTCTCTGGTCTCTCTCTCTGATCTCTCTCTCTGATCTCTCTCTGGACTCTCTCTGGTCTCTCTCTCTGATCTCTCTCTCTCTGATCTCTCTCTCTGGTCTCTCTCTCTGGTCTCTCTCTCTGATCTCTCTCTCATCTCTCTCTCTGGTTTCTCTCTCTCGAGTCTCTTTCTCTCGAGTCTCTCTCTCTGGTCTCACTCTCTGGTCCACTCTGGTGTGTGAGGGGGCGGGGCTTGTGGAGCACAGCGTTCTCTTACCGTTCCGTGATGGATCGTCAGGAAGCCATTTTTCACCGAACATTTTCTCTTCTGCCAAACTTTCCTCAGACTGAAACAGAGGAAGTGTGTCGGTGAGCACTTCTCCAGAGGTCAGGGTGGATTATCTCGGCTTGGGAGAAGTGTCACTCACCCTTCGCTCCTCTTGTACAGCACACCAGAATGCTCAGTACCATGGGCTTTGTTTCCCTGTAGCTGGTGCAGACTGTAACCAGAACTCTGCTTCTGCTGAGGGTCCTAAAACCAGAAAGACCAGAGAAAGACCAGAAAGACCAGAGGGAGACCAGAAAGACCAGAGAGAGAGACCAGAGAGAGACAAGAGAGCGAGACCAGAGAGAGAGACCAGAGGGAGAGACCAGAGAGGGACCAGAGAGGGACCAGAGAGAGACCAGAGAGAGACGAGATTTTAATCTTAGTTTGTTGCCAAATCATCTGGAACAATCCACATGAAATAAAAATGTCACGAGGATTATATCTTTATTTTCTCTCTTCTCTCCTCTCTTCTCTCACCTCTCCTCTCTTCTCTCTCACTCCTCTCCTCCCCTCTTCTCTCTCTCTCTCCTCTCCTCCCGTCTCTCTCTCCTCTCTTCTCTCTCTCTCCTCTCCTCCCCCCTCTCTCTCCTCTTGTCTCTCTCTCCTCTCTTCTCTCTCTCCCTTCTCATCTCTTTCCAGTCTTCCCTCTATCCCCTCTCTCCTCTAACTCCCCTCGCCTCACTCCCCTCTCCACCTGGGTCCTGGTCTGGGTCTGACCTCTCTGGTCTCGGCCTGTAGAGAGGTCTTGAGGAGGTCTCTGAGCTGCAGCAGCTGCTTCCGCTCTGTGTCCTGCGTCTGTTTGATCTGAAAAACAGAACCAGGTCTGAATCAGGACTGGACCAGGGACTGCACTAGGGACTGGACCAGGTCTGGACTCACTGTGCTCAAGTCTGTGACCAGTTTCTCCACTGAAGGTTTTAGAGTCTCCACAGCCTTCAGCCCATCCTGAAAGAAACTGAAGAACATTCAATCAGTGTTGTATTAGTATTAGTAATAGTAGGAGTAGTAGTAGAAGTAGTAGTAGTAGTAGTAGTAGCAACAGTAGCAGCAGCAGTAGCAGCAGTACTCACTTGTACTGTGCATGGAAGTACTTGATGAGGTTTTGTAGAAAGTCTACTCCTTTCTTCACTTTGATCTCGTTTACTTTTATCAGATACTGGAAACAGAAGAAGAAACTGTGTGTGTATCTGTCGTGTATCTGTATATATTGTATATATATATATATATATATATATATATATATATATATATATATATATATTTATATTTATATATCTGTTTTACTTTGTATTTTTGTTTAAGCATAGTTTTTGTTTGTACATTTGTCCATAGTATATTCATTTGTGTAACATTTATGAATGTATAGACCCAGGAAGAAGAGGTACTGTATATTTCAGTAGCTAAAGGGGATCAGAATAATAACACATTTTAGAGGTCTCAGGGTCTGATCCGAGTCTGCCCCTGACCTCTGACCCCTGTCCTCTGTCCCTTGTCCTCTGTCCCCTGACCTCTGACCCCTGTCCTCTATCCCCTTCCTCTGTCCCCTGACCTCTGACCTTTGACCCCTGTCCTCTGTCCCTGACCTCTGACCCCTGTCCTCTCTCCCCTGACCCTGACCTCTGTCCCCTGACCTCTGTCCCCTGACCTATGACCTCTGTACCCTGACCTCTGTACCCTGACCTCTGTCCCCTGACCTCTGTCCCCTGACCTATGACCTCTGTCCCCTGACCTCTGACATGCTCATCTGGAACAGCCTCCTCTCTCTCTCCATCTCCTCAGCGATCTCGCCTCCACTGAACTCTGTGCGGATCATTCCATGTTGTTTGGCGTGTTCTCGTTTCTCCTTCTCCAACTTTGACCTAAGACACACACACACACAGACACAAACACACACACACACACACACACACACACAAACACACACACACACAGACACAAACACACACACACACACAGACACAAACACACACACACACACACAGACACAAACACACACACACACAAACACAAACATACACACACACACACACAGACACAAACACACATGCACACAGACACAAACGCACACACGCACACAGACACAAACACACACACGCACACACAGACACACACACAAACACACACACACAGACAGACACAAACATACACACCCACACAAACACAAACACACACCACACACACACACACACACACACACAGACAGACACAAACATACACACACACACAAACACAAACATACACACACACAGACACAAACATACAGACACACACACACACACATACAGACACACAGACACAAACATACAGACACACACACACAAACACACACACACACACATACAGACACACAGACACAAACATACAGACACACACACACAAACACACACACATACACATACAGACACAGACACAAACATACAGACACACACACACAAACACACACAAACGCACACAAACACAAACATAAACACATTGTTCATTGGAGGCTGTTTCTATAGTATTGTTTTGGGGACAAGTAGAGTATACACCCAGCGGAGGGGGCGTGGTCAGTCTGAGGGGCGTGGTCAGCCTGAGAGGCGTGGTCTGTCTGAGAGGCGTGGTCAGTCTGAGGGGCGTGGTCTGTCTGAGAGGCGTGGTCAGTCTGAGGGGCGTGGCCTGTCACTCACAGTTTGGCCTCATAGTCCTTCCAGGATTTTTCAAACGGCTTCTTCAGATCCTGAGACAGAAGAAACTGATTTAAGTTTGTTACAAGCAGCAGTAGCATCAGCAAATTCAGTAGCATCAGCAGCAGTAGCATCAGCAGTAGCATCAGCAGTAGCATCAGCAGCAGCATCAGCGAATTCAGTAGCATCAGCAGCAGCAGCATCAGCAGTAGTAGCAGTAGCATCAGCAGCAGCATCAGCAGTAGTAGCAGTAGCATCAGCAGTAGCATCAGCAGAAGTAGCAGTAGCATCAGCAGTAGTAGCAGTAGCATCAGCAGTAGCATCAGCAGCAGCATCAGCAGTAGTAGCAGTAGCATCAACAGTAGCATCAGCAGTAGTAGCATCAGCAGTAGCATCAGCAGTAGCATCAGTTGCATCAGCAGTAGCATCAGTAGTAGCATCAGCAGTAGCATAAGCAGCAATATCAGCGGTAGTAGCAGTAGCATCAGCAGTAGTAGCAGTAGCATCAGCAGTAGCATCAGCAGTAGTAGCAGTAGCATCAGCAGTAGTAGCATCAGCAGTAGCATCAGCAGTAGCATCAACAGCAGCATCAGTAGTAGCATCAGTTGCATCAGCAGTAGCATCAGTTGCATCAGCAGTAGCATCAGTAGTAGCATCAGCAGTAGCATCAGTTGCATCAGCAGTAGCATCAGTAGTAGCATCAGCAGTAGCATCAGAGGTGGCATCCGTAGCATCAGCAGTAGCATCAGCAGTAGCATCAGCAGTAGTAGCAGTAGCATCAGCAGTAGCATCAGCAGTAGCAGCAGTCACTGACCCCTTTGACGCCCTTCAGGTCTCCCTTCAGCAGACTGTCCAGAGGAAACGTGATGATGTTGTTCATGTTCTGCATCTGGAACAGTTTAACCAGGGGTCAGAGGTCAGTACCAGGTTCTTGAGCAGGGGTCAGTACCAGGTTCTTGAGCAGAGGTCAGAGGTCAGTACCAGGTTCTTGAGCAGGGGTCAGAGGTCAGTGCCAGGTTCTTGAGCAGGGGTCAGTACCAGGTTCTTGAGCAGAGGTCAGAGGTCAGTACCAGGTTCTTGAGCAGGGGTCAGAGGTCAGTGCCAGGTTCTTGAGCAGAGGTCAGAGGTCAGTACCAGGTTCTTGAGCAGAGGTCAGAGGTCAGTGCCAGGGTCTTGAGCAGAGGTCAGAGGTCAGTACCAGGTTCTTGAGCAGAGGTCAGTACCAGGGTCTTGAGCAGAGGTCAGAGGTCAGTGCCAGGGTCTTGAGCAGAGGTCAGAGGTCAGTACCAGGTTCTTGAGCAGAGGTCAGAGGTCAGTACCAGGTTCTTGAGCAGAGGTCAGTACCAGGGTCTTGAGCAGAGGTCAGAGGTCAGTACCAGGGTCTTGAGCAGAGGTCAGAGGTCAGTACCAGGTTCTTGAGCAGAGGTCAGAGGTCAGTACCAGGTTCTTGAGCAGGGCAGTCAGTTCTCTGGTGAAAACACAGAACTGTTTGAACCCGGAGCCGACTTCAGCGTCGTCACAAACACAGTTTTCTCCAAACTTTTCCAGCGACGACACAAACTGCTCCTCGTTCTCCACATGAGCTGCAGGTTAGAGACCTTAGAGATGAGACCTTAGAGATGAGACCTTAGAGATGTGAGACCTTAGAGATGAGACCTTAGAGATGAGACCTTAGAGATGTGAGACCTTAGAGATGAGACCTTAGAGATGAGACCTGAGTGATGAGACCTTAGAGATGAGACCTGAGTGATGGGACCTTAGAGATGAGACCTTAGAGATGAGACCTTAGAGATGGGACCTTAGAGATGAGACCTTAGAGATGAGACCTTAGAGATGAGACCTTAGAGATGTGAGACCTTAGAGATGAGACCTTAGAGATGAGACCTTAGAGATGTGAGACCTTAGAGATGAGACCTGAATGATGGGATCTAAGAGATGAGACCTTAGAGATGAGACCTTAGAGATGGGACCTTAGAGATGGGACCTAAGAGATGAGACCTTAGAGATAAGACTTTAGAGATGAGACCTTAGAGATGAGACCTTAGAGATGAGACCTGAGTGATGGGATCTTAGAGATGGGACCTAAGAGATTAGACCTTAGAGATAAGACCTTAGAGATGAGACCTAAGAGATGAGACCTAAGAGATGAGACCTTAGAGATAAGACCTTAGAGATGAGACCTTAGACATGTGAGACCTAAAGCCTAGCGTACATCGACAGAGAAACTGGAGACAACTAGTTGCAAGGCGGCTTTTGGCAACTGAGGACTGAGAGGAGATGGTGGGAGATGATCAGTTGCCAAAATCGGTCGATGTGCGCGCTCTTACAACTGGAGATGAACAGTCGGTCTCCAGTTTCAGTCAGTTGCCCGTGTTCTACTTTTCGGCAACTAGTTGTCCTCAGGTTCGGAGATATGACCCGATGTGCGCGCTCCATGCGCCGCTCCGACAACGTGTGTGTGTATTGCGTGTGTTGCGAGCCCGCAACAGTTTATGTCAGAAAACACACTGTAGTTGAGGCCAGTTGCTGTCGATGTACGCGCTGTTATTCCCGAGACTGGTCTGCTACTGGGAGTTGCCCGTTTTTGTCAGATTGTCGATGTGTGCGGGGCAGCAACTCATATGCGACGGATATAATCAGTTGCCAGCCCGATGTACGCTAGGCTTTATAGACCTTTTCCACAGTAAGGGTACGGTAGGGCGTGGTTATTATGCATTTCATCAGAGTTTGCGTACTTTTTCGTACCACCTCCACTGTGGTTCCATCTGCGCCGTAACAATACATGACGTGACGCCGGCCGACTGCCTTACACTGATTGGTCAACGAGTGTCGTCACTGGAAACGACATCCGTCCCTTTGGTAAAAACAACTCAACTGCCATCTTTAAAACCGGCTGCTCTGCTCGGCTCTGCTTCGGCTACATTACGTCCTCCTCACTCCAGAGAAATGGAATCGCACAGAAAGCCCCAAAAGTCCTGGTCCTGGTCGGTGGAAGAGGTCCACACGTTCCTCTCTTCAGGCCAAAAGAAAGAATTCAAAGGCAGCTCGAGGCTCAACACAGTTTTCAGGGAGATCGCTCTTGATTTGTGACTAGTCTGTGGTAATCCTGGAAATAACTGGTTAGCTACGAATCCCGTTAAAGCTCCCACATTTACTCGTGTAAATGTTTGTTGTTCACAGTGAACTAGCTACATTTACAGTAGCTATCGATAGCAAGCTAAGCTAAAACGTCCTTCTTGCGCTAGTGTGCTTCATTTTGCTCTTTCTGTTTTGTACTTGTACTTAAGTTGTCGTGTGTATATTTATTTGTTTGAGAGCAATGAGTGACCGGAGTACTTAACTTTCCCCTCATCTGGACCTGTCTCAGACATACGTACTTTGGACTTTGTAAATTGTTGGTTTTGCACTTTACTTTTGTTTTTAATAAATGTGTGATTGTATCAAGACTTTGTTTCATTCATTTGTCTGTACACGTGAAGAAAAGGGGTTCAAAAGTTATGATTTCCTACCATTATACTTATGGTTTTTTACTACATACATTACATTTTTCAGTAAATCTGTATAACCGTGGTAAATTTATGAACAAGGATGGAGACATTTGGTAAATACAAAAAGGTTTTATTTTTGGTCATAATAAATGTTTAGGCACATGACAAAGCGACGCATCGGACCCTCCTCCTCTGCACCACTGCTAAAGCCGGTGTTTCCTAAGGTCTCAAAAATCACTGTTGGCGGCAGAGCGTTTAGCTCCAAGCTCCTTTACTGTGGAATCAGCTTCATTTATGTTAAGGAAGCAGATACGGTCTCCACATTCAAGGCCAGGCTTAAAGCACTCTACTTTAATTTAGCATATAATTAGGTAATATATAATATATGGTGTATATATTATATATATATGCTGTATTATGTTATATATTAGACAATATGTATTATGTTGTGTATTGTGTTATGTTGTATATTATGTTATATATGATGCTGTATGTTATGTTATGTATTATATATAATTATATATAATATGTATGGTACATGTGATATATATGGTTTGCACACCTGGTGTGCAATCCATGAATCTTGGTGCTGTAACCTAGCCTAGCCTAGCCGTGGCTGCTGCTGTCTCGCCTCCTTTCAGATACGCTCTCTTTATTCAAGGCTAGGTTTAAAACAGTCCTCTTTAGTTTAGCATATGGCTAGGAAGGTAAGACTCAGGGAAGGCTAAACTCCTCAGACTGTCAGTCACGCTGCATAGGGAGCCCCCTGCTGGAGAAGTATGGTAACTTGAGCACTATCCTCTCCACCTTCCTGCTTCATCTGTTTAGCATTATTAGGATTTTCCCACCTCTACACCTTCTCCACCGACTCCCACTGATGACTGATGTCGTTGTGTCCTTGGGCAAGACACTTAACCCCACTTTGCCCAAAGCCCCCGCTGAAAGATCAAGGCTATGCTCACACTCAGAGAGCAGCCGTCCTCCTGTGGACTCACCACCTGCAGAGGGTCAGTGAGGGGCTGGTGCTATGAGACTTGGGTGGCATCTCTGATTGCCACCCCCCTGACCCAGAAATGGATTAAAGGGTAGAAAATGGATGGATGGATGGATTTTGACTGTAGTTTGTTCATTGCTATTCACCCGTTGTCCCATTGTCTGTTTCATGGTACGATGACGGGATCTCTGAGCCTGGCCTCCTTCATCTACACCTGCGGACTGCCCCGCCCGACCCGCCTGGGAGTGCTTCAGTCCTGCACCGGACCTGTCCACGTTCAGCGTCCACTGGTCCACGTTCTGTAGCTAGCTTAGGTCCTAGATCATTAGCCTGTCCGTCCGGAGGAGCGGATCCCTTTCTCAAATGGGTCTCCCTCCCTGTGGGTTTCCCTATTTCTCCCCAAGGTTTCTCACTTTTTCCCACTGGGTTTTTTAAGAGTTGTTCCTTGTCGATGCAGGAGGGTCTTGTTGGACAGTTAGTGTCCAACAGAAAGGATTGGTGATGATCAGGACACTTTAACATTCTACAACATGTATGGACATTTTCTTCTGTGTGTGCTTTATATTCTTCATGTGTTTTAACTGTTGATTCTCTGACCTGTGTTGGTGATTTCAATGGTTTTGTTAAGTCCTCTGAGATGACTACTGTTGTGACCTAGGGCTATACGAGAATAAATTGTATTGTATTGTATTGTAAAGGCTGCTGTTGCTACAGGTGTGTCCCATTCTGTCACAGGTCTCTTCGTGGTTTTCACAGATTGTGCAGAGCGGGTCCGAGTCATGCCTTTAAGACTTGCCAAAATCATTTTCAACAACCACTCACGCTGTGCTGAATTTTCTATTACACACTTGCTGTTAGTTTGTCACTCTGTGTCCTGAAAAGGTTTTAGGAGCCAGTTCTGCAGGAGGTGGGCAGAGTCCCCTCGGAGGTAATAACCAGCTGTCACCGATATTATACTAATTCCATGCACCGCACCAATGTTACTGGTTACGCGTCGCACGTAAATGACGTGGTCTGGCAACGCTGAGGAGACACTAGGAAGTACTATTTTTGATGGAAAAGCACGCAAACTCGGCTGTGCCGTAACGTGTCGTGTCGTACCGTACCGTACTGTTACTGTGGAAAAGCAGCATTAGAGATAAGACCTTAGGGATAGGAGACTATACTAAAATGACATTCCCATAGCAGGTCTAAAGCAGGTCTAAAGCAGGACTAAAGCAGGACTAAAGCAGGACTAAAGCAGGACTAAAGCAGGACTAAAGCAGGACTAAAGTAGGACCAAAGCGGGTCTAAAGCGGGTCTAAAGCAGGAATAAAGCAGGACTAAAGCGGGTCTAAAGCAGGAATAAAGCAGGTTTAAAGCAGGACTAAAGCAGGACTAAAGCAGGACTAGACCAAGTCTAAAGCAGGACAAAAGCAGGACTGAAGCGGGTCTAAAGCAGGACTGAAGCAGGTCTAAAGCTCCTCTCTACATGCTAGGACATGAGTAGAATGAGAGGAATGTGTCTCTGCTCCTCAGACCTGCAGCTGTGTTTAGCCCCATCCCTTCTGTCTCCATGCTCTGGTTTAAACATTGTGATGTTTAAGTTCCTGAAGCTGCAGTTACGTGTGGGTCCGGGTCTGGTCCTGGTGTTGGTCCTGGTGTTGGTCCTGGTCTCGGTCCTGGTCTCGGTCCTGGTCTCGGTCCTGGTCTCTGTCCTGGTCTCGGTCCTGGTCTCAGTTCTGGTCCTGGTCTGTGGACTCACTCAGGCCCGAGGCGTTCATGGCTTTCACAGACTTCTTGATCTTGGAGAGAACAGTCCGGTCCAAGTCCAGGGCCTGAGGAAAGAGGGACAGGTCTGAATCAGGTCTGAATCAGGTCTGCCCCAGGACTGAGGAGATGGAGGAGGAGATGGAGGAGGAGGTGGAGGAGGTGAGCTGTGTCCTGCTGATGAAAGCTGAGGAGGAGAGGCCTGATGGTGCATGAACACTGCATCATGGATGTGTCTTGGTCTTCGTGCTGTGCTTGTGACCACTTTGCTGCTCTCTGATTGGTCGCCGAGTGAGCGTCCGGCAAAAAAAATCTGCTGCGTCGAGTCGCCTCTGCCGCGTACTACGTTTACACTGATACTAGTACTCCTACTACTGCTACTACTACCACTGCTGCTATACTACTACTACTACTACTCCTACTACTACTACCACTGCTGCTATACTACTACTACTACTACTCCTACTACTACTACCACTGCTGCTATACTACTACTACTACTACTCCTACTACTACTACCACTGCTGCTATACTACTACTACTACTACTCCTACTACTACTACCACTGCTGCTATACTACTACTACTACTACTCCTACTACTACTACCACTGCTGCTATACTACTACTACTACTCCTAATCCTACTACTGCCACTACTACCACTGCTGCTATACTACTACTACTACTACTACTACTACTGCTACTACTACGACAACTACTACAACTACTACTACTACTATGACTACTACTACTACTACTATGACTACTACTACTACTACTACTACTACTACTACAACTACTGCTACTGCTAATGCTGCTACTTTTGTTGCGGCTGCTGCTACTTCTCTTGTCAGTATCCTGTTTTGATCTTGTGAAACATTGGACACAGTTTGTAAAAAGGAAGTGATTGAGTCACAACAAACTGGAAATCTGAAGAAAACACTCAGACAACTCTAAACAGCTCTAATGTCAGCTTCAGGCTCAGCTCTAAGGTCATCTCTAATGTCAGCTTCAGGCTCAGCTCTAATGTCAGCTCTAATGTCAGCTCTAATGTCAGCTTCAGGCTCAGCTCTAATGTCAGCTTCAGGCTCAGCTCTAATGTCAGTTTCAGGCTCAGCTCTAATGTCAGCTTCAGGCTCAGCTCTAATGTCAGCTCTAATGTCATCTCTAATGTCAGCTTCAGGCTCAGCTCTAATGTCAGCTCTAATGTCATCTCTAATGTCAGCTTCAGGCTCAGCTCTAATGTCAGCTCTAATGTCATCTCTAATATTAGCTTCAGGCTCAGCTCTAATGTCAGCTCTAATGTCAACTTCAGGCTCAGCTCTAATGTCAGCTCTAATGTCAGCTTCAGGCTCAGCTCTAATGTCAGCATCAGGCTCAGCTCTAATGTCAGCTCTAATGTCATCTCTAATGTCAGCTTCAGGCTCAGCTCTAATGTCAGCTCTAATGTCAGCTTCAGGCTCAGCTCTAATGTCAGCTCGAAGGCAGGCTCACCTCCTCTAAGCTGCTCACTGTGTTCCTGCAGTGGTTGATCCTGGTGCAGAAGGAGGAGGTGGTGGGCGCTTTATAGTCCTCTGTGGTCTCACGCACAAACTCTGGTACACTGATGAGCTCAGGCATGGTGAGACCAAGTGGGGCCAGGCGAGACCAGGTGAGACTGGAGACCAGAGAGAGATACAAGAAAGAGAGACCAGAGAGAGAGACCAGAGAGAGAGACCAGAAAGAGACCAGAGAGAGATCAGAGAGAGACCAGAGAGAGACCAGAGAGAGACCAGAGAGAGACCAGAGAGAGACCAGAGAGAGAGACCAGAGAGAGATCAGAGAGAGACCAGAGAGAGACCAGAGAGAGACCAGAGAGAGACCAGAGAGAGACCAGAGAGAGACTGGCTTTAGGTTCAGACAAGGGATTGTCTGAGTCGGCACAAACAAATCCTCAGGCTGCAGAAAAATAAATAAATGTTTTCACATTTTCAGACTGAAACCATCAAACACATGCCCCCTCCCTTTCTGTGTGGACCCTCTAGTCTTAAACTCGTTAAACTCATGAATAAAGTCAGTGTTTATTAAACTTATTAGAAATTACACTTAAACTGAACTATAAGAAATTAAAAAGTGAGACTCAAAGAACTAACTGGATTTACTGAGAGGAACGTCTAGGGTCTGGACCAGACCTGGAACAACTAAACCAGGACTAAAGCAGGACTAAACCAGGACTAAAGCAGGTCTAACGCAGGTCTAAAGCAAGACTGAAGCAGGTCTAAAGCAGAACTAACGCAAGTCTCAAGCAGGTCTCAAGCAGGACAAAAGCAGAACTAAAGCAGAACTAACGCAGGTCTAAAACTGGACTAAAGCAGGTCTAAAGCAAGACTAAAGCAAGACTAAAGCAGGACCAAAGCAGGACTAAAGCAGGTCTAATACAGAACTAAAGCAGGTCTAAAGCAGGACTAACGCAAGTCTAAAACTGGACTAAAGCAGGTCTAATGCAGCTCTAAAGCAGGTCTAACACAGGTCTAAAGCAGGTCTAACACAGGTCTAACGCAGGTCTAAACCAAGTCTACGGAAGCGCAGGTATAATCACCTGAGATCCACCATGCGCGTTCACGTGACCCACAGTGCACGCGCATGTCCCCAGGCGCGTGACCGGAACCAGAACCGAGCTGCGCGGTTGAGTTCTTCACGTCCTCATACAGAGCTACGGAGGTCAATAGGAGGCACGGGTGACACAAGCCGAAGACAGAGCTTTTTTTCCGGGTACATAACACCGCGACACGCCCTTACAGAGACAGGCCTTGGAGCTCTGCTGCAGCCTGCGCCCAGAGGACCTGCACCCAGAGGACCTGCACCCAGAGAACCTGCACCCAGAGGACCTGCACCCATAGGACCTGCACCCAGAGGACCTGCACCCAGGGAACCTGCACCCAGAGGACCTGCACCCAGAGAACCTGCACCCAGAGGACCTGCACCCAGAGGACCTGCACCCAGAGGACCTGCACCCAGAAGACCTGCACTCAGGGACCCGCACTTAGAGAGCCTCTGTGTCCTGGCTCTTCACCTGGTCTCCTCCTGGTCTCCTTGGGTCTTGCCCCGGCATCCTCCTGGGTCTGTCCCTGTCTCCTCTTGGATCTACCCTTGATCTCCTCCTGGGTCTCCTCTTGGGTCTACCCTTGATCTCCTCCTGGGTCTTCCCCGGGTCTCCTCCTGGGTCCCCTCCTGGGTCTACCCCTGATCTCCTCCTGGGTCTCCTCCTGGGTCTACCCCTGATCTCCTCCTGGTCTCCTCCTTGGTCTCCTCCTGGGTCTCCTCCAGGTCTCCTCCTGGGTCTCCTCCTAGTCTCCTCCTGGGTCTCCTCCTGGGTCTCCTCCTAGTCTCCTCCTGGGTCTCCTCCTGGGTCTCCTAGTCTCCACCTGGGTCTCCTCCTGGGTCTTCCCCTGGTCTCCTCCCTCTGTGTCCTGGGTTTCCCCTGGTCTCCTCCTGGTCTCCTCCTGGGTCTCCTAGTCTCCTCCTGGGTCTCCTCCTGGTTCTACCCCTGTTCTCAGATTGATCTTTTTTTAGAAATAAATGTTTTTTCTCTGATGTGAAAAAGCAACTTCACTGCAACATTTTTATCTATTTCATATTTATTGTCTCCATTCTTTAAACAACTTTAGAACACAGATGGCACACACAAGACTATAACATAATTATAATAATAACTATATTTTTTAACCCTTTAAGGATCACCTAATTTCGCCTGCTCCTTCTCGAATTATGATACCCAAATGGAAATGCTTATTGTGTGGACATCTTGTGTCTGATTTTGTGTTATGAGGCCTCATTTGAAAGGTAACACCTTCTAGTTTCTGAAAATGTATGTTACAGTTTGTTAGGAAGGACACAGTCTGCACTACAGCTTCTCAAAAGTAGTGCGTCAAAGTTAGTTTTTTTTTGTCTCGAAACAAAAAAGGCAATTTCAAAAGGTTCTTCTGAAGACATACTTTATGGTGTGATGTTCAAACTCACCAGAGCAGATGTTTGTGGTGTTGGCAACACCTGTATGAAATTTTAGACCTTTAGGTGGAACTATTTTGATGCTGGGGGCTTTTTTGTAACTAATGGGCACATTCGGCACAAGTGGTCCATTTTTGTGCCAACTGTGCAAAAGTGTTTTACATGCAAATTATCAATGTTTTTACACCAAAAATCCATTTATATAATTTTTTGGCTATTACTCTTGCTATAAATAGCATTTTTTCCAGATATTGAAATGTTTTCAGAAAAGCTATTATTTATATAGTTATAGCGCGTGTTCTCCGTGAAAAAGGCTCCGTCTTCCTCTTTACGCATTAAAATATGACTGGAACTGTGGGAGGAACCTTGAAGTCCGACACATCGCCTGAAACCTGAGATTATTGGCTACAAGATGATTTGATTGACATCCAAATCGGCCAATGGTAGTCAAGACAATGCTGTCATGACGCACAGATATCTATGTGAATGGAGCGCTAAATCTAGGTGCGCATGTTTTACTCAACTTACTCTACCTTCCAAACCATAGCACTGAAAAGTCCGGGAATGGGCTTGTTTTGAAGGGGAGGCTTAGGGGAAGACGAACATACCCAGTGACTTCATACAGTGCGCAAAGAACAGGTTTTGTTTTTGTTTGTGCAACTTTCAATACTCAAATATGTTGTTGCAAGTGGATATCTACTATAAGGATGACTTTGAAGAAAAAACAACTGGATATAATTATTCTCTAGACCGTAACGAACAAAACAAATGCATACATGTGTGGATTAGACGTGATTTGCCCCAGAATATTAGCATGACAAGGTAAGAAACGACAATATATATTTTAAACATATATACAGTTTGACTACTTATTCTTACTTTTGGTTATATTTAATGTTTATTTGAACATAATACGTGTATAGAGGTGGGAATAAGCTTTCAAAAGAGATATAGCTTGACTATATTGACACAAGTGAATTCTAATACTGATGCTGTTAAATGAAAAATAACTGAATCCTCCCTGTACAGGGAGGGTGATCCTTAAGAGGTTTTAAATAACATTATTTTTTATTTGTTAAATAACATTATTTTTTATTTGTTTCATCGTAGCTCAGTTGGTAGAGCGTTGGCCTTTGAGTCAGAAGGTCGTGGGTTCAAACCCCGCTCAAGACTTTCACTATCGACTCTCACTGTCTGCTGTTGTTGTGTCCTTGGCAAGACACTTACAGTAACCTCTGGGAACACCAGCCACAGTGGGGCGACTGCGGCTGTAAAGTGCCAAACTGCTTAGGCAAGACACTTCACCCCCATTGCCTGGAATGAGTCTGGTTGGAGGGGCCGATGGCGCATACTGGTTGCTTCGCTTCTGTCAGTGTGCTGCAGGGCAGCTGTGGCTACAGTATAGTTTATCACCACCGTGTATGGAGTGAATGAATAATTTTTTTAAAGTCCAAAAAAAGCGCTGTATAAAACCGATGCATTATTATTATTAATACCTGAGGAGGCTGTACCTGAGGAGGCTCCACCTGAGGAGGCTCTACCTGAGGAGACTCCACCAGAGGAGGCTCCACCTGAGGAGGCGCTACCTGAGGAGGCTCTACCTGAGGAGGCTCTACCTGAGGAGGCTCCACCAGAGGAGGCTCTACCTGAGGAGACTCCACCAGAGGAGGCTCCACCTGAGGAGGCGCTACCTGAGGAGGCTCTACCTGAGGAGACTCCACCTGAGGAGGCTGTACCTGACGAGGCTCTACCTGAGGAGGCTCCACCTGAGGAGGCTCTACCTGAGGAGACTCCACCAGAGGAGGCTCTACCTGAGGAGGCTCCACCAGAGGAGGCTCTACCTGAGGAGGCTCTACCTGAGGAGGCTCTACCTGAGGAGGCTCCACCTGAGGAGGCTCTACCTGAGGAGGCTCTACCTGAGGAGGCTCTACCTGAGGAGGCTCTACCTGAGGAGGCTCCACCTGAGGAGGCTCTACCTGAGGAGGCTGTACCTGAGGAGGCTCCACCTGAGGAGGCTCTACCTGAGGAGGCTCTACCTGAGGAGGCTCTACCTGAGGAGGCTGTACCTGAGGAGGCTGTACCTGAGGAGGCTGTACCTGAGGAGGCTCTACCTGAGGAGGCTGTACCTGAGGAGGCTGTACCTGAGGAGGCTCCACCTGAGGAGGCTGTACCTGAGGAGGCTGTACCTGAGGAGGCTCCACCTGAGGAGGCTCTACCTGAGGAGACTGTACCTGAGGAGGCTGTACCTGAGGAGGCTCTACCTGAGGAGACTCCACCTGAGGAGGCTGTACCTGAGGAGGCTGTACCTGAGGAGGCTCCACCAGAGGAGGCTCTACCTGAGGAGGCTGCGGAGGCTGTACCTGAGGAGGCTCCACCAGAGGAGGCTCTACCTGAGGAGGCTGTACCTGCGGAGGCTGTACCTGAGGAGGCTCCACCTGAGGAGGCTGTACCTGAGGAGGCTGTACCTGCTGAAGAGCAGCAGCATCACAGAGGGGGAAACATCAAGATGTCCAGCTCTGTCCTGGGCTGTTCCCTGGACAAAGTCTGGGATCGCGTCTTTAATTCAAACAGAAGACATGTTTTATTGTCGATGGTAGAGACAGCACGAACAAAGCACACGAACAAAGGATGTAACAAACTGTTAGTGATAATATAATATAGCATGGGAGAAATAAGTCCTCCAATCAGCAGCTGCCACAGTGCCAGCAGAGATAGTCAAAACAAGTAGTGGAAAAGTACAGGCTTCTGCACATTGATAGAATGATGAGTTTATCTTTAACAAAAGTTGCTTCAGTGTCGATAAACAGCAACATAACATCATAACTCAATAATTAAACTCATAAACTCGGTACTTCACTCGGTCTCAATCTTAATCTTGTTAGATCTAAGTGCTGCCTTTGACACTGTCGACCATGAGATCCTCTTACAGAGACTAGAGGACTGGGTTGGAGTCGCTGGCACCGCCCTAAGTTGGTTTAGGTCTTACCTTGAGGACAGGAAGTACTTTGTGGAGATTGGAAACTGTGTCTCAGATCATATGGCCCTGACCTGTGGAGTACCACAGGGGTCGATCCTGGGACCTCTTCTGTTCAATCTCTACATGCTGCCGTTAGGTCAGTTAATACGCAGAAACAACGCAGTCCTATCATAACTATGCAGACGACACTCAGATCTATGTCTCACTGACTGCAGGAGAACATGGACCAGTGGACTCACTCCTTCACTGTATCCAACAGATCAGTGGGTGGATGCAAAACAACTTCCTTCAGCTAAACGCAGACAAAACTGAAATTATTGTCTTTGGTCCCCAGAAACAAAGAGAGAGCGTCATCTGTCACCTACAGTCTCTCTCCCTAAAACCTTCAAACAAGGTCAGAAATCTAGGGGTAATACTGGACTCAGACTTAAATTTTAATAGCCACATCAAATCAGTAACATCAGCAGCTTTTTACCATCTAAAAAACATTGCCAGGATCAAAAACATAGTGTCTAAAGCAGACCTGGAGATTCTTATCCATGCACTTGTCTCCAGTAGGTTAGACTACTGCAATGGCCTGCTCACAGGTCTGTCCAAACAGGCTGTAAAACAGCTGCAGTACATTCAAAATGCAGCAGCTCGAGTCCTGACTAGAACCAGGAAGTACGACCACATTAGTCCAGTCCTCAGGTCTCTGCACTGGCTTCCTGTGGCTCAGAGAATAGACTTTAAAACAGCTCTGCTTGTTACAAGTCTCACCATGGCCTCGCACCAAAATATATTAGTGACATGTTAGTACCATACGAACCAGCCCGGACTCTGAGGAGCACAGGGACTGGACTCCTGTTAGTGCCCAGAGTCAGAACTAAACATGGGGAGGCTGCTTTTCAGATTCATGCTGCTAAAATCTGGAACAGTCTTCCTGAAGATGTGAGACAGGCCTCCTCAATGACAATGTTTAAAACCAGGTTTAAAACAGATCTTTTTAGCTGTGCATACAACTGAGGGATTTTATATTTGTATCTTTCTTTTTAATGTTCTGTGATTATTTATGATTTTAATGCTTTCTTATTTTGTTCAGCACTTTGAATTGCCTTGTGTATGAATTGTGCTATATAAATAAACTTGCCTTGCCTTGCCTACTCAGAATACTTAAAAAAACTCAAACTCATAAAACTTCTTCAGTAAAATACCAAACTTCATCAGTCGATGGTGGTTCCAGATATTGCTTTATTTTGGATTGTTTGTACTTTATGCTTTTATCTTGTTGTTGTTTAAATCACCTTGTACTAAACTGGAGCTGTGCGTTGTTTTACATTGACAATCTCAATAAAATGTACATGAAAAAGATATGTTACTATATTAATGGTGAGAGACTAGAGCTCTGACTGCAGACACTGCTCCTTCATGACCAAAGGTGCGGTCTCAGTCCTGGTCTCGGTCCTGGTCTCAGTCCTGGTCTCGGTCCTGGTCTCGGTCCTGGTCTCAGTCCTGGTCTCGGTCCTGGTCTCGGTCTGGATTCCACACGTGTGACTCATGTCGCAAACGGACGCGGTCCTTCAAAGTGAAAGCATTTAGACGGAACTGTTTGTCTAAAGTTGGTGTCTATAACTTTAGTATAATAAATAACACATGTTTAAAGCTGGGGTCTGTAACTTTAGTATAATAAATAACACATGTTTAAAGCTGGGGTCTGTAACTTTAGTCTCATAAATAACACATGCATGTCAAAATATGTGTTATTTATGAGACTAAAGTTACAGACCCAGCTTTAAAGTTACAGACCCGTGCTTTATTTTGAAAGTGTCCTCAGCCTCTCGGAGTCTCTTCCTGGTGTCTGCCTCAGACCTGAGCGCTCTTATAAACGCGTTGTAAACTCGTTAAAAACTCCTTACAAAGTATCTCTAAAGTATCTCTGACGTATTGACATGTGTCGGTCCTGGTTCTGAATCCACGCCGCGGGTCCGGGATGTTTGCGTCGCTTTTCGCCGCTTTAGTGTCAGTGTGTGCAGTGTGGGCACAGGAGCAGCACGGTGAGAACATTTAGAACTTTTAGAACGATATAAACTGTCAATGCTATGGAAGGAACTGCGCATGCGTCATAACACACTATTAATATTATTTTATAAAACTAAATTCGTGGAAAATAGTAAAGCTTTGTGTTTTAGTTTCAGTGTTCCACTGATTATATAGATGTAGACATATAGTTAGCCCTCACAGACCTGCAGACCTGGTCTGGACCTGGTTAGACTGGTCCAGGTTCAGGTTCAGACCTCGTTAGACCTGGTTCATACCTGGTCTGGACCTGGTTCTGACCGGGTTCAGACCTGGTCCAGTCCCGGTTCAAACCCTGCTCTTCTGCTCTCCTTCAGATCTGCTCTGGTCCAGCCTGAGGTCCCGGCTCCAGGACTTTGAGGTCTTGGACTGGTCTGATCTTCAGACTCACTCGGTCCAACGCAGAGACCTGGAACCACAGACCCACCGAGAGAGACTGCTGAGCTTCAGGGCCCTGAGCAGGTGCGTTCATCTGAGGCAAAATGTCTGTTCATCAGAGGCAAAATGCCCTGTAGTGCTGCAGACTTAACACTTCTGTGATTGGCTGTTCAGACATTTCCGGCTTTACCTGAGGACCAATCAAGAGCTGTTCACAGACAACTTCCGGGCGGTGGTCGTCGAGGGCGGAGTCCAGCAAGATTATCCAGTGAACAGAGAGAACTACTACACCGGCCACGTGATCGGTTAGTCCTTCTCTAGACCTGCTGTAGACCTGCTTTAGTCCTGATTCAGACCTGCTTTAGTCCTGATTCAGACCTGCTTTAGTCCTGCTTTAGTCCTGCTTTAGACCTGCTTAAGACCTGCTTAAGACCTGCTTTTTTCTGCAGGTGAAGAACATTCTAGAGTTCAGGCTCACATCGATGGCTCAGAGTTCTCTGCTCGAATCCTGACGAACAATGGAGAATTCAATATCGAGGTGAGAACCCTCCCCCTTCAGTCTCTCCTCAGTCTCTCCTCAGTCTCTCCTCAGTCTCTCCTCTGTCTCTCCTCTGTCTCTCCTCTGTCTCTCCTCAGCCTCTCCACAGTCTCTCCTCTGTCTCTCCTCAGTCTCTCAGTCTCTCCTCCTTCTCTCCTGTCTCTCCTCCTCCTTGGCTTAATACAGAAACAAGTAAAATGGTCCAGTCGTCACAGGCCTGTGCAGTGTCACTGTACTACAGAGCGCAGGTCCAGAGGATTGCTGCCTGTATCTTAAAGGTCCCACCCACTGTACATGCACTTTACCCCCTGCCCTCAGGAGGAGGTTTTTAGTCCCAAGACCCCAAACAAAACGTTACAAGAACAGTTTTGTTCGCACTGCAGTCTCCTTAAAGGTCCCACATGTCCCTCTTTGTGTGTCACAGTCCTCAGTGATGTCACCTGAGCTGAAAGAGCTGATCCAGAGAGGAGTTTGCGCCTTTGCCTGTGAGCAAACAGGCAAAGGAGCCTCACCAGCCTTCCCCCGCCTTCATAGACCATACCATAGACCAGGGATTAAAGAGTTCCGTCTAGGTGACGGATTTCCGTCAAATGAAATTGGTCTGGAAAAAAAAAAAATATATATAATGATAATAATACACACAATGAAATGATTGATTATAAAAATAATATATAGTAATACATATACGTGTGAATCTGTTTTTTATATATATATATATCTCGATGTATAATAATAATTTGAATATAATTGTATTTATATGTATATAGAAATAATAAGTAATATAATCACGAGTGGGCCTTGAACGTGCCGTGGCCACATGAGCGCTCCGCAAATGAATCAAGGCAATGGGACGTAGCTGAGCTCACGCGCAAATGAAGACGCGATGAAGTTAGCATTGGTAACACGGAGGTGAAAGTTTCTGGAAACTGCACGGAGCTTTTGAAAAGGAGAAGAGGAGGAAAATTGAATCTCGAACGGAGCAATAACAGCAGCAGATCCGCGGACTGGTAAGCTGGGCGCGTAATAGACGAAAGGTAATTAACGTTTACCAAACGCAATGCTATTTACTTAACGGAATGTACAAAACGGACTTTGCTGCGACTGGGAATGGGGACAAACATGTCTTGGTGAGCTTTTGATATTGTCTTGTTTGCGATCTTCTTGCAAAACTCAGCGTGATGTAAAAGAGCCAATCAACGAGTCATGGTTTGAAAAGATGAAAGTGGCCGGTGCTTGTGCGTACTTTGCCATAAAAAATTGCATATATGGGAGTAATGAGAAAAAAAGTTTTGATTCGCCACCAGCTCAAAACTGCGCACAAGGCAGCTGTTTGTGCACTTTCCCACACTTCATCTTTACCTGGTGCATCAGCAACAACTGACACTATCTTGCTCTGGCGGACCGTGTCTGTGGCTTTATCGCAGAAAATAACGTTCAGAATATCACTACCGCTGGTAGATTTATTTAAATCATTTGCAGTTGATCGAAGTGCACTGTGCACTCAAACTTGATAGGGAAACCTTTTTCTTAAATATTGACGTGTCCACAAACAAATGTGGACAGAATGTTATCGTCCTTTTGCGATATTTTGACGAGGACAGAGCCAAAGTGTTGACGCTCCATATCGCCTCAAGTAAAGCTACTCTCACTAATATTCTGTCAAAAAGTTGACTCGTTGCTTGATCCACTTATATTTCATATCAAAATACACTGTATATCTTTGAAGAATTCATTTGAGCTGTATTCAATATACCAGTGTCTCCCAAAGTGGGTACTGCAGGGGGGCCGCGGGAGGTCATAAAAAAAAAAAAGAATAATAATATAATTATTTAATGTTAAATTTATAATGTTTTGTTTGTAATATTAAAATATTTGTGTTCATTATTTGACTTGAATAAGCCACTGTAATCATTTTTGTATTACAATGTTTGTAGCAGAGGCTATTTCCCCAAAATAAAATAACCAGAAGAGCCTATTCTTAATGTTGTCTTCTTGGTTATTATTTTGGGGGGGCCACGCAGACCCGTCAGATTTTTAAGGGGGCCTCGGTGTTACTGAGTTTGGGAATGGCTGCAATATACAATCTATTATACAATAATATATTGTAATTAAAAATATAACTTGGTCTTGCATATTACTGTGATTTACATGTGATAAATTTCCATGCAAAAATTTTCAGTCAAATCTTTTTTTTTGCTTTAACCCCTGCCAAAGACATACCATAGACTTACCATAGACTTACCATAGACTTACCATAGACTTACCATAGACCATACCATGGACATACCATAGACTTATCATAGACTTACCATAGACCTTACATAGACATACCATAGACTTACCATAGACTTACCATAGACTTACCATAGACCATACCATAGACATACCATAGACTTATCATAGACTTACCATAGACCTTACCATAGACATACCATAGACTTACCATAGACATACCATAGACTTACCATAGACTTACCATAGACCATACCATAGACATACCATAGACTTACCATAGACTTACCATAGACATACCATAGACTTACCATAGACTTACCATAGACATACCATAGACTTACCATAGACTTACCATAGATGTACCATAGACATACCATAGACCAGTGAGAGACACTTCCATAAAAATAAAAAATAAACGCATTACGACAACTTTAATCCAAGTCGAGTCACGTAGCTTACATCACACACAGCGACAAAACGTGTCCGGCTGTTGTTTGCTGAAGCTAAAGGTGTTTGGAGGCTACAAACAAGTAATACCTGCTTTTAAATGAAAGGTGGTTACTGAGGCCCTCTACTAAGGGGGACCTCCGCTAAGGTTGGAGCCCGCCCAGCCCATCACTTGAACCCACGGGGCAGCAGCGCTTATATCATGGGGGTTGTGGGCTAAAAACAATATTTACACTGTATATATATATATAGTGCAAAGGTATATGCATATAGGACAGGGTAATAAGTAGGTAAAGTGTCTCTGGAAGGGCTGGGGGGCTGTTGGAACAGGACTGTGGGCACGATCACGTGTGAAGACGGCCCGCGGTAACAAGGGTTTATCTTCTGAACCGTGCCAGACTAAATGCGCTGTAGTACAGTGCTAGGTCCAGCTGGTGGCGCTAATACTAACTTCAGCGACTACCTCGTTTTCAAGAGTCAAGTTTCAGTTTTCTTCCTGTTTACATTCTGCTACTGTAGCCATGGATCTATTATATTAACTGGATAGGGTATTACTAGCTTGTAGCTGAATAACCCATGTGCTCGGGGGATTCTCGCGGTACTGCAGACTGAACCAGACTGAACCAGTCTAAATTCACGTGGGCTACCCAGAAATATTCCCCATAGAACTCAATGCATATTAAAACAGCTCGACCTCAGCTGACAGAGAACCTACAGCTTTAATAAAGGTCGGATTTTGTGGGGATTTTAGTGTCCCTTGTCATCCTGAACTTTTTTTCTTCTTAAATCCTTCGGTTTTGTTTAAATCCACACTTTAGTGCCACAAACTCTGCTCGTCTGGCTCTCGCTCTAACTCCCGCTCTGATGAACTGCTCTGATTGGTCGGAGCGCAGTCGAGTCCCGTGTGAGACCCACACACGCGTGTTTGGTGCAACGCATTATGGGAGTTCATCCACTGCACAGAACCGGGAGGACCAGACGATGCCCAAATACAGGCGAGTTTCCCATAGATCTTTGCGAGTTCCAGGCGACTTCCGCTAATCTTTCAGCCCCCATGCTGTCAAAAAGCGCCACTGAGCACAACCATTCATTTGAATAGGGCGCCATCTTGGATCGCCAGGGCTTGACTGTAGCACAGAGAAAGGTCCAATAGCGTAATATGGGTAATAAGAGGTTAAACTGAAGCACTTTCTGACCACTTTTACTTTATTTTTACTTTTCTTTACTTATCTGTTGTGTTGTTATTTGTGTATAACTAAGTGATTTTCATGAACATTTTTGTGTAGATGCCGAGTCCCTCTCTTTTTAACTGCAAAAAGAATCTAACAATGGGTACAAAAAAGTCACTTTGAACCTCTCTCTCCCCCTCTTCAGCCCCTGTGGAGGTTCACAGCGCCCCCTGATGGCCGCCTGCTGGTGTATCGCTCTGAGGACATAAAGGAGCTGAGATCACAAAGACATTCTCCAGTCTGCGGATACATGACCCCCAGCGCCCCCCTGTGGTCTGGCGAGGGGGGAGCAGCGGGGGAGAGGGGGGAGGAGAGAGGGGAGACGGGTGAGTCCATTTGTATATTAGGACTCCACAGAGAGACCCGAGAGAGACCTTAGAGAGACCAGAGAGAGACCTTAGAGACCAGTGAGAGGGACCAGAGAGAGACCAGAGAGAGAGACCAGAGAGAGAGACCAGAGAGAGACCAGAGAGAGAGACCAGAGAGAGACCAGAGAGAGAGAGACCAGCGAGAGACCAGAGAGAGAGACCAGAGAAACCAGAGAGAGCCCAGAGAGAGAGACCCTAGAGAGACCAGAGAGAGGGACCAGAGAGAGACCAGTGAGAGGGACCAGAGAGAGACCAGAGAGAAACCAGAGAGAAACCAGAGAGAGACCAGAAAGAGACCAGAGAGAGAGACCCGACAGAGACCAGAGAGAGAGACCAGAGAGAGACACTAGAGAGAGAGACTAGAGAGCGAGTCCAGAGAGAGAAACCAGAAGGAGACCAGAGAGAGAGACCAGAGAGACAAGAGAGAGACCAGAGAGAGACTAGAGAGAGACCCAGACATGATCCAGTATTTTTGTGTGTTGTGTGTCTCAGTGTGTGTTGTGTTGCAGCGTGGCGTGTGCGTCGTCACGTGCACGACCACCGCAGGAACACATGTGCGCTGCTGCTCGTCGCTGATCACAGATTCTTCACAAACATGGGACGAGGAGAAGAGAGCACTACCATCAACTACCTGGTACTACCATCAATCATTAAGGCGATTAGACCCCGGCAGGATTACTGACTTCTGACCCTGGGTCCTAGACCCTGGTGTGATGATACTCCACTGATGAGGCTCTGTTTAAATACAGCCATGAAATGATTATGAGCTCAGGAGCAAGTGTGCAGAGGGGGAGGGGCCAGTGTGGCAGGCATGATGTCTCTTTGGTCTCCCAGTCCGAATTTATACTTAAGCTTCATTCTACCATCAATCACCTGGTACAAGGAATAGACCAGGACCAGGCCAGAGAGGAAGGGGGGCTGTAGTCCCTGTTCTCACCTGTGGGGGCTGTAGTCCCTGTTCTCACCTGTGGGGGCTGTAGTACCAGTTCTCACCTGTGGGGGCTGTAGTACCAGTTCTTTTCACCTGCGGGGGGGTCTCTGTACAGATAGAGCTGATCGATCGAGTAGATGACATTTATAGAAACACTTCGTGGGACGCAGAGTTCAGCGGCTATGGAGTCCAGATCCAACAGGTGAGCGCTAACATGCTAAGGCTAACTCGTTAGAGCTAAATTGTTAGAGCTAACTCGCTATGGCTAACTTGTTAGAGCTAACTCACTAGAGCTAACTCTTTAGAGCTAAATTGCTAGAGCTAACTCACTAGAGCTAACTCGGATCCTAACAGACTCCCTCAGAGTAGACCTATCTCAGATGAGAGCTATATGTGTGTAGATCATCATAGAGAAGTCTCCCACCGCGGTGCTTCCGGGACAGAACCACTTCAACATGGAGGGGAGTCCAGTGAGCGGCCGCGACGTGTGGGACGTGAAGAGCCTGCTGGAGGTATCATTTTCCCCAGGGCAGCTGTGGCTACGACCTGTGCGGCTTCTCTCTGACTGTGCTCTCTGGCGCCCCCTCCTGCGCTCTGACTGTGTTCTCTGGCGCCCCCTGCTGATCTCTGACTTCGCTCTCTGGCGCCCCCTGCTGATCTCTGACTTTGCTCTCTGGCGCCCCCTGCTGATCTCTGACTGTGCTCTCTGGCGCCCCCTGCTGATCTCTGACTTTGCTCTCTGGCGCCCCCTGCTGATCTCTGACTGTGCTCTCTGGCGCCCCCTGCTGATCTCTGACTTTGCTCTCTGGCGCCCCCTGCTGATCTCTGACTGTGCTCTCTGGCGCCCCCTGCTGATCTCTGACTGTGCTCTCTGGCGCCCCCTGCTGATCTCTGACTGTGCTCTCTGGCGCCCCCTGCTGATCTCTGACTGTGCTCTCTGGCGCCCCCTGCTGATCTCTGACTGTGCTCTCTGGCGCCCCCTGCTGATCTCTGACTTTGCTCTCTGGCGCCCCCTGCTGATCTCTGACTGTGCTCTCTGGCGCCCCCTGCTGATCTCTGACTTTGCTCTCTGGCGCCCCCTGCTGATCTCTGACTGTGCTCTCTGGCGCCCCCTGCTGATCTCTGACTTTGCTCTCTGGCGCCCCCTGCTGATCTCTGACTTTGCTCTCTGGCGCCCCCTGCTGATCTCTGACTGTGCTCTCTGGCGCCCCTTACAGCAGTTTTCTGTGGACGTCGCAGAGAACGCGTCTAACGTGTGTCTGGCTCATCTCTTCACGTATCAGGACTTCGACGACGGGACATTGGGCCTAGCGTATGTGGCCCCGGCCCGACCCGACACCCCAGGGGGCCTCTGTTCCAAAGGTCAGAGGTCATCACTCACCACATGGTCAGCATTCAAGGGACAGAGCACAGGGACAGAGCACCCTGAGACTTGTATTGCTGTTTATTCTTTACTTCCACAGTTTACAACATGAAACGTATCCTCATTTTAAAGGAGCTTTACCCGTTTCTGCAAGGTTTGAATTTTTTGCACCGCCCCTCAACTCGCTCACAGGACTCTCATTTCCACAATTCTCTCATTTCCACTACGCTCTCATTCCACAGAGCCCTCTAGTTTTATTTGCGATCTATATGCAAACATTAGCATGAGCGCAACTTCTTGTAAGCTGTACAACAATCACTGATGCAATGGTACAAAAGCAACGCACTGTTAACAAAATATATAACTGAAAGATTACCGCTAGTTCCGCGTCCGAATGTTGTCCGAGCCATAGACTGTAAATATTAACGGAGGTAGTCACGCCTTTCTCCGCCGTTCTAACTAATGGGCCAAAAATAGTGCTCTACTGGAGCTATCCAAAATGGCCGCGAGCGGTCCCGGCCGCATGCTCGCCGGCTGCGTCAGCGAGAGCTCCATTCATTTGAACGAGAGACTTAAAAAATTCACAGCAAGTAAACTAGACTGGTCCAAAAAAATTCACCCCCCTCAGCATTGACACACATGTGGAAGATGTTTTCGAGAGGTCTGCCAATGCCATATGTTAGCATTGTCTAATTCTTATTCCGGGTCCACCCCCACAGGCCTGGGGTGGTACTGCAGCATGTCAGCGCACATCATTTTGGACACTTTTGAGCCGGGACCCGCCCCCACTGGTCCGAGCATAGATAGTCCGAGGCAGTCCCGCAGGTCTCTCCCAAAGAGAAGTCTGTCCAGAGGATACGATGTAAGCTAGCTATGTTCACCCGGGATTGATTTCTTCTTTGATAATTTTTTCGCTTTAGTTCTCTCTTCTCTTCCTCACTGTTGTGTGGTTTGGGCTGTTTTGCTGTGTCTGCAGTTACAGACAGAGGAGTTATAGCCACTTATGCTAACATGCTACTGTGTTTAGCAGCGCTGTAGAGGCTAGAGGACGCAGCCTCGTTCTGTGATTGGAGGAGAGCGGGCGTCACGCTAAAGTCTCTACTCAGCACTTTTTACGCCTGAATTCATACACAACTGAATCAATGATCTCAAGTTTTCAATTAAATTACGGATTATAATACAACTTGTATGTAGTAATAAGCATTTTTATTAACTCAATAAAAAAATAATTGGGTATAGCTTCTTTAAAGACCACAAATAATGGTGTATTGTCAGTGTTAAGAGTTTATTGACTGAGAGTTCTGAAAGCAGCATTCAGTGTCAACCCCTACGGGGCTCAATGGCCAACCCCTGCGGGACCCCTCCCTGAGGGCCCGAGGGTCGACCCCTCCCTTAGTCATGTGACTTTACATGTTTCCATTTGTTGCAGCGTGTCCCGCGTCTTCAAACACACAGAAGAACATGTATTTAAACACAGGCCTCACCAGCACCAAGAACTACGGCAAAACCATCCTCACCAAGGTACCAGCAGAAGTACCAGCAGATGTACCAGCAGTAGTACCAGCAGTAGTAGAACCAGCAGTAGAACAGCAGTAGAACTAGCATCAGCAGCAGCACCCATATGTAAAAGATGTACAAATATAACTTTTTATAGGACTTGAAATGTATAAATTACACATACGACAGTCAAACAACATACAAATTCCATAGAAAGATTGTATTCTCCAAATGATACATGGAAAACCATGTTTAAACGTTGAAGAAGAGGACAAAGTCTGGGATTGTGTCTTTAATTCAGACAGAAGACATGTTTTATTGTTGATGGTAGAGACAGCACGAACAAGAGCACAACAGAGTGCAAGTGTATTATACAGCATGGAGGAAGGAAGTCCTCCAATCAGCAGCTGCCACAGTGTAGCTTGTAGCTTCAACCTTGAGGAGATAACCAAAACAAGTAGTGGAAAAGTACAGGCTTCTGCACATTGTTAGAATGATGAGTTTAACTTTAACAACAGTTGCTTCAAAGTGTTATGAAATTTCACAACATTTTATAAAAAGATTGTAAGATTAGTAATATCATAGAATCAAAATAGAGATTTATATTTTCACGTTAAAACCTATATTCTGTAGAACCAACTGAGTGGAGTAATGGCCTTTGAGCCGGAAGGTCTTGGGATTGAGCCCATCACGAGACCTTCTCCCCCGACTCCCACTGATGTCTGCTGGCATTGTGTCCATTATTACACTTATTATACTATTATGGTATGATAAATAGAAAATACACACATTATCCATATATGTTTGACATACGGATTTTATATTGATTATATATTGTAAAACTTCAAATTATAGAAAGACTTATATATACAATTTGCATATTATCAAACACTTTTTTTTGCCAAGATGTGCAAAAGGTGCTACTTTCAGGAGATAATCACACAAACATCATACGAAAATCATATATTTTTTATATATTTTACTAGCAACATTTCCATATGGGTAGTACCAGTAGCTGTAGCATCAGTAGCAGCAACAGCAGCAGCTGCAGTGACAGTATCTGTCCACAGGAGGCAGACCTGGTCACCACTCATGAACTCGGTCATAACTTCGGAGCGGAGCACGATCCGGACAAAATGGCAGAGTGTGCGCCGCGAGACGATCAGGGCGGAAAGTACGTGATGTACCCCATCGCTGTGAGCGGCGACCACAGCAACAACAAGGTACAGTCCTGGTCTCAGTCCTGGTCTCAGTCCTGGTCTCGGTCCTGGTCTCGGTCCTGGTCTCAGTCCTTATCTCAGTCCTTGTCTCAGTCCTGGTCCTAGTCCTGGTCTCAGTCCTTATCTCAGTCCTTATCTCAGTCCTGGTCCTGGTCTCAGTCCTAGTCTTTTTCAGTTCTTCTCATCGTGTTCAAAGCGCTCAATCCTCCAGAGGCTGCGGTGGAAAGCTCCGTCGTGTTTCAAAGTGCGGACCGTGAACGTGTGCGGGAACTCTCGTGTGGAGGAGGGGGAGGAGTGTGACCCCGGCCTCACCCACCTGACCACTGACCCCTGCTGTGACCCTGAGTGCAAGCTCCGCCCCCAGGCTCGCTGCAGGTGAGGACACGCCCACACAGGTTCTGGTGTGTGTCACATGGTCCCTGTGCGTCACATGGTTATGGTGTGTGTCACATGGTTCTGGTGTGTGTGTCACATGGTCCTTGTGTTTGTGTCACATGGTTCTGGTGTGTGTGTCACATGGTTCTGGTGTGTGTCACATGGTCCTTGTGTGTGTGGCAGCGACAGGAACAGCGCCTGCTGCAGGAACTGTCAGTTTGAAACCAGAGGAAGAGTTTGTCAGGAACCGATCGAGGCCACATGTGAAGGATACTCCTACTGCACTGGTGAGACCAGGACTGAGACCAGGACCAGATCCCAGTGACCTGACTATGGCCTAGCCAGGGCCAGACCCCTCCCCTCTGAAGCCCCGCCCTCTCTGTCTCCAGGCAACAGCAGTGAATGCCCCGCCCCCCTGAGCGCCCCTGACAACAGCTCGTGTTTGGACAGTGGGTCCTGTGTGGGCGGAGTCTGTGTCCCGTTCTGTGAAGTGGAATTGAAGCTTCCGCCCTGCGCCTGCAACGGTCTGTGACCTCTGACCCTAGTGACTTTTGACCCCAGCAACCTTTGACCCCAGTGACCTCTGTGTCCTCTGATCCCACAGACTCCGCCTCCTCCTGTAAGGTGTGCTGTATGTCCAACAGGGGGCAGTGTGCTCCGTATCAGGACAGTCTCGGAGACTTCCTGTTCCTGAGGAAAGGCAAACCCTGCACCGAGGGATTCTGCGACGGAGACGTAAGAACACAGGGAGCAGCTGCTCTACACAGAACTACATGTGGAGGAGCAGCGGCTCTACACGGAGCTCTATGTGGAGGAACATTGGCTCTACACATAGCTCTACGTGGAGGAACAGCGGCTCTACATAGAGCTATATGTGGAGGAGCAGCAGCTACACCATAATACTGATTAAATTACATCTGGTGTTGAGACATAAGTTCACAGACTGTCTGTGTGTGCTTGTGTGTGTGTGTGTGTGTGTGTGCGCCTATAACAGTTGTGTATTTGTGTGTCCAGGGCCGGTGTATGAAGCAGGTGCAGGACGTGATAGAGAGACTGTGGTTGTTCATAGAGAAACTGGACATAAACACATTTGGGAAGTTTCTGGCCGACAACATAGTGGGCTCAGTGCTGGTCTTCTCTCTGGTCTTCTGGATTCCACTGAGTGTCCTTGTGCACTGTGTGGTAAGTGTGTGTGCGTGTGTGCATGTGTGTGGTAAGTGTATGTGTGCGTGTGTGTGTGTGTATAAAAGTCCATTTGTTTTTTTAGGATCGTAAACTGGATCAGCAGTACGAGCAGAACACCAAGAACATGTTATTCCCCAGTGTAAGTCTCACACAAACTTTTGCATCTCTCTGGTCTCTCTCTGGTCTCTCTCTGGTCTCTCTCTGGTCTCTCTCTGGTCTCTCTCTGGTCTCTCTCTGTTCTCTGCCAATGCTATATGCTAACATATAGCATTGGCAGACCTCTCAAAAACGTCTTTACAGGATGGACCAAAAGTTGGCTCTTGGCCCAAAGCTCCGTTCCACATGTGTGTCAATGCTGAGGGGGGTGAACTTTTTTGGTCCACTCTAGTTTACTTGCTGTGAATTCTCTTGAAGTCTCTCGTTCAAATGAATGGAGCTGCGCCGGCTGACGCAGATGCGTTTTTTCACAATTTTCTTGTGGGAGGGACCACTCGCGGCCATCTTGGATTGCTCCGTGAAAGCACTTTTCATGGCCAACTCCTATGAACGGCGGAGATAGGCATGACTCTGTTCGTTATTATATACAGTCTATGGGTCTAACCTGTGTCTCTGGTCTCAGAATGCAGAGCTACTGAGCAGTCTGGACTCGGCCTCAGTCCGGATCTTCAAACCTTCGTTCCCGTCGATGATGAGGTTCCAGACAACGTTTGGGCCCAACCAGACAAGCACCCCCCCAGTGTCCTGCTCCGAGGCCCCGGGATCCCCCACAGGCCCCCTCATCGAGCCACCCATGGTAAGACTATGAGACTCCTCCTAGTCTTCCTCGAGTCTATTCTTGTATCGCCCTAAATCATAACAATAGTTATCTTGGAAGACTTTACAAAATTTCCAATTCACCAACACAGATCAGAGAATCAAACAATTCAAAAACAGAAAATGCTGTCTCTGGTCTCTAGTCTCTGGTCTCTGGTCCCAGGTCTCCTCTTCTTCTTTCAGATGGTGGAAGCACACAGAATGGACACGATTCAAGAGCTGCCGGACGACAGCTACAACAAGAGTCCGGTCTACAGCAGGGCCGGACCGCACCAGGTCTACAGCAGGGCCGGACCGGACCAGGTCTACAGCAGGGCCGGACCGGACCAGGTCTACAGCAGGGCCGGACCGGACCAGGTCTACAGCAGGGCCGGACCGGACCAGGTCTACAGCAGGACCGGACCGGACCAGGTCTACAGCAGGACTGGACCGGACCAGGTCTACAGCGATTTCAGACACCGCAGCCCCAAAGAGACTCAGTGCTAGAGGGACTTCAGCTGGTCCTGGTCTCACTCTCACAGACCCTAGCTTTAAAGTCACAGACTCTAGCTTTAAAGTTACGTCCTCCAGATTTAAAGTCTATTTATTTTGTTTTATGCGTTTGTGACATAAATGTGGATCGTGAAATTTAGAAATAAAGATTTTTTGTATGAGTTTGTACATTTATTTTTGTGAAAATAAAAACTCAAAAACAATGTGTCTGTATGTGAGTGATTGTGTGTGTGTCTCCATGTGTGAGACTTTGAGTGTGTGTATTACATATTATCACATAAGACTGGTCTATCGTCAGCCTCCACAGGGGGCGAAGTTTCTCCAGAGCAGCCTTCAATCTGCATCAGCGTCAGACGAAGAAGAGAAACCAAAACACGAGCACCACGTGGTCACGTCTCTATCAGAGCTCCTGCAGAACTTGGATTCACTTCGAACAGGACCTGGATCCGGACCACACGGAGACTTCACCCCTCAGGGTCTGCAGGGGGTCTGCACCACAGGACACGGGACATGGACGAACATCTCACCGTGAGTTTCACACAGGAGACGGAGAGAGAACAGAGAGAGAGAGACAAACAGAGAGAGAGAGAGAGACAAACAGGGAGAGAGAGAAAGAGGGGACATAGAGAGAGAGAGACAGACGAGACTGAGAAAGTGTATGTTCCTGCAGTATATAATATTTGTATACTGCTACTTTTTAAGATTGTTTTTTATATTAAAGTATATAGTTTGCTGTACTGAATATTTACTTGTGCTGCGTGCTCCTCATCCTACTGTAACTGGTGATGCAGACACATAGACGTCGGAACTAGGGGTGCGGGGGGTGCGGCCGCACCCCCTCCGCGTGTGCCGGGAGCGAGAAGTTATCACTATCCTGCGTTCCTTGCAGCCCAAAACCCGCTCCATGCTGTCGGAGGTGCTTATGAAGCTCTGTCTGGCTAATATCTGTCGCAGCCTCTGAGCGCTCTTTCTCAGCCTTGCGCAGATTAGAGACCTGGCTACACCAGTGGCGTGCGGTGGGGTGGGGGATCAATCATATGATTATACATCATATAAACCTTATACACAATTTGTTTGGCTACAGCAGAATAAGATTTAATGTCTGCATAGTTTTCTCATACAAAACGCAAACGTTTGTAAAAAGTACAAAGTGCGTTATGGGCCTTACCTTAGGTATTAATGAACAGCACAGACCACTTCAGTTAGGACCAGTTTCATGTTTAAGTCCAGATAATAGTTTGAGCACAGACATGTAATCCTCCATTTGGAAATAAGTTCAATGAGTTTTAAAAAGTAAAACAAACGGGTGTCTCCTCCGTAAACTCCTCGAGTTTTGCTGCAGCCGACTCCCGGGTAAATCCAATTTCTAAATTCAACCTTACCCTTCACCTCCTTTTCTTTTGATTCAGATCATCATTGGAAGCAAAACATTACTCTATGTGCATTTTAAATGATCTTAAAATGTATTATAGGTATGTTAGCCAAACCTGTAGCTGCCCTTAGCAGAAGAAGAAGAACAAGAAAGGAGCTTTCTGATGGAATTGGATGCAGCCAAAGTTTGGGCACACAAGCGCCCCCTTGAGGCTTTCCTCACTTACAAGCTGTGGTTGAGCGCGATTAAGACCCATATATGCTTCAAAAACACAATTTATGAGCCATCCTCTTAAATGTAAACATGTTGATTGTAAATTAAATATTTTTGAACTTTTTAAACTGTGATAAACAGAGAAAACAGTTTGATAGCACCTCACAGGACTCTCCCTGTGAGCTGTTGCTTTTACGTCTCCCAAGAGAGGCTTGCCTCACAGCGCCGCTCTGTCAAATCTGCAATTTCAAGGTATAAATAAATGAAATAAGGCAAAGTTACATTGAAATAATGTACAGCACAAATCACTTGATAAAGTGACCAAACATTATTGTATCCATTTTATTACTTTTCTTTCTATGATCTTATGCGGACCACCTATAGGTGAGGGCCTTACCTGCCTCATCTCATCTGACCGCACGTCACTGGGCTACACAACACAATGAAGCCACCGGAGAGACTGACGCATGAATGCGTATTGAAAAAAACAATGTTCAGTTTGATAAGTGACTTGCTTGATATATATTGTTTATTTTTTGTTTTCTTAACAATTAAGATGGTATGTTATTATCCAGTGTAATCCAAGTATGAGTCTCTCCCTCGACTCTCCCAACAAAAACCCGCCCCCCCTCTCAGAAAATAGTTCCGACGTCCATGTGCAGACACTGACATTTTCCCACCGTAGGACCAATTCAGGATCTCTTCATTTGTGTCATGGGGGGTTCTCTGGGTCTGGTCTCAGCCCTGGTCTCAGTCCTGGTGTCTGTGTTTTAGGGGGGGTTCTCGGAACCCTGTGGGACCTGCTCTGAGGTCTCCTGGGGCCTCACAGACGACGGAGCGTTCTACTGCAGGAACTGTCATAATGTTATCGAGGTGAGACAGCATCCTTACACCCTTATGTCTCTGTTACCATGGAGACTGCATCCTCACATCTGGTTCTCAATGTCTCCTAGAGGACGCAGGAAGTTCACGATCTTGGGGATCCAGGGATGACCCGAATTTCATCTGTGAGGAAGGGGTCTCGGGGCAAGAAAGCAGGTCCGTGAGACCCAAACCGGTCTGAACCTGGAACCAACTGGTCTGAACCGGTCCAAACATAAAATGACCTAAACCACATCCAGTCAAACTAATGCAGTTATCTCCTTGTCTCCTTGTCCAGAGGGCGGTCGGCAGTGGATGGTCTGTGAAGGTTTCCAGTTCATTCTAAAGTCTCAGGCTGAAGCTCTGCTCAAACTCGGTGTCGACCCGAAGTTTAAGGTAAAGATAAACACTGGGGTGATGTGGTTTAAACACTGGGGTGATGTGGTTTAAACACTGTGGGGTGATGTGGTTTCAGGACCAGGTTCTGGGGAGGATTTGGAGGTTGTTTCTCAACAGGACTCATCAGGCGTACACACACACGCCTGCTCGTAGCGGCTCCTTCAGGCTTGTGCGTGACACTGCAGACTCTGAGACTGGACCAAGCTCTGCCTCAGGTTTAGACTCTGGATCCGGTCTGGACTCGGACCCGGGTCTGCGAAGCTCAGCAGGATCTGTGACGGGAGGTGAGGATCCCCCCGCCCCTTCTGTGTGACCAAACTGCTCTCAAACTCTGATATCCACACAGCTCACTAATTGGCTGTTGTCCTTACAGAGCTCTGATTGCCAGTTGTCTTCGGAACTCTCTGATTGGCTTTTGTCCTCACAGAGCTCTCTGATTGGCTGTTGTCTTCAGAGCTCTCTGTTTGGCTGTTGTCCTCACAGAGCTCTCTGATTGGCTGTTGTCTTCAAAGCTCTCTGTTTGGCTGTTTTCCTCACAGAGCTCTCTGATTGGTCGCTGGGCTCGGTGGACAGTGACGCTTTTGTGTCCAGTGCGATGAAGAGGAGGAGGATGAAGACTCAGATGTCAATGAAGAGGACGCTGTCGCTGCTGCATCTGGCTCTGGTCTGGGCCAGGTCAGAGGTCACACTGAGCCTACTGCTGAGGTCCGAGGTCACACTGAGCCACAAACACACACATCTGACACAAAGACCATGTGGACACACACACATACATGGTCCTGGTGCAGACCTGAGCTCAGGGTTACACTTGCTGTATACATGTGTGTAATGTGTGTGTTTGTGTGTGTATCTCTGTTTGTATGTGTGTGTGTGTTAGGTTGGTGCATCAGGGTGTGGTTCCATACATAAATTCGTACGAATCTTTTCCTGATGAAATGAAACTGAACAACAAAGACGGACTGATCTTCAGGGAGACGGTGAGACTACTCCACCTCCGTCCTCCACCACCTGTCCTCCCCTCAACACCCTCTGTCCTCCCCTCGACCTCCTCTTTCATCCTCCCCGTCTCCTCTGTCCTCCATGTTGATATATTATAATAAAGTCTTATTCCTAGTGCTGCCACTAGAGGGATTGGTTGTATGTATTTTCAGTCTGTGCCGTCTTACTCCTCTGTCCACACCGACGCCGTGGAGCTGATCCGGCTCCTTCCACTTCCTGCTTTCCCACCGATCGGCATCAAGAGTCCACAGCACCCTCTGAACCTGAGCCTGAGATATATGATCCAGCTAAACCTACCCGGTAACCAGACTGTGTGTGTGTGTACTCGCCCCTTAAAGTACTCTGTCCCTATTTGTCCAAATAAGCAACAATAATGTCTCAGTTTTGAGCCCTGGAGAACCTCATGTGTCTCTGCTGGTCCCTGATGCTGTGTGTTTCAGATGAGATGGCAGAGTGGGTGGAGTTTGTCCTGGACCAGACTGACCTCATGTCCTCCTCTGGTCTGGACAAGTTCTCTGGTCTGGACCGGTCCTCTGGTCTCCCTCAGTACGAGCTGGTCGCCGCTGCCGCCGTCATGGTGACCATGAAGCTGCTGTTCGGCCTCGATGATCAGACAGAGTGGTACTGAAGTTCTCTCTAGTCTCTCTCTGGTGTCTCTCATGTCCTCTCTCTTTCTCCTCCTCCACCTCCTCCTCATCTCCTCTCTCTCCTCAGGGAGCTGTCCTCTGGAGCCCCCTCTTCAGGATCAGGTCTGAACTTCCTCATGTTTCATGTATTTCCTGCTTCTATATTTTAAATGTTTATTTTCAGTTTTCAGTTTGCGACGCTGGTACCGCTTCCTGCAGAGGAGTCTGAGGAGAGGAGAGAGGAGGAGCAGGAGGAGCAGAGCCCGGTCTGTTAGTCCTGCTTTAGTCCTGCTTTAGTCCTGCTTTAGTCCTGCTTTAGTCCTGCTTTAGTCCTGCTTTAGTCCTGCTTTAGTCCTAATATCCAGTCTTTTCTCACAGGAAACAATGGGTTCCTTTTAAGCCATTTTTCTTCAGTCACAAACAGAAAATTGTGGTTCAAAAGAAGAGACGTGAGTTACACACACATACACACACACAGACTAGAACAGAACAATAGTGGGCCTGAGATGAGAGAAGGGGAGAGAGGACAGTACTGTCTCTGGAGGAGCAGGAGGACCACTGTGTCGGATCTCAACGCTGAGGTGTTACTGTGGAGAGACCAGACTCAGACCAGACTCAGACCAGACCACTGGCAGCTTTGGAAGGTGGTCCCTGTGGTGTCTGACATCAGTGTCTTAGTGAGTCAAGAGTTCATACAGTGGTCTCCTCTGATTGATCATTACAGGAGTGTCGGACTGTCTCACTTCCTGTTTCAGAGCGTTGTCGTCTGGTCGCCATGGGGACGCTGACAGCTTCAGGTAAACACATTGTGCAGAAGTCCAACAGACCAAACATGAACCACTGATTCCACAGTTCTCATCCGGGAGGGGGAGTCTACAGCTGTCACTTCCTGTGGGGGCGGAGTCCTGGTGCAGATGGGCCCAGCATGCATCACATGACCTTGAGAGGCGGAGCCAGGACCAACCTGACCAATCCGCTTTCAGAAGAGAACTACTGGCTCCTCCGCGTCACCAGCCGCAGGTGAGAACAGGTCTTTCTCTCTGGTCTAACCTGGTCTAACCTGGTTTCTGGTCCCCCTGTAGACCCAGTGGACCCATCCCTCACATGTTCCTGTGGCTCCTTCGTCTCTTCTCTTTTCTTCTTGATGTAAAATCTAAACTTTTATTAAACGTGGTTCAACGTTTGGAGGGAGTTCTCATGAGACGCCTCAGACCCAAAAGACTGAAGCGGAGACACCGGGACCGGGACCAGTGACTCGACCAAAACTGACCATGTGGAAGAGGGACTTTAAAGCTGGGGTCTGTAACTCTGACCAATAGAACTTTGTATTAAACCCCTGCCTCTAAAAGTTTGTCATTAGTGTCACGTATTTGTGATGTCACATCTTTAGATCAAAGAGGACCACCCTCACTCAGCTCATTCCAAAGAGGTGTCTCTCAGGGCTCTTTCTGTTCAAGTTACGTTATTTATTAGACTAAAGTCATTCCACTCAGTGCCGCCCTCATGTGGACAAAGCCCTGATGATCCAAGATGGCTCCCAATTAAAATGAATGGCTTCTGCTCAGTAGCGGATGGGACATACACGGGGACCGAAAGATTCTGCGTTGTGGCAGAGATGACAAGGGACACTAACATCCCCACCTTTTATGAAAGCTGTAGTTTCTGTCAGCTGAGGTCCAGCTGTTTTAGTTTACATTGAGTTCCATGGGACTTTTTTCTGGGGAACCCATGTGAATTTAGTCTGCAGTACCACGGACGCCCCTGTGCACATTGTTGGGACAGCTATACGGTACGCTATCCAGATATTATAGATCCATGGTGGACACAGGCTGCATGTATAAAGTGAGATTGAAATAAAACAATGAAACTTGAGTCATGAGTTTTATTCTATCACCAAAATAAATATTGATCCCATGAACACACACACAAGTCATTTACAGCTGGAAGAACAGAACCAGGGTGAGGCCAGACCCAGGACTACTTCTTCTGGGGGTAGGCAGCCTTCACCAGTTCATACACCACGTATCCTGCTCCTGTAGAAATACGTAAAACATCATTGAGGCTCAAGACACACCCGAGTACGTACGTACACACACACACAAATGTACACACCTAGGACAGTGAGCAGCATGGTTCCTCTGTAGAGCAGAGCGTCTGCACTGCCTCCTTTCAGATGGATGGGCATCCCATTGTCCTCCTGCAGACACATATGTCAAGAGTGTGAGTGTTTTTCAGGGCCTTTAACAAGCTCTTAGCTGCTGCATGTGACATCACTGACCTGGAACAGCTTCTGTTTGTCGGGGACATTGTTTCCTCGTCGCACAGCGGAGCAACTGATGCTCCTGCGAGCTGTGCCCTGTAGCGTCTGTAAACACACACACACACACACACGTCAAAAGGGCTGGCTCGCCCAGTTTAGTTTAGGCCTGCGCATACTCGGGCGTCACTGTGTGGGTTAGCGTTTGGCTGGACCCATTGTTGATAATGCAGTCAAAGTTGTTTGTATACTTGAGTAGTTTTGAAAAGAATGTTGTAATACCAAGCCCAACCACATGATGGTCTCGCAGGAATAGCCTTGTGTGCAAACATGTTAAAGGTTAAAAATGAAAATAGTCGGTGCAGAACATGTACAAAAAATAAATTCCAGAACAAAAAAAATGGCAAACTAAGTTTGTGCACAAACAAGCAAAACAATAAATGATAAATATGAGACAAAACTATTTGTGTGAAGATTCAAACAAAGACAGGCGCAGGAACAGTGCAAAAGACTGCACAGGATAGAAAATGTTCGATATGCCACAAAACTCTAGTCCACATCCTCCTCGAATATCAGCCATGAGCCCAAACTGCTTTTCTTTTGGTTCCTTCAAAGCAATCTGCTCTGAAGTTCCTCGTCCATGTTCTCCTGCAGCCGCTCCATGCTTTCATTCAAAACACACACACGGCCAATCACAACGGACCTTCTCTGTGCTGCCGGCTGCGTAGTTAGAAAAATGCACGGTAGGGCTTTGACTTCGAATTTCAATATTCAAATATAAAAAATAAATATTTGTTTGAACGAATATTAAACAGCGCTTAATATTCGAAGCTTTAATGGGCATTATCTTTTTTGCTGAACGTTAGTTTTTGGGACTTTTTCGCGCACTGTGAAGTTGTGAAGGTAATCATTAACAGGGCTATTATAGTGAAGGTACTTTTCTGCTAGGCTAGGTTGCTTCAAAACTATAACTCTCTCATAAAGAGAACATAAAACCTAACCTAAATCCATAATCAGATCCTCTACTAATGTGTCCTAACATTTTCTATTAATGTTCACCGCAATCGCTTTGTCGCATTAAAACAGTATTTTTGTCATGAAAACTTTAACAGATAATTCTGAAAACCTCTGTGCACGTGTGTTAAGAATGTATATGTATAATGTATTCTCCGATTAACATTTAAATGTGTTGATTGATTGTTATTTGTGTTATTGAGCGTGGCTAGCTCCGTTAGCTTCTCTGCAGAGACAGAAGTAGTTACAGGCGCTGAGAACCCATTGTACTTGCAAAGTAATTAGTATTTTACAGACCTGAATTATAAGCAGAGATTGCGTTGCCAAAGGGCAGCGGTCATTATTGTTTCAGAGTCCGTTATCACAAAATAATGATTGGTAGAACGTTTTGAAATTACATTCAAATCAGTGGAGCGTTCTACTGCAGCTGTGACAAGCTGTATAATAAATTATAATTAAATATTTGAATATTTAATTTACTAAACAAACTAACTTCGAATATGATTTTTATGCAAAAGTCAAAGCCCTAGTGCACAGGTGGTAGCGCAAGGGGTCATGGGTTGTGTGTTGCAACTTATGACATCAGGTGACATCATAGTATTTAAATAAGTCATATTTATACCACATTTTACAGACTTTACAGAGTTTATATGATTCTGTCCACACAGTGATGAGAACTGAACACACTGAAATCAAAGCCTCCAACACCATCCACTCATTACATTCAGACTATCAAACAGGAGTACCCGGAGAACATGCAAACTCTACACAGAACGGTCTGGAATCAAACCCAGGACCTTCTGCTGCGAAACAAGCTAACCCCTGCCTCTCAGTGTGTGTAGCTTAAGTATATTTAAAGAGCGACTAAACACCTGTGCCCAGCCTTACTCCGCCCACATGAAGATTTGAAAATGTTCTCTAAAAAGGGCATTGCCTGGAGGACTAAGGGACAAGGGGGGCACACAAAAAAAAACAGACAGTTGTCATTGCTGCTTAAAGCAATAGTTTACAGACCAGAAAGTCTCATTCCATCCTTGTTTACACACTAAGGCCCAGTTCCAATACCCACACTGCACCCTACACACCTCTACGAAGTGTGCATTTGTTCGAAGTGCACACCAGGGTTGGAGTGCGCAGGTTACAAGTGTGCAAAAAAGGCAGAATTGGGACAGTGCACACTGAGTGCAGGTCACGTCATCGACTCGTCAAGAGATGGTCATTTTCAGACCTAAACTTTATAAACATTAAAGGTCATTTTGTCTGACCCTTTGGGAAACAAATTGAATTGCTTCACACACGTTAAAATACATGTATATTAGTGGTTTCTAATTAGAGATAGCTGTATAATTTTAAGTTAAATGTGGGTAACTAACTATCTGGTCAGTTTTTATACATTCTAAGATTATTGTACTAAGTGTAAAGTTTAAATTGAATGTTATATAAACGCTTGCTTTTAAAAGTTATTAAATTGTTAAAACACAATGTCCGTAATTCTTCAGACGTTTATGCTTCTTTCCAAGTAACAAAGCAAAACTTATTTACACACATACAGCATATATATTTCAAAATTTATATTTAAATGCATTTTCCCGACGTTTTGATGTGTACCGCAAAGAATTATGGGCAATATCCTTCGCCAGAGTGCGCATAGATGCAGGCTACGGCGAAGTGTGGATCAGGGGCGCAAAGGGGGCGGGGCCAAAGACCTCCCTGGAGAATTGGGACACCCTACGCACTCGCACCCTTTATCGGGAACGCGCAAATGAGGGGCGCGAGGGTGGAAGTGCGAGTATTGGGACGGGGCCTAAGGTAATTATAAAGCTACACACCTGGACCTAATCACACTCAATAATCTCAGAATGACTCATGTAATTTAATTTTAATCCACTAGATGGCGACAGAATACTCCAAACTGCAGCTGGGGCGTGGGTGAGAGTTGAATGGGTTCACATCACTGGCTCTGACAGACTGACGTCACACAAAACAACTGATGTCATAGAGAACTTCAGAGTCAATGGAGAGGCCAGAACCAAATTCAAATGTAGTACCACCAAAAAGGTTGAGAGGGCACCACACAGCGTTTTTTGGCTCAAAAGTGATATTTTATCTAATTTGAACTAAAATGTCAAAAAAATGACCAGGATATGTAGACAACACTACAATAAACACATTTATGCAGTTTATGAGTTAAAAAAATTTGATTTGGTGTTTAGTCGCTCTTTAATATACTTTGGGTAAAACCTTCAGATTTATTGTAAAGGGCAAATTAAAACATTTACAATGCGTCTCCTTTCGCTTTATCCCTGGCTGAGTCATGGGGGCAGCAGTCTGACATGATACACATTACACTAACAATAGAAGAAAATGCTGCCGCAGAGAGGACGACCCTCAAGATCCTGTTTGCATGTTCTCCCTGTGTCTGCTTAGGTGTCGTCAACACTCTTACTAAAAACACGTAGTTCATGATGTAAATTGTAAAAATGATCAGAGTGCGACTTAGGGACTTCAGAGACACACGCAGCAGGTGTTACGTCGAGCCGCGTTTCCCCGTCAGATACTGTTTCCCCTGCGTCTACTCGCCGCTCCGCTCCGCGCCGCTCCGCACCTCGCACGCGGCAAATAGTGCGCGTGCTTGTTCAGCACTCGTAACCAGCGAGCCGTGCTTACGCGGCGAGGCAACTACAGACACAGTGAAAGCACCTGAGTGATGTTGGCCCCTACCCCACGCAAAACTCAGTGAAAAATAGCCACACTCGTTAGTGCTGGTTTGTGCAGAAAAAATATCGTTTGTGCTGTTTTGGTTTTTCAGGTATGACAACTTTATATTAATATAGCCTATATATATAATATGATACATACATACATACATGTATGTATGTATGTATGTATGTATGTATGATATGTATGTATGTATGTATGTATGTATGTATGTATGTATGTATGTATGTATGTATGTATGTATGTATGTATGTATGTATGTATGTATGTATGTATGTATGTATGTATGTATGTATGTATGTATGTATGTATGTATGTATGTATGTATGTATGTATGTATGTATGTATGTATGTATGTATGTATGTATGTATGTATGTATGTATGTATGTATGTATGTATGTATGTATGTATGTATGTATGTATGTATGTATGTATGTA